TTTTTTTCCTTTTTACCTTGCGTGAATCACACTGCATAGCCCAGGAATGTGCATTCATCAGGATGTCGAAATCATAAGCTGATTGGAAGTTGGGGTCACTGAGGCGCTGTGTAAATCACGACATCATCCATCGTATGGACGTGCTTCAAACGAACACACCCGCATGCTGTAATCATCCATAGGCCGATGTTGCCCATGGGGGCTGGGGATGAATCTGGTGGGCCATGAACACAAAGTGTGTTGGATGAGGAAATGGAGAGCGAACATCAGGTGGACTGATATCATGCCTGAGGTCATCCGTTGATGCCTTGGTACATTCAGGCATCGAGAACAAGTCCTGCCGCCAAAATATCCTCCCGCCGCATGCTTTACCAGACAAACCAGACCCTGACCGAGTGGATAACTCTGGAACAGTCCCACCAAAGACACGGGAACATGCTGGAGATGTATGCCGTGCACTTGAACTTTATGCAACATCGCTCAATGCGCCATTTACAGTCCCATTGTGAACTAGCGAAAACCACCCGTCACAAAATTAGGACAATGTCCGGCTAGCCATTTTTCTTTTCTTTTCGTTTTCCTTTCCCTGCTGCATTTTCTTCGACTAGTCTCTAGTTTCTGCTTAGTTGCCGAAGATTATTCCATGTCTGGAATGGCTGAATTTGAAAAAGAATTTCTCGGCGAGCCGAGATCGGCATACCCGGCGGCATCATATCCTGTGACCACCATGTTTGTCCAGTGAACCGCGGGATGAAGTCTCGTACTAGAGAGCGGGAAGATAGGGGAGGAGGAGAAGTTGATCAAGGGGTCCGGTTTCATCCTCTTTAAATAATTGAGAGCGCGGAGGAGTCTAAGGAGGCTTGGCATCAAGACCATCGGGGTCTGCATAGGGAGAAACTAGCTGTTCTCAAACTGAAACAGGGGATTTATGTCACTGATATAGTGTCCGGAACGTCCTGTGCCACAGCAACATAAACTTAAACCTTAGAAGATTATTGATGGGTGGCAAGTGGGATTCACGCCGTTTTGTGTAATTGAGTATTTTTTTTCATGAGTCTCAAGATGCTACAGGACTATAGCGGACAGGTCACTAATTTGGCCCGCTTTACTACCCTTCCTATTGATTCGTTTAATTTATGCGTGTAACTATTGAATCCTTCTGAATAGAAAGATGGATCAAAGGCGACATGGTGTATTAAAGTTCCCCTGTCTATGTCCACAGGACAATGCAGGATTCAATCACCGAGATTACCAAGGCTATCATACCACAGCACACTCCGATATTCCAAGTTTCCGTGGACTATTCGCTGCCACCGGACCAAAGCTCTTCTCGGAAGTTGGCGCGTTCCCGAGAGAACAGAGAAACATTTGTATTGTTTTGAATAATCGGGGGTTGGATAAGAATCCCACACCAGCTTCTAATCATCGTATGGGTTATAAGCTCGCCATCATACTGATATGACAGGCGAGGTTGAACGCTATTGACATGAGCCGGCATGTAGTATCCTTGTGGCTATTGTAGAGAGCTATATGTGTCGGCTACCGTTGGCAAATTATGTTGATTTCGTTTGGTGGTGGCTTTTATACTTACCGTGTATCCATGAGACAGTAAGATCGTCTTCAGCAAGAAACCCGTTCGACCGTGAATGTGTAGTCGCTCGGAGCTCTTATGCTGGCTTTACCGCAGCTGGTCATGTAACCTACGCGTAAACCTGCTTTAGTTGGTTCGCTCTCTCGCAAGAGCCATGTTCACGAATATATCGGTTCAAAGCACCACCCATACCAGCAGACTCCAGAACTTGAAACGGCCTTCCCAAAGCAAGAAAGTTTAAAGTCGAAATATATAGGATTTGGCAACTTATTAGTCTTACGTTCCTCTTGTGATTACCTTGTCAGGTCACCCACATCACTCCTGTCTACGGTCCGGGAATTCTAGTAGCCCATCTGATATGAACAGCGACCGGGCCCCGGGTCCGGAAAGCGCTGGGTGCCGGTGCCTGGGGTAAAATAACCCCAAAGCTTTGTCAAGCTTGATAGTACCGGACAAGCCTTCCGCGATTCCTTGAATAGCCGGGCACATCCTATCTGACGCAGCGTGTGCTCTACTGATCCAGAAACGTGGAAACTCACATTCATCGGCAGCACGGCCAGGTGCGGCCCGACAGGATATGGCAATGCACATCCAGCAAATGTTGCATCAGCTCAACACGTATGATAATGCCTCACGGAGCTCTGGACTGCCGACTCCCCGGATGGTGGCGTGGACTTGGGACAGAGAATAAAGGATTAAATTATCCTTCTGCGCTGGAGTATGATGATCTGTCGCTCAGTCTCTATTGGTGCATCCAATTAGAGTAACGCCCGATATATAAAGAGAGTATATTACCTCTCAGTCGGGGCGAAACAATTCAATCGTATTGTACGGAGTTCGCCGAAACATGCCCCAGAATAACCAATGGAAAAAACTAGGTTCGCCTCGCACCTTGATTGTTGCGGGGATAATAGATGAAGGCGCATTGACCGTGCCTTATTATAACTCCCGCACAGACTGTACTTTTCACGAAGGGGTTACCGGGAATCGAGGACCAAAAGAGAAAATAAATTAGGTTAGTGCATCCAGGTTGCTTAATATCACATTTGAGATGCTGCTCCTGCTGTATGCAACTCTGATCTACACTAGTAGCAAGTATAGGAACATGGGTCAATCAGTATAATTCAGGGAATGCAGCCTCAATATCATGGAGTATGACTATTCGCGGATGGATCCTGCATGGAAGATGGGTATGTGTCGAAAAATAAAATTTGTTGTATAAAGAGCTAGGAGAAATGGTAGACTTAGAGGCAAAGATGTATATGACATATTTACATATAAATGAATCACAAACCGTAAAACTTCACACAAAACAGAATATGTCCGTGCAGACAGAGTATGTAGTACATAGGAAATGGCGATATACACAATTAAACTGGTCAACCACCCTAAAGCACGGATATATATTGATGGGGATTTGTCAAAGCCAGAGCTCAAAGTTTACCCCCACGCTGATTCAGCTCTTTGACATGCTGGTAAAGCTGAGCCAATCATTATGCGTCAACAGGATAAGGCTGTTAGGTCCCAACGAAAACGATGCGACGCTGATTCAGTGCCGTGCATAAGAGTGAACCATCCATGGACAGCCAACTAATAGGATACTCTGGAATCTGATTGCGACAGATCCGATTCGAGAAAAGTGGATGTATTTTTTTTATGCGCAGTCAGACAGGCTGGGGTATCCCTTTCATTAAGATAGACATCATTTTTGATCATTTCTGGGTCTGCCTTGAAAGTGTAGCAATAGGCGGATCTACGGAATGTCGTACCGGATGTGCTCCACATTCATCCCCTTCATCAACTGTGGGTATTTATCAATGAAGACCGAAGTGAATCCCCAGCCACTCCGGTCCATGAAGGTCTGAAAGAATTCAGGCTTCACAAACATGTTGTCGTGATCATCCCAGTCCCAGATGCTCTGGGAGGACGGCCATCGTACTCTACAGGCGCTGATCGCATATCTATAGAGCTCTAGAATATCAACTGTGTCCCAATGTTCCAGTACGTTGACCCGTAGCTGCGGCCACAAAAAGAAGATCAATTCGGGGTGCTGATCGGGCCGCACCTGCCCCGCCACAGGTTGTAGGAATGTTGGCATGTTGGCGAATGCGAGCGGGGTCGGGTTAGCCCGCCATCTTACAAACCCATACATGATCCAGCTTAGTGCGAAACGGTCAGGTTCTCGGAGGCTCAGCCGCCGAAGGAGTCGGTTCACTTGGTCCGCCAGCCAGTTACGTCTGGAGCCATGTAGTAGCTCGAACGGAGACGCTAACAGAGGTAGCTTGGCAATGGTATCCGACAGAGCTAACCATCCCGACCACCTCCGACTATGAGCAGTCATCAGACTATATTCCTTGGGGGTAATCAAGGGGCACGTGTCTGGCCCTGGTGTGGGGTGCAGGTCAGGCATTAGGGAAAGCTCGATAATTTGAGAGGCTGAGGTTGGATTGTCTGACCCCACGGGCCACGTGCTAGTCATCGATGGAGCTGTGAGACCATCGGTAGTTGACCCGAGCTGTGCAGAGTCTATACCATTGACGGACCAGCGAGAAATAGTGTAGATCTCCGGATCCACCAAGACCGTTTCACTGCCTGGACTACAAATTGGTGTCGTCGGTGCTGGTAGAGGGTTGGACGCCAGATATGTTGAAGAATGTGTTAGCCGCGTCGCCGTCGTGCCGTTGCCTTGACCTTCCCAGCTCTGAAACAGACGACGAAGGTGTTCTTGTCGAGCAAGAAGAAGCTCATTCTCCCGTCTAACGCTGTCGACGGTGAGCATGCAGTTCTTGATCAACTCGGTGCCGTGATTCTTCTCGCAATGGGCCACCCGTTCCTCTAACGCTTTCATGCGGTTCTCCCGTTTCTCTCGCAGGTTCTGTTGAGCCCGTCTATCGCGCAAGCGTTTTCTTTCAGACGAGGTTGCCGATGCATTGTGGCGCGTGGAGGACATTGTTTATTGGCCTATATATTGACCCGTCAGACGGTAAAGGAGAAGACAGAGAAAGAAAGACAGTCGTACCGGGAGGTCGGACGAACGGACGGGGGGGGGGGAGTGAGCCGAATAAAGAAGGGTTGCGGAGTCGTGAGCCGCTCCATGGTCTATTAGATTCTCGGCCCATGATCCAGACAGGATCTAATCTTCAAATAGTTTAAATGACCAGGTGGCCATGGCTCTCGTTGGATGTAAGAGACAAAGAACTCGCCCAAAAGGGTTATCGCTTCGTCTGGATCCTTAGGGCACTTTGCCCGTTTTGGCATGACAGGGCGACTAAGCTCAATTGGGCAATAGCTGGCCCAGATCGGACGGAAGACTCTTGATCCGGGGAACAATGAAAGTTCAATGAATGAACCGAAAAAAGATTGCGCTCAGGCCCGGTTTCGAATCAGCAGCCGTTCTTCCGTCCATCGGTCTCAATAACCCCCGACGGACCGACATTGTCCGACCGACGTGCGGAAAACATCGGCGATTCCGATGCTTCAGGCCGATGTATATAGTCAACTGCACTGCCCCTTCGTATACGGCTCGCTGTCTTCGGAAACTATACGCCGACCTCTACACCAAATGCAGAATGAAGGTGGACATTCCAGCTGGGGGCCTAACGTCTCATGACACGATTGCGCGTCGTTACTTGTTTTCCATGTCTATTATCGTGAACTGAGTCATAGAAAGGTCGGGAAGAGGATGCGTTTAAATACGAGCAGCTCGGTTGTGGAATTGTTTTCTCACCATGTTGTATAATAATTGAAGCACAACTACTTTCCTACAGAAGCTTTTGTTCAAGAAATATAATACTCTTCGTTTGAACCACCCATCATATCCGTCAATATGACACGCACCGATGTCCTCATCGTGGGAGCAGGCCCAACGGGGCTCGTTCTAGCCCTGTGGTTAACTCGCCAAGGTATCAACGTGCGTATTATCGACAAATCAGAAGCCAAGGCATCAACATCGCGAGCGATGGCAATTCACGCCCGCACACTCGAGCTATATCGCCAACTCGACCTCGCCGAAGATGTAGTCGCCAACGGCCATAAGATCGCAGCGACCAATATTTGGGCTGGGGGCGTCCATCGCTCCCATGTCCCGTTCGGTGATCTTGGTGCAGGCCTAACGCCCTACCCGTTCATACACATCTACCCCCAAGATCAGCATGAACGATTGTTAGAGGCGCTATTGAATACAATGGGAGTGCATGTCGAGCGTAATCGGGAGTTAGTCGAGTACCAGGAGAAGGAATCATTTATCACAGCGCAATTGAGGAATCTCACAAAGCCACACATCGACAATGACGACATGGAGACCTGTGAAGCAGCTTTTATCGTTGGTTGCGACGGTGCCCGTTCTGCTGTCCGTCAGAACTGCGGGATCGGATTCGAAGGGGCTACATACTCAAAGCTGTTCTATGTAGCCGACATTGAAGGCAGCGGGCCTAGCCTCAATGGTCAAGCACACTTGAGTCTCAATGATAAGCAATTTTTCTTGCTCATGGCGTACGACAACGACCGTCATGCGCGACTAAACGGGGCCGTCGATGAAAGCGCACTGACGAAAGACCTTTCCGACCTCACACTCGACGATGTTGCCCCAGACTGCGGCAAGGCCGTGGGCGTCAAAATCGACAAGGTGAACTGGTTTAGCATCTATCATGTTCACCACAGGGTAGCTGAAGCCTTTCGCAGCGGGCGGGCTTTTCTTGTTGGGGATGCGGCGCACATCCACAGTCCGGTCGGAGGACAAGGTATGAATACCGGTATCGGTGATGCCATAAACCTCGCCTGGAAGCTTGCAGCAGTTATTCAAGACAAAGCGGACATGTCTCTCCTCGATAGCTACGAAGCTGAACGGCGGGCGTTCGCAGCACTTCTGGTCAACACCACGGATACTGCATTTAACGCTATTGCCTCCGAGGGGTACCTGTCCCATTTTATTCGGACATGGTTCATTCCTTATGTTTCTCCTATCCTGTCCAAGTTTGGTCTCGTGCGACAAAGAGTGTTCCGTGGTGTATCCCAGATTATGCTAAACTATCGGGATAGTGCGCTGTCGACTGGCTCGGCTGGTACCATTCAAGGAGGAGACCGTATCCCTTGGGCTCCAGTGGGCGAACTTGATAATTTCCAAAGTTTGAAGGAGATTACATGGCAGGTCCACGTGTATGGCGAAGCCAAAGACATGTTGAAGGAGTGGTGCAATTCCAAGGGAATCCCTCTGCACATATTTCCTTGGAGTGAGAAATATCAGTCGGTCGGCTTGGGAAAAGATGCAGCATATTTGGTCCGACCAGATACCTATGTTGCAGTGGCGGAGGCTTCTGGTCTACCAGAACAGTTTGATCAATATTTAAAAGACAACAAGATCCGATTATGATCATCACTGCTGCTGGAATGATTCCCATTTTGTTATAGATTTGAACTCCTCTGTTCTGTGTACTTGCATTTGTATGAAAGGCGTACCTGGAGTTGTGGTTTCTGGTCATTCACGAATGAGCTACGATGACATATAGCTAGACGATACTCTCTATTCTACAAACGAGAATGTACATCGGTGTCCTTTATATCATTACTATTTCGTACGCGGCGAGCATCCTCCTCCTCACAAGCCTTTCTCCATACTTCTTGGACCTAAACCTTCATGTTAGCAACACCAGAGCCAGGGCCTAGGAATGATACACTGACATCGTAATGGTACAGCCAATGGTGGTCATCAGTCCATTTGTTTTGGATGTTAGCCGCCACAATATCGTCGAAGGAGGTTAGACCCTTGATTAAAGTATCGGATGCCCGGAAACCATCCAGAATATCGTACTGCAGCAATTAGCAGACCGTCAAGAAACTAGACATTGGCACATACCATATCCTTGTAATGCGGCGATCGAACTCTATCGTATAGAGTCAAAGCATCACTGACTGGAAGGTGGCGTTCATGTGCCCATTTCACTGCTCGAGTGAGCACATACACGTCTTCCAGGGCGAATCCCGCCCCAGCACCTGGATGGTGTTAGAATACATTGTGTCTAAGTGGGAGGAAGCATACCAAAGGCCCCAGATAATGCTATTTCAGAATGGTTAGCTGCCGGTAACGACCACTGAAAACACCATTACTCACGATGAGACGCATCCCCAATCAATGCAATAGAACCATGTGAGATGATCTTCGATAGACGCGGCCCTGCGAAGAGGGGAAATTTCTTCACTTCTCCCACTTTACTAAGGACCTCTTGAATAATTGGTGCGAAGTCCTATTATTTTAGTATACATGGAACTAAGTGGAACCGAGTGAGCAACACTCACCTTATATAACACTACAAATTCATCCGGACTAGCGTCCTGTCCCCAGCTGACCGTTTCACTAGTCTCTTGAAGATCCGTTCTCGCCGTAACCTCGTATATACCTCTATTGAGGTTGCAGGTATATACCCACCGAGTGGGGCCGTGCCAGAACGTCACGGCGTCAGGAAAGTTGGGAATGCTTAGAATATCGTCCGCGTGTACAAGGGCTCGGAAGGCTGTTGTACCGGTATAGCTGATGCGATGGTCCGGGAAGGAGAATTGGCGGACCACCTTCGATGCTTAGATCTACTTACAAGCAAGGAATAATCTGACAGAACTTACCGATCGAACACCGTCAGCTCCTATGAGGAGATCCACCTCATCCGCGTGTCCATCCTCAAATCGCAACGACAATGTCTTGTTTGGCAATTCATGGATCTCAACAAGTCGGCTTGAAAGTCGTAGCTTTTCTTTATCCACGGCTTTCAGAAGTGCTTGCTGTAGTACAGAGCGTAAGGCCCTGGCATGTTTATGTCGAGGGAGGGTGTCATGTTGTCCGCTAGATTGTAGTAACTCTCCCGTTCGTCCATTACTGACTCCAGTTACTTTCGTTCAAGTCAAGGGAAGAGACCAACCAACCGATGCTGCACGGAATGGCCATCAGCGGCGCTGAAGACGGTACTCGGATCGATATTATCATAAACACCCAACGCGTCTAACATGCGCCAGGTGTTCCGTTGAATACTTATACCGGCACCGACCTCACGCAACTCTCGGGCTTGTTCGTAAATTCGAAGATCAACAAAGGAGAGCTTTTGAAATTCAATCGCCGCAGCTAAGCCTGCTGGGCCGGCGCCGACGATTGCCACTCTTAGCTTTGGTTTACTCTCTGCGTTTGACATCTTGGCGGTTTATTGAGATGATAGAGTTATCACGTCTAACTCAATCTGAACATTTAATACAATTGCAGGGGCATGCTCAGAAAAGCGCGGAGTAAGCGCGAGGGCCATTCAACATAATACATATAAATTAGAAAACCAATGGCGTCATTTTAATGCATTGTTCCTCATTGAACAACCCGGTAAGTGAGGATTTCTTCCGTTTTCTAGACCCGCACTACAGCACAAGAGCTTATCAATCGAGGACGGAATTAGCCTGGAAATTTCAGTGGTGTGAAATTGCGGAGTGGTCAAGATTTTATGGAGATAAGCATAAGTCGAATGGCGAATCCAACCCGCATCTGACGTGAATCTCGCATACTTGAGTCAGCTTACATTCTACTACTGGCTCAGTAACAACATTCTCTGCTTAATTCATTGAAATGTGCTCCGTACAAACCTTTATCTTTTGTTAAATTTTAATTAATACAAGTGAGTTAGTTACACATGTCCTCCTGGGTTTACCTTTATATATAAAGCAAATACTTGAAATACTAGGTTAAAAGTATTCCAACATTTCCGCCTCGAAAGCTCTTTTTTTGGGGAAAGAAAAAAGGTAAAAAAAAAGAAAAGAAAATAAAAAAAAAGAGAAGCACCATTGACAACTCAGCCAAGTTAAAAGCTTTCTACCTCAGACTTGGTTCTATACATTCCCCGTACCAGTAATCAGTATGCCGTTCATGTATATTAAACGGCTTGGATTTTGTATGGCTGGGACAGAACCAGCCTATGTATAATGTTCCGAACAAGGAACGAAATTTACATGTACTTGATACACGTGATCTATATAATCTGGTCTGTCGTATCAACTTAACTGGTATCAAATTAGGACCAAACATACCTTGTGGTGGCCTTGTCAATTACTAAAGCTGCTTAATTTCTCTCCAGGCACGATTAGCTCATATCTTTCTTTGAAGACATCGGTGCTCCTTCCTCTGACAATGTAGGTGAACTATATCAAGACTGTAGACATCATTGGATATGATATAGTTATTTTGTTCTTCAAGGCCTGCTGCTAGTTACTAATCATCACAGTTGAATAATGGTTACCAGTCCCCTTACTCAGCCTTCTCAGGAGTCTTTTCCGGGGGGTTGATGAGGAGGTGATTCACAGAGAAAAAAGAGGTCTTGATTCCTATCCGAACAGCTCTTCTGCTCTATTTACTCTAGATATCCACAGAGTAGGCGATAAAGAGATCAGGGGCTAGCCGGGTCATTACGTAGTTAACTAGATGAGTGACTTCCTGCGTCAGGATCTCCGATCCTACCAGATCTCAGCTGGGTACTGCTGACACCACTCTAGCCTGTCTCCACAACAGCATGATAGGGTATAATCATGCCACCGCGGCATGAAGTAGGATTCTTGTTTGGATCTCTATGCCGGTACGCCACGTCGGAATGAGTTTATTATCTATAAAAGGAAATATGGGTCCAGTGAGCAAGCAGAGCTCCAGCCCCCAGCCCTGAGGTTTGGGCGTTGTGGGGAGCCCTTTTTGCAATTGGCGGCGCCTGATTATCAACCGGGAGCCAATCTACGTAGTGGGTCCTGTTACCATTTTACATGAACTCTGGATTCCAATCATTCATAAGAGGTTTCTCACAGTCTAAGCTGTATTTCTTCCCACTAAATTAATTTCGGAGTTAGTACTAAGTAGGGATGGCCATCCGTGGACTGGGCTTTAGATGAGATATTTGTGCGCGTTTGGACGGCGTTTCTCGGCTACGAGCCAGAATCCTGTTGACTCACTCATGGTTTCTGCATCTCTGGAAACGCAACAAGCAACAACAAAACGAGGAAGAGAAAGGATATTGAACACGCAAATGTTAACAAAGTACCTGAAAACTTAGGGCAGTCTTAGCCATAGTGTCAGGTTTGCGAACGAATAGCGTTACTCTGCAACTGGTTTGGGCTTTATGACAGCATGAGGCATTCTCTACCTGAGTGATCAACTACAATCCGGCTTAGGATATGATTTGTGGTGAGTTAACTCCTGCATATGTCATCCTGGCAGCGGTGACATCTTTGAGTTGCCATGGGGTTTGCTCATAATCGCTCATATGAAAAAGGTTTTCCACCAAAACCATGTTCATATTCAGTAATAGGCAGGTGCCCGGGGGACTGGATAGTTCTACCAGTTGAGTCACCACTGCTGAACGAGCTAATCACAGCCTGGAACTTGGATGTTTATATTAATATCTTCCGTAACTCTAGTCCCTGCGATTGCCCGACTGTACCTCCATTTTACTAGAGTAACCACTACACTCCCTAAATATCAGACTAAATTAAGCTTGGTTTCAGGATGGAGGGATATCATCCGCATGGGATGCATAGAACATGACAGTATAGTGCTTTATTTCATTTAAGACAATCATGACTAAGCTCTATTGTTTGATTTCCTGGGTGTCCACTACTTCAGCGAACTATTACATAGACAACATGTTTATCGTATAGTGCGTCGAAAATGAAAGAGAAAATCAAAAGATCGCTGTTTGAGTCCAGCTCCTGATTCCTCGCGTCTACCCTTCATCATGAGTTTACCTGGGTTTGGCTACTTCTTCAACCTAGCCTCCAGCATCACTGTCCGTCCATAGGCGGAGGGGTAGATCTGGACAAGTTCCAAGCCTGCCGCATCAAAGATTTCAATAAAATCCGCCTTCTTCTTCTCCTGACCGGTCATACAAAGAAGCGCGAAATCGAGCCAGTAGAGGTCCATATTCTCATGGGTTTCAACCATGTCTGGGATTAACATATCGCATATAAGGAGGCGCGAAGTAGGTCCCATAGCCGATGCCGTATTCTTGACAAACTCAATGCAAACTGGGTTATAAAAGTCGTGGAGGAAACGGCGCATAAAATATATGTGAGCGTCTAAGAAGGCTTTAGCTAACGGTTTTCATAATTAAATAAGCGTAATGTCTTCAAAGTGTGCTTACTCTTCACGGGCTGCGGCGTAAAAGCGTCGTATGTCATAAGATCGAAGCCTGGGTAGTCCTCGGGGTCCATATTGTTAATGACACCAGGCAAATCTTGTAGGATGAACTTGGCATCGAAAGCACCGTTGATTTCCTTCTGGATAGCAAAGCATGATTGGCCGCGGCCGGCACCTATGTCGACGAGATATGGGCGATCGGGATCCTGCTCAACTTCCTCCTTGAGAGATACAAATGGGAACATGCCGACAATAGGCATTAACTGGTCGACCATGAACATACTGGCATTCCAAACCTCGCGACGCTCTGGGTCTGGGTCTATCTCAAGCAGCTCGTAATACGACTTACCAAGGTGCTCTTTACCAACTGAGTACAGGGCGGGGGATTTGACCAGATCAAAAATATCGTCCGGCTTGTGTGACTTGAGATATTCGGGTAGGTGGATCCAGGCGCGCGTGAACTCCAGAGTGATCATGAAGAAAGATCCCATAGCCTTTGGGTTGAGAGCGCGCGAGAGGTTATTATGAGCATAGGTGTCTGGAGCGGTCTCAGTAAAGATTCCATTATTGATGGCGACGCGATAGATGCGGTGAATGACAGTGTTTGCGACATTGGTGACCCGGGCCAGCTCATCAGCGGTAATAGCACTGCCATCCTCAGGCATAGCATGGTAGGCCCGAATACTTAGGATAGTATGAAAGGCGCCGGCGAGACCGAAGGATTCCATCAAGCGAGTCACCAAGTCGATAGGCTCCTGCAGGGCAGTGCGGACGCGCTCGGTTTGCTTCAGAACAGCCTGGTGGTTGACCGGGTTGTCTTCGTAAGACTCAAGATCGGCCACGAGCTTTCTCGCCTCCTCAAGGGCCTTGCTAACTTTGAGGTGAACCATAGTAGATATACGGCTTCAAGGCTAACAGCACAGGGTAGTAATGGTGAACCTTAGGTATAGAATAGAAGGGGGCCGTGCTAAAACGATGTATGGGTATATTTGACTAGAAGAACAGCAAGTTCGAGCAACAGGTGCATGAGTCGACCACTTGGACAATTTGCCTTTTTTCGGGATAAGTCCGCATCTATATATGTAAGAGGGGTAAAAGCGGGGGTTGTAGAGGGGCGGAAAATCTAGTCGATAGCAGAAGGTTAGACTCAGTACTATCAAGCGAGATCAATTAGCCCTAGTGGGTTCATGCCATCACTGGCGACTTACACTTGCATGGCTATGGAGATATACCGATAGTTTCCCTCGTTAGTACGTAGTGTATGCACAAGGGCGAATAGATGCATGATTCTGGTTACAAGGATACCTGCTCGCTGCTCCATCATGGCCAAAACTAGGGTTGGGAATGGATTCAGATCTCGAGCACGTGGGTCAACATCAGTCGGCAGACCCACCTGCCCTGCAAAAGCGACGGCTAGTAATTTATACATCTTCATGAGAAGTTTTATGAATTTATGCTGAAATGGGGTCTTGGCGGGTAACCAGCTCTAGTTAGACTTTTAGTCCTTTAGCCAAAATATATTGTTTTTGGTTTTCAGATCTAGTTGTTGTCCACTATTGACCTCAATATGCTTTCATCTATGTACGAGTGGTGGCTAGCAAATGGGAACAGCAAGTATAAACCGACTTGCCGAAGGAGATGTCAAGTTATCAGATGGAACGCTGATCAGATAAGGGTCCCCTGTGCACGTGTAAGGCACAGGTGATGACCATAGGATATTTAGTGCTACTTAGTACGATCTAGGGTCAATGTTGGTCTTTTGCTAAAATTGTGTCACCTGACCCCTAGACTAGTTGTCTTACTGCCTTTTGCCAATTACTTGTTTGGTTATCGAAGCAACATTACAGGGGCCCTCATTAAAAGGCTGCCGGCTCTAGAAGCTACTCGTGCTAAGGTTGTGGTAGTGGGGAGAGCCCAATTGGCAACTACAACACGATATCTATTTTTCGGGTGTCGCTTGTACTTTTGCGCCCTTATAATCGTCGGCAAGGTTCAATACAACCATTCATCTGGATTCATCTTAGTCTTCGTTCAAGCAAAGCTAAATAAGTACTCAATTACGTCATTGTTCAGCTTCACACCATGTATTCATATATTTCCATCTTCCTCGTCCTTCTATTTGAATTGGTTATTGCCCAGAGCTAAACCATGAACATTTAAAGGCTATTTAATTTGTCAGATCATAGTACTGAATGTGGTTCCCACTGGTTCCCACCTAATGAGTCATGAATTCTGAGAAAGTTCGAAGAGAGAGTGGCAGGCTCGTTGGACCGCTCACCGTACTGTCGTACCGTATCTCATGATAGGAGCCCAGGATTAAGCCACAACAGGTGGTAGGTAAAAGCATGTGTATTCTGACAGCCAGCTGTTTCACTCCAAGCAAATTAGCTTTCTATGAAAGAGTCGCATGATGAACTGTCTCGTCAGAGTTGATCTTCATTGTGATATTAACAACTTAATTCTGCTGTAAGGGGAATATTAGATTGTTCCTGACCGTTGAGAGGACGAGAAAAGTCTGAAACTTCTTGATAGCACAAAGTTGGAAACATTCCGTGCAAAATACATAGCGTCAAATTTAGTTGCCGTCGCAATTGGGCTTGTCCCAAGCCCATAGGTCAATGGGCCGATATGGCAGCGTAAGTGAGTCGCTTTTGGGTGGTAATTTCCATTTTTGGAATAATACTTGTGTTGGAGGATGGGCGTGATGCATATAGGGATGAAAACCAGTTGGGAATATGGAACAAGGCTAGCAGAAGTAACATAGGGATATCCACTCAGTTGTTTGCAAGTCTATATTCTTGAAGGTGATTTCAAGAGTCTATACCAAGACTACTGTACAGTACTTCTCGCCGTTTCTGTTCATCTATTTATCTCCGGCTGAACCACCGTCTCTGGATCAATACAGGCTTTGAGGCATGACTCCTGTTCGTAACGGCACAAAAGACAAGTGGCAAGTTGAACCACAGTTTCTCAGGGGCAGTATATCGACGGATATGCATACAGAACTCGGTACTTGTGGCATTATCTGCCAATAAATCGTGCAGTAATTGCTTTGCTTCATATTCCTGCGAGGGCTGAAATGTGTCCGACATTCCGGGACTCATTAACTTATGGCTGACTGCTCGAAAGCGTCGCCATTTGGTCCCATATGGCATAAAAGAAAACCGCATTTCCCAAGACAAAGTGTTGGACACGACAGGCATTGGCGGCTGCGAGGATGATATGGCGGACTGCTTGTCAAGGATTTCCTTCACTGCTTCGGGAGAGTTGAGAAATATACCAGGCCATTAAGCCCAGACGGACACAATAGAGCTCGCCATATTGCTGTACCCCTTTGAGAAATTGGCGGTGCGGTTGCGAAGAGAGTTGTAGAGTGTTTCCAATCAGAGGCAGGCCAGGCGCACAAGGGACCTTCTGTGTATCAGTTGCGGAATACTTCCCCTCTATGGTTTGTCGAGCCGGCACTCCCCTTGACTAATTTCGTGAATGCTGACTGCCCTGATGTAGAATCAAGAATGCCCTGACCAGCACCAAACTTTGTCCAGGACGATGCGCACTCGGTCTATGGTGACGACCGAAGAGGCCAGTCAGGATGCGCCCACGACGGATTCCATTCCTGATCCTTCAGTATGTCACACCATGGGTTTTATTCCTAGCACCCCCGTCATGTCTCTAAACTAACCTTCTCTGCAACAAGACGAGCTACCATTTGATTGGGATATGTTTCTAGATCCGATGGCTACTAGTATCTACCCCACGGGTGGAGTTTGACCGGTAGTCGACCCATTACTTCAGGGTATAAGAATGGGCAGGGGCTAAGATAGTGACTGTCAAGCGTGCTATCCTATATGTGACATTCACCTTTGTGGTCATTTCCATGCAGATAGCAATTAACGTGAGATATAATACTAATGGCAACCGGCACGATAGATCATTCAATAAGGCTATAGATATTATCCTCCGGTGTGGATCGTAATCTTTTAGTCGTTGTATTTTGCCACATTATTGGGCATATGTAGTAGGGTGCGAAAAGAATATCGCTTCTTGACTAAACTTCTGCCAGTTTTATCTTCATCGATATAATCCGATAGTACGGAGTACTCTGTACCTTTGAAGATTGTGAAATCACATTAGCCCTATTAGTTCCCACTAACATTACTGCAGATTTTCGCACCTTACCGTATTCAGCAAGTAAGACATCCGACCCATATTTCGGAGATTCGCCATAACGTCACTACTCAGGAAAATGTTAAGGATATTTTTAAGGTTAGCGGTTGAGATCCACTCGGTCCAGATTCCGGGGCTAGATCTTCAACTTGCCCGATTAGGAAATGCACATCTCCGACATCTTCGGTAGGACTGTCCAAGAGTCTGACGGGTCGTTCAACCGATCGCCCGTCAGGGCGGAAGACTTCGAACATAGTTCTTTTCGTATTAGCACTTGTAATACGCTTGTATTACTGCTCTTGTCGTTCTTGGGGGCTACGTGTGTCGATAATTTAAGTCTTGGGTTAATATATATATATCTTCGCTACATTCGCACTTGAAGTATGGAGATTAGGACATGTTTACATTGAATATGTCTGAATAATAAGGCTTTCTGTCGGGCATAGAATGGTGACAGACGATTGAAATATTCTATCTAAAGTACATGGAAACCATGTTGGAAGTCAACCTGGCCCAGCCACTCGGCTTGTCAATATAGAGAACGGATACGAATAAAACATAACGATCTCGTTTACCACCATTACATATCTTCTGTAATACATGCTATGGTAAAATCAGAAACATAAACCATTTCAATGACAGGCCTTTCCATACTTCTTCAGACGATGGTAATTGTACGGCAACGGAGCAAGATAGCCAGCAGTCATCGACACTACAGCCGCCATCCAGAATTTGGGATCTCCAACAGCCACTACACCTCCCGTGAGATGATAGTCAACGATATTTTCAGCTGCCTCCATTGCCACCATCGAGACCATGCACATGCCCATTGCTGTGCGCGCTGCCATTGGCCAAGAGAGTTGGTCAACGCCCCGTCGAAGAAGTACGGTTTCAAGAATGATCGATGTAGTGATCCCGGACGCCACTGTGTAGAGCCTGCCGTTAGAATGGAGTTGTCGTTGTTCTTGCATAGAATAAGTCAACTTACTGGACGCAGCCATAGTTGTGCCCATGCCAAGTGCGGGATAGTAGGTTTGCAGCATCCACAGCGCGGAGAAGTCACCAAGGGTACAGCCAACAAGGCACCGCAGTGTATTAATCCCTGCTCTTTTCCATGTTGACCGGCAGTTCCAGAATTTTAGTTGCCACATTGATAGTAATGGCCTAATCGTGGTTGTAGTCGAGGCATCTTTCGTGGAAGTCTGACACTGAGGTTGTTCTTTCACTTGGTGGGAAGGGCGGGCTTGGGCGACGAGAAGCTCGAAAAGTATTGCAATGATCGGAAAGCAGGAAGTGGAATAAGGCCTAGGCAATGCCGGGCTCGAAATATTCGACAGCTCTGTTGCATGTTTAAGATGGATTGTTGCGGAGCGGGATGGACCTAGAAGGACGGTGGTTATATTGGGCTATTTGTAAGTTATTGATCCTTCCTCAGGGAACAAATTACGCGAAAAAGGCGCAGAGAAAGACCCACAGTTAGGTTGGCAGCACCATACACTTGGCTTTGGGAAGACTCTACGGGTGCTCGGAGGGACGAAGCCAAGCCAACGGTTTGGGCTCTGGGCACAAATGCCTCACCGGATAGAGGTATTCATCGGCTTATAAGTAGAGAGATAATTCTTCTCCCCATTCACCAGGTCAAATTTTGATTACACACCCCTTGCTGAACTCTTGCATTTCAACATACATTTCCCTGTGACCAACGTCCCTCGACTCTTCACCAAAGTCCCAAGGCAACCATCACCACACACAATGTCCGATCATCGGTACAAATTCAACGTCAAGATGGGATGCTCCGGCTGTTCCAATGCTATCAAGGAGGCTCTTGGACCACTGAGCGGTAAGCAACTACAAATACAACCCTCTAGTGTTATTTTGCATAGCCCACATAGCCCTGTAATTACGTTACGTCTTTCACGCGTTACACTAATGGAGTACGTCTATCAATAGGACTTAAGTCCCTCGATATCAGCCTTGAACAACAAATCGTTTCCGTCGTCGCTGAACCCTCACTTTCATATGATGCCGTGCTCGCAGCGATCAAGGAAAAGGGCAAAGAAGTTCACAGTGGCGAAGCTGATGGGATCCTTCAGCCTATCTAAGCCGAGGTTGGGTGGCCACCAGATAAAGTCTTGCAAGGAGAGAGCGCTACAAACAACGGTTGAGCGCAAGGTGGATAGCAAATTGATGATAGATCTTGAGTAAATATAAGGTGTCTTTTTTTGCCAAGAAATGTAGGGGCGTGCAAAGCCAACGTGTGCGCGTAGATCTCATAAATCTGTCCGAATACAACGCACTCGGCGTGGGTCTCGTGTGTAGGAAAGAATATTCGGCTGTCACATACTACGACGATAGCAAATCAGTCACCATCCACAATCCAAGGATCATCCTGGGAGCCCTCCTCATTAGTGGACCATTTTGACTTCACGCACAAATGGCGCACCCGCCACTCAGGGAATGAGGACCAACCATAATTCTGACCTCCTACCCTTGAACCAAACTTCCGTTGCAGATCCAGAATGATGCGCGAATACTGCGCTAGAGTGTTGAAATTTGTCGTACCAACTAGAACCTGTCCTGGATTTGCAATCAGTTCCTCGGCTGACTCCGAAACCCCTGGAAATCCAGGTATATAATGTAACAGCCTACGCCCTCTACTCTACCAGATTGTATTCATTGCTCGCAACACATCGACTCATTCAAAATGGTCACAGATAATCAAGGCTCGCCGCCTCAATCAAGGCTCACCACTATCTTAGTGAACAACCTGCATTGCCCTTCGTGCGTGACCAATGTCGAAGACACTTTATCAGCTCTCACTCCCTCGCCCTTTTCCATCTCGACCTCCATCGTGTCCCATGCAATCAGAGTCACGCACCCCATTACCCTCAGCAGCTCCCGGATCGTATCCGCACTCGAAGATGTTGCCTTTGAAATTGACAGTGTCATCGCCAACGACTCAGACGGAGGCGACCTTGAAGCTCAGCAACACCAACCCCGTCACGCCAGCTCTGGAAAGCATGATGTTCTTTCTCAATCGAAAGTACATATCCAGAAGTGCGATGAATGTGCCACGCAACTCGCCGCATTATCATCCAGTGCTAGTGACAATGAACGGGCCATGAAGGAGATCACTGCAGCGGCCGCGTCCGTCAGCTCTGCGGATAACAGCCTCACATCCGTTGTGGATGACCGGCTCACAGGCAGCCGAACACGCATTACGCTATCCATCAGTGGAATGTCCTGCAGCTCATGTGTGGGAAAGATTACGGGTGCTTTGCAAAACCGACCGTGGATCTTATCGGCCGATGTCAATCTCCTCACTAGTAGTGCTGTCATAATGCTCATGGATAACTCACATGTGGACGAAGTGCTTGAGATTATCAGAAGCTCGGGATACACCGTGGAACTGATCGACACGGAGGAGCTGCAACCTCAGAAACCATCCAAGCCGTCTGGAATGGCAGATGCCTGGCGAGCTTCCTATGTCATCGGAGGCATGACCTGCAGCTCCTGCGTTGGCAAAGTGACTGACACTCTGAATCACCATGATTGGATTACCAAAGTGGACGTGAACCTGGTCTCAGGCAGTGCGACTGTGGAATTCCAAGGAAAAACACACCTCGAGGAGATTGCAGAAATCATCAAGGGTCTGGGTTATACGGCCACTCTTAGTGACCTGGAGAGCAGGGCACCGGCGGAGCAACGTAGCGCAAAACGATCGCTGATGATCCAGGTGGATGGAATTCACTGTGCACATTGTCCTCAGCGCATTCTGGATGCTCTTGAGGTATATTCAGCCCGGTTGGATGTGACAGAACCGCCTAGCAAAGCTCAGCACAGGCTCACAGTAAATTATCTTCCCGACGCACCCAATTTTACCATCCGGCATATCATCCGGACCATCGCCGATGTGGACAAGTCTTTCACTGTTTCCATTTACCATCCGCCCAGTCTGGAGGAACGTTCGCAGGCAATGCATCGTAGACATCAGTGGCAAATTGCACGTCGCCTAGCCCTGTCCGTACTGGCAGCCATACCAACATTCATCATCGGGATCGTTTACATGTCCCTAGTCTCAAAGGACAACCCCGGTCGCATGTACCTCGAGGAGCCCATGTGGGCTGGTCAGGTATCACGCATTGAATGGGCACTTTTCATCATGGCAACTCCCGTCTACTTCTTCGCTGCTGACCTGTTCCACCGCCGTATGATCACCGAGCTCAAAGCCTTATGGAGACCAGGGAGCAAGACCCCAATCCTGCGGCGTTTCTATCGTTTTGGAAGTATGGATATGCTCATGTCACTGGGAACGTCGATTGCCTATTTCTCGTCCATCGCGATACTGGCAATCGATGCCACACAGCCGAGGGACGGCCATAAAGCGTCCAGAGACGGAACATTTTTCGACTCGGTGGTGTTCCTGACGATGTTTCTAATGATCGGCCGGTTGCTAGAGGCTTATAGCAAAGCTAAGGCTGGAGATGCCGTGGGTCTCCTTGGCAAGTTGCGCCCCAAGGAGGCTCTCCTCGTGGAGCGGGATGGAGAGGAATCCACGAACACTCGCGCGATTCTGGCCGATCAGTTGGAATTTGGGGACGTGGTACGTGTGGCGAATGGTGCTTCCCCCCCGTATGACGGGACTGTGGTGGAAGGAGAATCTCAGTTCGACGAATCCAGTTTGACCGGAGAATCTCGACCGGTCACCAAATCGATCGGAGATGATGTATTTTCGGGCACTATTAATCAGGCGGGCCCAGTTTCGGTGCGTATCACTGGACTTTCTGGGGATTCAATGTTGGATCAGATTATTGGCGCCGTTCGTGAAGGACAAATTCGCCGGGCACCCATCGAGCGTACAGCTGACCTGATCACTGGAGTCTTTGTGCCAATCATTACGCTGATTGCTATTTTGGACTGGATTGTATGGCTGGCTCTTGGCCTCTCGGGCAGATTGCCTGACTCATGGATGAATGGGAATCCCGGAGGGTGGGAGTTCTGGTCATTGCAGTTCGCTATATCAGTGTTCGTTGTCGCTTGCCCCTGTGGAATTGGGCTTGCTGCACCAACGGCGTTGTTTGTTGGTGGCGGACTCGCCGCCCAAAATGGTATTTTGGTCAAGGGAGGTGGTGAAGCGTTCCAGGAAGCTAGCCAACTTGATTGTATCGTCTTTGATAAAACGGGTACCATAACCGAGGGAGGTGAACCGGCCATCACTGATCATGAGGTAGCCAACACTGAAGATGTCGACAATATCTGGGGTGCAGTTTTAGACCTCGAACAGAACAGTAGTCACCCAATCGCTAAGGCGATGGTGTCTTTTGCCAACTCCCAACAGCCACCGGCCCTCAAAGCTACTACTGTGGACGAGATTCCAGGAAAGGGCATGAAAGGCTCTTTCTTTCCTCAGGGCCAAAATGGACCTGTGCTTGAGGTCATTATAGGCAATGAAGCTCTGATGAAAGATTATAAGGTTGTGATATCCTCGAGCAATGATGAAACGTTGACCACCTGGAAGCGCCAGGCAAAGTCGGTCGTTCTAGTCGGCACCAGAATCCGTCCAACACCAGGACCCACAGTGCACGTTCCTTGGAAGCTCTCGTTGATGTTGGCTGTAGCTGACCCCGTTCGACCCGAGGCTAAGGACACCCTCCAAGCCCTGCGCAATCGGGGCATAGCGGTCTGGATGCTTTCCGGAGACAACCCGACGACTGCTCACGCAGTGGGAGAGATGGTGGGGATCTCGGCGGACAACATTATCGCCGGTGTCTTGCCCGAGCAAAAGGCCGAGAAGGTACAGTACCTGCAGAAAACTCTTCAGAAGCCTCCTCGATCGAGTTGGTTCAAGTGGAGCAAGGAGCCCCAGTCCAGCCGAGCGATGGTCGCCATGGTTGGTGATGGAATTAATGACTCACCTGCTTTGACCGTAGCTGATGTGGGTATCGCCATCGGGTCTGGGTCGGATATCGCCATCTCGTCCGCCGAATTTGTCCTGGTCTCCTCCGGTCTTACATCCCTTCTTACCCTGATCGACCTCAGCCGCCTCGTGTTTCGACGGATCAAGTTCAACTTTGGCTGGGCTTTGGTGTATAACTGTGTTGCCGTTCCAGTCGCCGCTGGTGTGTTCTATCCTATTGTCAGCAATGGTACTCATGTGCGGTTGGATCCCATCTGGGCTAGTCTTGCAATGGCGTTGAGCAGTGTTAGTGTTGTTTGCAGTAGTCTTCTCATGAGGACACGACTCCCATTAGTTGGCTTCAGAGCTAAGAAATAGTCTCCCTGCAAGGTGAACTTCCTTCGTGTACCGAGGATTATAAATGTCAGGTATTGTTCAATGGTTTCCTAGTTTACATGATCTACTTATCGCCCTATTCAAAGTCATCTCTCGTTGTGTGTTATCTTACGCCTAATTCTACATATTCTGTTATTCATTGTCTACCATAATATGTCTTCTTATAGAAGAATGTTGCACCTGCTGTTATTTACTCTCCAGGAGATTTAAACAATGTATCTAGCCTTCGGACATTGCGTTCATAATATTAAGGTCCATTCTGTCCTCGTTTAGAAACATCTTAGCCCCTTATCTGTAAACGTAAACTTTCATTCTTTCGGCTGAGCACGTAGCTGAGCATATTTGAGCATGAAAAGCGTGCCGAATCCGATGGCGCAGTCATCCTAGAGCGGAGATACCGTACAGCTCGTCCTCTAAGCCGATATTCTGATTAGCCGTCGAGGGCTAGCTACTTTTATATAACCTAGGATCCTGGACTGGCGGCAGCATAGTCATCGATCTTTACCCATTTCGCAAGCCATTGCGGACAACGCGCATTAATTCATTTTTCTACATATTAAACCTGTTTCTGCCGGCAGAATAGTCTACTATACTGAATCTACTTAAATTACTTTCTTGGTCTTCTTGATCTGCTTAGTCCACTTCGTCTGCGTGGTCTGCGTTTTGACAAGTCACACTCCTTGTTCAGTCGGAAGTTGACTTGGACCTAAGGAGCTACTTTTCACTGGAAATGGGAACCATGAGGATGAAGCGTTGAAACTGTATATCTAATGGAATCATTCATGTAGCTTTGAAGAGCCTTGTTGACGAGAAAGAATATATAGAAGTTATTCTTGATTATATTTTAACTGTGGGCAGAGCATTGAGTCTGCTGGTTTTTGTGTCATTAAATCCGCTACATACAATGTTGTGCTGCTGCAATCATAAGGGTCCACCATGGACGAAGAAAAGAAAAGTGTGTCCGCGATACGTCAAAAGGGAGCTTGGTGGCTCTCAGCTCGAATTTCCGTGTCGAATTTCCGTCTCGCATTTCCGTCGTTAGATCTCAAATCATACCTGATACTGTCGCTCCAGCCAAGAAAGCTCCGGTCTGCCAGCGCAAGCAGCATCGCTATTGCAAGTACCGGAATCATAGCCGGCATAGAAATAAAAGATGGTTTTCTTATCCGCAATTTGGTCGGCATTGAGGTTAGCGGGCAGGGAGGAGACTGGATAACCCATGTATCCGAAGAAGGCCGCATCATTATCGGCAGCCTGCGATGCGTGATCGGCAAAGAACCCAGTAGTGTGGTGATCGCTATGGTCGCCGTCACCGAGATCGTTGACATAGTCCAGAGTGTTGATACGGTCGGGACTGAAATTCTCAATAATATCAGAAAGGACGTCCAGAAGTTGCTGCCTTGTATACGTAGTGCCAGAGGCATCGACGGTGCCGATCTGGTCGATGGTTCCCTCCCAGAGCTTTTGAAGACTAACACTACCGGTGGACGCAAAACCGGAGCCGTCTCCGTTGCCGTCGGGAATGTGCATGAAAGCGAGTTCGATCTGTGGTTTGGCTGCGAGTTCGTATACTGGGATGTCGAATCCCTCGATGCCTGCGTCGCCTTCGTTCCATTCATTGGCAACACCTGCGATCAGTGCATAAGTCGCTAGGGATCCGGCTTGACGGCTGGTCCAGTAGTCTTCGCCCTGGCCTGCGTCGCCCGCCGTGAGGAAGACGGTGCGGACGGCACGACCTGACCGTACGTCGTTGAGAACGTCTGGAGACATAAAAAGTAGATCATCATCTTGATGTGCGACGATGTTGAGGGTTTGTGCAACCGTCAAGGCCGCAGGCCCGAGGATAGCTAAACAGCTGAGGAGGCTGTAGGGTTTCATCTTGAGGGTATAGACAATTGTTCGGCCTGTTATGAGTGAAACAAAACAATAGTGAGACAGGATATGGATATGAAGGCTAATTTATGCTCGGTATTTCCAAGTCACAATGTAAACAAAATTGCATTGTTGCCATGTTGCCATGTTTTGTGGCTTTAGCTATGCTGCATTCCAGTGGCACCTCGTCCCTGTCGTCCACATTCTGGTCAAGACATTCATTCAAACATCATTTCGCCGATATGGTGCAAATCAGATAACCTTTCTTGTACTCCCTGGTGTTTGACAAATGTTAACCCTATTACAATCGATACAGCAATCCTATAAATACGAGCCGAGTGTTTGCAAAGCGTGTTCCACCACTACTTATCTTCATCATCCACCACAGATAACCCCTACACAAGGTCCAGTCCATTTAATTTATCCGAACCATTTGCTCCCTCTTGCCTTGTTTTCATTTATATTCTTGATTGAAGACACAACTATTCCTAACTATACTCAGTGAGATCCTCCGTGTTCATGTGATGTGGATGTCGGCAAGTAGTCCCTGGCGCATCCCTTGCTTCACACACCCCGGTTCCCAGTTTCAATTGGCATTATGGAATGTTGGCCAACGTCTCCACCACATGTAGAGCTAGCCAAGCGACAGCGAGGGGCTAGGAATTTGCTATCCTATCTTCGGAAGTGGTTGTGCTCTCTGCAGGCTCGTATCTTGGCGCATTGCATCGGGATCGCCGAAATCAACTCCGTTTGGGTCCGTCCTTGAAGTGTAAGGTTTTGTCAGCCACCTCGTATATCCCTTGAATCTAGCAAGCAAGAAATACAGAGATATGTCATGTGGATGCAGAGTCCGATGAATTTATTCGTTCTAAATCTTCTCCCATCGACACCTACATAGCACAATAGCACCTTGCAGTAGATTGCTACCATACAAAGTGGGGATGTCCACCTTTCAAGTTAACCTTTATGGTATATGTTAATCTTCCACCAATCCATCGGTCTGGCCTGCTCAGCTTTATTCTAAAAGAGATGACTTGGACTTCATATCAATAAGTTTCAAGAGTACCTCATCTCTCTCCTTCTGTAAAGTATCAAGATCAGTTGCCTGCATCATAGGCTCAACCGTTCTACTTAAATCCTTAATATCTTCAGCCGTCATTTCGAACGTATGCTTATGCATGTCATCATGCCACGACTTAGCAGCGGGACCAAGATGCTCCAAGAAATGCTGAAAGTTCCCGCCTCCTGCCATAGCATTCAGGGCGAAAGGTCCATTCAGCGCCCACCGTAGACCCAGTGAAGACGTCACAGTCGCATCTTTTACAGATTCGTTAGCGATATAGTTATACCAACTAGACTCATTCGAATAACGCTGGGAGGAAATATAGGATCTTACCTAAATCTGCGGCAGAGATAACCCCTCTGCTCACCAAACTATATGCTTCCATCAAAAGAGCAGCTTGGAGCCTGTTGGCTATGAATCCGGGGATCTCCTTTTGGATAAGAACTGGCATCTTGCCGAGGCTTTTGTAGAATTCCATAGCGCGAGGGACCACAGTCACCCGATCTGTCTCTGTATGTGGCACGACCTCCACCAAAGGAATTAAATGTGGTGGGTTGAAAGGGTGCCCGACCAGAACCCGCTCAGGGTGGTGACGGCACACCGACACATATTCAGAGGATGGGATTCCGGACGACGAAGATGCGATTACTACCTCAGGCCGTGCTCTTTCGTCTAGGTAGGCGAATAGGCTGCGTTTGAATGCTAGCCGTTCGGGGCCGTTCTTGATTATGGTGAGTGGAGAGATAGGCAGTCTTTGTGAACGGCGGCCGTACCTCTTGTATGAAATCAATTTCGCCGAAGTAATTATCCAGTGCATCCACAAATGTGTAATTGTTTATAGAAGCCCCTTCGCTGAGGCCTATTTGAGTGAGTGTCGGCCATTGTGCTTTCAAATATGTCTCGAGGTTTTGCTCTGCGTCCGGAGCAGGATCCGTCACCAGGACTTTAAGCCCTCGGGCCAGGAATAAAGCCGTCCAACTGGCTCCTATAACGCCCGTGCCTATTATAGCAACGGTTTTGATATCCTTCTTTGTTATCGACATCTGGGAAGTAAGTTATAATTAAGTATCAGGTACGATGATGAGTGATGGCAATGTGATTGTGTAAGTTGAGGTGTTACTAGGTGTATCATGCTAGGGAAGTAGTAACTTTATATATCTCGCAAGCCGAAGCTTGAAACTCGGCAACCCGATTCCGAAAAGCACATTACCTTAAGATTTCAATTTCCTAGCGTAAAATTATTTAATACACGGAAAAGTCCTCGAACAAATTGAGGCATATACAAGGTCCACTGAGCAGTACCGCGCGTCCGAGGAATATGGCCGGCATACCGAGGATTTGCTTTATGAGTCCCGCGGGATTTGACCCAGTGATTACCATTTTAAGTTAGCGGCATCCGCGGATGAGATGCCGAATTGCGGATACTCGCACAACGCCCAATATATTCAAGCCGCATATCCAACACAGATGTTGCCGAATTCGATTCCTGAAACTGTACGTATATTGAGGGCAGAAACCTTAGATCAGAGTGATGCCAGTGTAGAAACCATCACCACGATGTATAACTTCCTTTCCACCCCCATTCATACTGACTCGATACAGACTACCGCCTAAGTCAGTGACATAGACTTGCTGGTTGATTGAATCCACTTTCAATCCAATAGCTTCATGAAACTGCCGTGCCAAAATCTGCAGCCGAGGACTTTTTCCACCAACATATGCCTTACTCAGTGTATTACCAGACGGATGCGCGCCACGATCGGTCCAGTAAAGCGTCTGCGTCTCAGACACAAAGTCCAGGTCAATAGGCTCGGGAAGTCCCCGGAACAATGTCTCAATATCTGACCGATCAAGAGCATTTTCACCAAAAGGCATATCGATATTCGCACGGAAGATTCTTCCTTTATTTCCTCTGTTGGGCCCTTTCTGTGTCCAATAGAATTTCCCGTCCTTGACATCAACGGCTATACCCACGCACCACCGCGTTTGGTCTTCTTTATCGCTGGTTTTGCAATCTCCGCGGAGGACCAGAATCTCGTGGTTCCGGCCGTCGAAATCACAGCGGTGGACACTCATACCCTCACGATCGCAAAAGTAAAGCATCCGATTCTGATCGTCAACAGTGAGTTGCTTGGGCGTGTACGCAGAACCCTCGGGAATGATGGTTTTCATATCGCTCCCATCGAGATTTGCAGACATCACCGACCCATCTTGAACAGATGTATCGAGTCCCATATTAGTCCAAAACATGCGACTGGCGGACCGCGATATTGCAAGACCATCAGGAGCCGTAAGACCAGTTACGACTGCAGTGATGCTCCTGCCACCATCCCTGCTGCGGAGAATCCGTCCATTCTGCCCAAAGAAGCTCCCGTTAGTAATCCTCGAACTCTGAGCTAATTCCAGGAAGTAGATTTCTTGGGGCTCGTTTTGCTCCTTTGTCCCGGACAGAGGTAATCCTCCCTTGCTTGTCTTGGTCTCTGGCTTCCCTTGTTCGAAGTAATTGTTGCGAGGCCAATTAGCGGTCGGGGTTGGGTCAGGGTCTAGCTTGTCCATGTAATCGCCATAAGGTGCTATATTCTCAAGGGTATGAACATGTCGAGATGACTGAAACTGGGTGGTGGACATGTTGTTTGATGACCTTTTCCTATTTATAGGATCAGAGAAGGCTTGGGGATGTCTTTGGAAGAGGGTAATCTGGTAATTGGGTCCTTTTTGACATTTTAAAAGCGACCTGTCGATATATGTATCTTGTCCGCGAAAGATACTTTTCCCGAAACTGTCGGGGTTTGACATCATATCGCTATGCTAGGATAAACTTCACCAAAACCGGGTGGAGTTCGCGATACGCACCGGGCCTGGATAAATCTAAAACTATACTCAATGTTGTTATTGGCGACCTGGCTCTTCTGGAGGGCTGGATTTTGGGACAATGTCCGGTACATTTCAAGCTATGGTCTTATCGTGTGCCATCTATCAGGTATGTACAAGGCTCCAAATAGGTGTTTTACTTGTTGCGCGGAAAGCCCTTGCTCATTAATGACTAATTAATTAGACTTTTCTTTGGAAAGCATTTAGGATCCCAGAGTAATAATGTGTCTACTACAGTCTTACATCAGTGGGCGAGTGGTTATAACGCTCGTCTCTATCTAATGTCTACATATGAGTACGAAGCATCTATTACACAAAGAAGGCTGCATCGTTAACTTCGAAAAAAGTACATGGTACTTCAGAGGTCATAAATACCGATCTCTTCTAAGGCTGCGCGTCATACAACAACCTTTATTCTGGCAGAACCCATGAACAACGCATTTAACTTGCTCGCATTGCAAACAATCACAATGACAACACAACAAGAGCCGAAAAGCTGCAAAACGAGCAAATATCCGATAAAGTCAAAATGAAGCTCTGCTCAAGGTACCAAATATTCAACCCATGGCCCCATAAATGTCACCACACATAGCAAATTAACGTCAGTAAAACGCCACGACGCCCTTGAGTTTTCATATCGGTGTTCAGTGGATGCGTTCACGAAGAGGTAAAGTAAATGAAAAATAAGGAGTCACCCATGCATGATGAGGACATGACTGATTAACCCCAATCCATTCAATTTAAAATACCTGAAACCATAATAGTATACCTATGCTACTGAAAAACAATTTTTCAAGGAACAGGACGGCGCAAGAGCTCAAGGCTATCTAGGACTTTTTGGTTTAGTCTTCGTGGAAATAACAAAAGAACGCCATGGTCATTTAGTTTGACGAGTGTTATAATTAAAGCGACAATTAGGATGAGGAGAATAATACCTATAACGATTTTTCAGTGTCTGATAAGCCAACGTCGACCCTTTTGCAATTGCTCCCGATAGCCAGGCGATTCATCTGGTGGTTGCGCCATGGCAGAAAGCGATGTCATCTATTTAGCAGAGATGTTTTCCACGGTTAATTATGGTAGACTGTTGCGCTTTGCACACTAGCATCTAGGTTCCGATAGAATGTGAGACAGTGACTATCAGCATCCTACATGGTAGATAGCCCGACATTTATATCCTGCTGTGTCTCGGGAGATTGCTATTAGGCTTCAAAGCGGTGCATGTCAGGAAGGGAAATTCCGGCTAAGCCACAATTAATATGCGACTCTGACTGGACTGAAAATGAAAGAGTATTCATGTAAAGACCAGGATAATATAATTCGTCTGAGACCATTGTGGGGATTCAACAAAGCATTGGAGAATCTCCAGGTCAGTTGGATGGGAGTAACTTCCATTGTTCTTGGATCACTCCGACTCGATGTTTTGTATCAGCTATGGCTTAATGAGAATGCGTTCTCTGTCAAAGAAAATATGATGCAACCAATATATATCGCTGGTTTCAAAACACTTCCTCCTGGACTTGATTATGGTAGGTCGAGCGCGCACTATAGTCCAATGTGATATTAAGCTCTACCGGGGTGGACACTATGCATTTTCCTACTTTCTAAGGGCTGTATTACTGGAGTGATTGTATCGTGAGCCCTCTGTTTTCTCTTTTAACTCACTAGCGTTTGCATTCATCGGCCTATATCCTAAATCTCAGGACATAGAAATCCATACTGCAGAGTCTCCACTTCAAGACACAATGGGGTTGCGAGAAATATGACTAGTATCCTTTCTGCCACATGTTTCTTGGATAGTTAGGTGTTTGACCAGCTTGCAGATGTTCCGGTGTGCTCGACGGTTGCAGTGATACTAGCAGCGCAAGCGAAAACATCAGCCTTATCACGATACTACTCCGGACGGAGCAGTAGTGGAGACTCGGACCTCCTGATTGGCGGAAAAGTGGACCATAGACTTTTTGGGGCGGACATGCCGAATCACTTCTCTCCACCATGAGAGACATGAGTACACCTACATAGAAAGAAAGTACAAAAAGTAAGAGTGTTCTACCAGAGAACACAGTTTAGTATCATCGACACAACCAGGTATTGTAGTTCTCGACTCCCTTAGGGAAATGAAGCACGACAAGCATCGCAGCCACCTGAGCTTATGAATTAGCTTGGGTAAAGTCTGGCTCTACTCCACAGTAATTCTAGGGCCGGCCTTATGGCATACCACCACGACGCCCCCACAGAATCGAGGGCGTATCAGATGGGTTCAGACCGTCACATTTATTCTTTCCATGTTTTCACGAAAACCCAAGACTTAAGGCTCTTGGCCTTGCTCCACCCATCATTATATTCGCCTTCTTGACTAACATTCAAGAGAAATCTTAGCTAATGCCAATACTGTAGCTGGGAACCTCTGTGCTTGAGAAATCCAGTATTTGATGGCCATGTCGCCTCTCTAGCTGAAGGTCCTTCGTGCTTCCATGCGCCGACCTAATCTTCTCATCATCGCATGATGGCAGGTGGTTTCCTCCCGTACCACGAGCCTGGTAGTAAGTATCAACTGTTGGAAATTCATCCCGAGCCTACATACGATCGCAAAGCTTACTCGATCAGTTGTTGAAATCCTGATTATCATCTCATTCTTTTTCTTCCTCTCCTTAGCGGAATGGGTCTCCGCCAAAGTTCTCCGCGCCGGAATTATTGGGCAGATTGCAGTTGGCATCATCTATGGTGTACCGCTGGCAAATATTCTTGAATTCAACTGGCAACAGACTTTCCTGGTGCTGGGATATGTTGGCTTGATCCTGATTATTTTTGAAGGTCGGTTACTTGAAAGTTTTGCGGCGTGTGTCGGTGTTGACGTCAATCATCTCCAGGTGGTCTTGGCGCCCGGCTCGATCTTCTGAAGGAGAATTTGGTGGTGAGCACTATTGGCGCCGCCACGGGGGTTTGTTTTCCCATCGGACTTTCCTATCTTTTGTTATACCTGGGATATGGATATGGTATTTTCTAGCTTTCTCTCTCTCTCTCTCTCACCAGTTGATCTAACGTCAATCAGGCGCGGTCGAGACGTTCATCATCGGGGCGGCACTTTCCGCTACCTCTTTGGGTAATAATCCGCAGCCAAACCCTAACTTGTTTGAGAGATCTAACACCACTGGTTAGGTACCACATTCGCGGTAATCTCATCCGCCTCGAAAACAGTGGATTTAGCTCAAACTCGCGTGGGCTCAGTTCTTGTGAGCGCAGCTGTCATTGATGATGTGGTTGGTCTCGTGCTTTCGAGGTCAGTAACCCGAATCTCGACACTCCGCACATACTTAGTACTTACCTTGAAATCAACAGCATCATCTCCGACCTAGGGAAACTCTCCAACAGCGACGCCAACCTCGGCTGGATCATCGGTCGTCCAATCGTAGCCTCCGTTGGAATGGCCATCGTCACACCTGTCGTAACGAAATTTCTCTTTGCGCCGATATTCCGAAAATACATCGAGTACCACTTTGCCCGCTACGACCACATCTCCAACATCATATTAATGACACTCGTCTTATGCGCATTTATCTCCATCGCGGCTTACACGGGAACATCGGTCCTCTTTGGCGCATTCCTCGCCGGAACATTTCTCTCCTACCTACCGAGCAAGCGTCCCGATGGCCCATTTGTGGTTATGAGTCGTGAAGAAGGCGAGCAGAATGAGGATAAAAGTCCGACCTTTGTTCATACGTTCGAGGTCTATCTCCTGGGTGTGCAGGCGTATCTGATGGAGCCTCTTTTCTTTGCGAGTATTGGATTCGCTATTCCGTTCGTGCAGCTGTGGACGGGGAAGCGTATTTGGCGGGGTATATTATACACGCTTCTGATGGTTGTTGCAAAGGTAAATCTATTGGACATCTTGATGAGGTAGCAGTGCTAACTGGTATAGTTTGTCGTGGGGATATGGATCCCAATCTGGAAATACCTGCCAGGGACCAAATCAAAAGACAGCAAAGCATCTAACGAGTCTCCTTCTGCTCCGAATGTACCAGCGGAGGCTCCCAAAGACAACGCAACGATGCTATCGGCCCTGTTACTTGGTTCTGCCATGGTTGCGCGTGGCGAGATTGGTCTTTTGATTATTGAAATCGGTTACAACTCCACGGAATACGTGAGCGAGGAAGGATTCATCACTGGTGTTTGGGCAATCTTGTTGAACACGATTATCGGTCCGGTTACGGTGGGTCTGTTGGTCAAATTTTATGGGAAGCGAATTGGGGAGGGTGAATGGGGATTGCAGAAGGACTCGGGTCCATCGCATGAGAAGCAGAATGCGCAAGGTACTGTATGACATCTGTTGTATGACACGAGTTCCCCACCACGGTGAGGTTAAGCCCTAATTAGGTAGGGTATTGCGTATTAATCAGTTACTTTATCTATCTAGACTTAGTATAGAAATGTGGAAAGCTTCATATTGTAGTGGGATGACCTTTACGTTTCCCCCTGCCTGTCACATCATGCATCATCCCTAAGGTGCACATATAAGGAACGGTCAGTCACCATAGGTTAGTTTAATCGGATAAGTTCTCCATTCTTTCATGGAGTGTACCAGCCGGTAATATAGACAACACATTAAAGAGCAACATATGAATAGAGATCAGAGTCGTAGAGCGAAGTCAATATGCGGATGAAGCTAAGCTTTCGACGAAGAACGTGGCCTCCGACACCATTTGTATGATATCCACAGACGAAATAAAGGTATATAGCGAAGTCTGAAGCGTTAAAGGAAGAGAAAGTATACTTCTAAGGCGGAAGCGCAAAAGTCATTAGCATAGCCACAGGAGCGACGCTTCAACCGACCTCACTTTTACCGCTGTCCGCCTCCATATCATGAACATGAGTATCAATTATCAAACAATATCCTCGTGCCCGTTCCCACCTTGCGTTTCTTCGTTCGCGAACATCCAGAGTAATACTTTATTCAAGTTTGATCGATCATGTAACTGAAATCAGTAGTACTAGTTCTGTTAGTTCCTGTCTTTCTGCATCAAGTTCTCCACAGAGCTCGCGACCGACGACTCCTGGTTTGGATGTCATTCATCCAGGAACCCTTAACAAGGTCTTGTGCATAGATGTCAGTGTGCATCAAATATTCGCCTTCTACGCTATGGCACTGGAATATACTAGATGATTAGACCATTCCCCAGATTTGCCTCTCATTTTCCCGACAAGCCATCTCTTCTTTCAATAAAGATAGATTACAAATCTGTGTCGTTCTCGGACTGCTGCCCCAGCTATCTTGGCCAGCTTGATTCTGCTGACCTGCAAAGCTTGTCTACTTCCCAGCCGGCTTCTTCAAGGTGCCCGTTACGCTTACAACGCTGAGCCAAAGAGGCAGATTCTCCGTTGCATCAAACACACCTGCACCCAGTAGCATCAAGTGATCCGGATACTTGCCAAAAACGTGTAAGCTCCGGCTGTACGCCGGCGCTTGAGGTGTGTCATGCATTTCCCACTGATCAGGCTGGCCACCGGCTTGATTGGTGAAAACACCGCTGTGATCCGCATCGCTAACGATGATGGTCCCATTATCACCGCCGGCGGAGGACCAGACCACATAAGGAGATGCGTTTGGCTGAACTCCATCAACCATGATGGGAACACCATAGGCAAAGCGGAAATCAAATGGACTCTCGGACATTCGATAGTAGACCGGATAGCCTGCCCCAGACCAGCTCCCCCCTCCTGGGAACTCGTGCACCAGAATCCACTGCTTCAGAGGGGGAATGTAGGAAATGGCGGTCATTCCAGGTCGAGCGGTATAGTTGAGATAGGCCACATCGTCTACCACAGGTCCCCAGGATTTCAAGTCCGTTGATTCCTGGTGAGCAAGCTTCTGTCCATGCAGTGGGTCCCGCTGATCGGAGTAGAACACGCCGATGGTGTGGTTGAAAAATCTAGAATTTAACCGTTCAGCGTGTGTAAAAAAAAAAAAAAAAAAAAGAAAAGGGGAAAACATGGGCAGAGTGCAACTCACTGGATGAATGGCTCCCAGATGCATGGATTTCCATTTGTAGTATTCGGCCCACTACCTCTTGCCACATTGCTGACGAACTCCCATGTATGACCTTTGTCTTTACTGGCATAAATATCGATGTTCGTGCTCTGGTTTCCCCAGCTGTTTCCACTGGCCAGAATCGTGCCGGCTGGGAAGTCGCCAACCGGAAATGGCAGCTCTGCCAGCGCGGGCTGAGCGGACATTCCCAGTCCATTTATCTGGTCAGTCAGGTTGGAGACCCAGGACCAGGTGGCACCACCGTCTGCACTTCGAAATATGGGGAAGTATGGAGTTTTATCGCCCCCATACGAGGCTGTTGCGAGGAGACTTCCATCGGACAGTTCAACCTGTCGGGGATAGAGAATCGTGTGGTGGGAGTCAGGCTGGTAGATGACATTCTCTGCAAAAGTGGACCACGGCCGTGGTGGTGGGTTCAGGGGAGGCTTGACCGATTCGACACAACCGAGGCCAGCCAGACCGAGTAGCAAAAGCTTGGTGAGCATCTTTCCGAATTGGGTATATCAATGAGAAAGCTACTAGAGAGCTGCCGCTATCTCATTTGGGCTCTTTCCTCCTCAAGTTCAGCCATCTCACCCAAATCTTGGACGTAGTACTTATATTGTTGCTGGTCTACGTGCGGGGACCCCAGGTTCTCTTGCTGGTCGAACCTGGAAGATATCCGTTTGTACAGGGTTGAACATGGTTGACGCCCTAATACTTCAGTAGCACGGACCTTTAGCCGTCAATTCTGAGCCAAGTATTGTAACCTGGAAATTCAGGCTAAAGGCGAACATGCGTAACTCATGATCGCAATGCAATGGATGATCTTTCCATCTAGGTCTGTTTCTATTAGCCTATTGAATTGATTGGCTTTTCCTGATTCAGTAATCTCTATAGTTTAGGCTAGGGTACAAGCTGGGGTACAGAGTCGGCCGCACACAGCTTACTGCTGCTTATCTGTACAGATCACTTCCTGGCCAGCGCTTTATTTCCCAATTTAGCACTAGATTGAGAAAGTCTTGGGACGATCTTCTTTAAATATTCGTAGAACCTCCAACTACTGTGAAAATACCCGGAGAAGCAGCGGCTCCTAAGGGTCTCTGGCAACTGCCGCCGGGGTGGTCAGATTCGGTGGGAGAAGCTTTTCCACCTCCCGATAGTCTACTTCGGCAAATAGTCATGGCAATTACCGTCTATCATTCATATGATGCTAGGCGCTCTTTTTAATCTCTCTTGCCTCTGAGCCGTGGGTACTTTGATCGGGATGCACTCATCCCTTAGCGATGTTGTTTTCTAGTTCCGGTTGAATGGCATGCTACAAGGTTGTTAGCAAGTTCTGCAAAACAATGATAATCGAGAAGTTCCCATCAGGCTTTCAACACTCAGTCTTTGAAGATCGGAATCTGCACGGGTGTTTTATGCGCTGGTATCGGGGTTGTCTCAATATAGTCCCGGGACTGTAACCATAATATGCGGGAAAGATGACCGATAGCCCGTTCTGAGTAAGATTTTCCCTACCCCTCGATCCAGAGTGGAGATCTCCCAAGGCGAGCCATGTAGAAACACCCAAGCCTCTAGTCGGAGTATATTCGGCCAAGTATAAGATCCGTAATTTAGCCTAGGGATCAATGACAAAATTCTACGGGTAGGGATGCCTACATGTAGTAAAACCTATTTAAGTATTCAGCAATCACTTAGGCTTGTTTACCATATAGCGAGGTATTAGCCTATTGGTTTTTCCTAGGTACGGCCCACCGGCTTCCAGTGTTTTTCGGTGCAGAAGATTGGAAGGGTTTCATCATGGCGCCATCTCAGCCCCTTTGGGCTGGTGCAACAGTACTACTGTCTCTCATAGCAGTACACATCGGCGTCCATGCATCACCTGTCTGCAATATTGACAATTCAGCACCAAAGGCAGCCTACCATGCATCAAAAAGCTACGTTGGATGTTACTTAGATCCCAAAGTGGCAATTTTGACGGCAGCGAAACTTAACACCATTGGTATGACCCCCCAGTACTGTGCCAACTGGTGCGGTCAACGGGGCTTTGCATATGGAGGCATCGAGTTTGGAACGTAAGAGAACTGCCCTTTAACCGATGCGCGGTCCTATGATAATACAATTCCCCAAGCTGATTCTAAATAGGCAATGCTTCTGTGGGAGTACGCCAGATATCAGCACCGCGACCAAGACAGATGACAGCAGCTGCAACTCGAGATGCGCAACTGAACCATCCAGATCATGTGGAGGAAGCTATGTGTAAGTCTAATGCAAGATTTACAACAAAAAAGGCGCTAACATTCTGGAACTTTATTTAGCATGTCTTTGTATGAGATCTCGAATCCGCAAGACGACGTAACGCACACTAGGTTCGTGCCAGCGTGCCAAACACAGCCCCTCTGCAGTCACCCTGTCTGTGATACTTCTTTAAGCATTGCGGACAGAGTCAATTCACTTGTAAAATCCCTGACCCTGGAGGAAAAGATTCTCAATCTTGTGGATGCTTCAGCCGGATCTACCCGCCTCGGCTTGCCTTCCTATGCGTGGTGGAATGAGGCAACGCATGGTGTTGGCTCAGCACCCGGTGTGCAATTCACCTCCAAACCAGCCAATTTCAGCTATGCCACAAGCTTCCCGGCACCCATCCTGACGGCGGCTTCCTTTGATAACGCTTTGATTCGGAAAATAGCTGAAGTAATCGGCAAAGAAGGGAGAGCGTTTGCCAATAACGGGTATTCGGAATTCGATTTCTGGGCCCCGAATATCAATGGTTTCACAGATCCTCGATGGGGAAGAGGGCAAGAAACCCCTGGCGAGGATACTTTCGTTGCGCAGAACTATATTCGCAATTTCATTCCAGAGCTTCAGGGTGATGACCCGAAGAACAAGCAAGTCATTGCAACGTGCAAGCATTACGCAGTCTACCACTTGGAGACAGGCAGATATGGAAACAATTACAACCCCACGCAGCAGGATCTGAGTGATTACTTTTTGGCTCCGTTCAAGACCTGTGTACGTGATACGGATGTGGGAAGCATCATGTGTTCGTACAATTCAGTTTCCGGCATTCCAGCCTGTGCGAATGAATACCTTCTTGATACGGTGCTCAGAAAGCACTGGGATTTCAATGCAGACTACCACTACGTAGTGTCTGACTGCAACGCAGTCACGGACATTTGGCAATACCACAACTTTACCGACACCGAAGAAGCGGCAGCCTCCGTTGCTCTCAATGCCGGGGTTGATCTGGAATGTGGTTCCTCATACCTGAAGCTCAACGAATCTCTCGCAGCAAATCAGACTTCAGTCAAAGCCATGGACCAGTCATTGGCAAGACTCTATTCGGCACTGTTTACGGTGGGCTTCTTCGATGGCGGAAAGTACGATCATCTCGATTTCTCGGACGTTTCTACCCCTGCAGCACAGGCTCTCGCGTATGAGGCGGCAGTCGAAGGTATGACGCTTCTCAAAAATGACGACCTTCTTCCTTTGGACTCTCCGCATAAATACAAAAGTGTCGCCGTGATTGGACCATTCGCAAACGCCACGACTCAGATGCAAGGTGACTACTCTGGCAATGCGCCGTACTTGATTAGCCCATTGGAAGCATTTGAGAGCGACCACCGGTGGAACGTGAATTATGCTTTGGGTACAGCAATCAATGATCAGAATACTACTGGATTCGAGGCGTCTCTAGCAGCGGCAAAGAAGTCTGATTTGATTATTTATCTTGGTGGCATCGACAACTCCCTCGAGTCCGAAACGCTTGATCGGACATCGCTCACCTGGCCAGGGAACCAGCTCGATCTCATCGAAGGCTTGTCCAAACTATCGAAGCCAATGGTAGTTGTCCAATTCGGTGGTGGCCAGGTCGATGACAGCGCCCTCCTCAAGAACAAATATATCCAAGCTCTGCTTTGGGCGGGATATCCTAGTCAAAGCGGAGGCACCGCTCTTCTTGATGTACTTGTGGGCAAAAGGTCACCTGCTGGCAGATTACCGGTCACGCAGTATCCCGCCAGTTATGCCGACCAAGTCAATATCTTCGACATCAACATTCGCCCCAACTCGACAGACTCATATCCTGGACGAACATACAAATGGTACACCGGAAAGCCGGTGATCCCATTCGGCTACGGGCTTCACTACACAAAATTCAAATTTGATTGGGAAGAGACTTTGAGCCGGGAATACAATATTCAGGAACTTGTTGCCTCATGCCAAAGAAGTTCTGGCGGCCCAATCAAAGACAACACACCCTTTACCACTGTCAAGGTGCGAGTCAAAAATGTCGGCCATAAAACTTCCGACTATGTTAGCTTGCTGTTCCTTTCTAGCAACAATGCCGGCCCGGCTCCACGCCCTAATAAGTCCCTGGTGTCTTACATGCGTCTCCACAACATTGCCCGCGGAAGCAGTCAAGTGGCAGACTTGCCTCTCACTCTCGGCTCACTGGCACGAGCTGATGAGAACGGAAATCTCTGCATTTTCCCAGGGCGTTACAAAATTGCATTGGACAATTCCGAGAGCTTGACCTTCGAGTTCACATTGAAGGGTAGCCCAGCGGTGATCGAGACGCTCCCCACCCCTGATGCACAGTATAACTTTACCGTGCCCGTTCATATTCAGCCGGCGTCCATTGAAGCCCATAGTTAGGTTTTGTGAGTTGTGTTGTTCTGGCATCGGGAATTAATGCCCGAAGTGTTAAACATCCAACTGATAAAGATGCCATGCTTATCTGTTCAGAAGCCCGGTGCCTTATGGCGCTACTACACAATGCAATCTGTCAAGAAACTTGCCCGTAGATGGAACGTCACCGGCTGGATATAGTAGATATAGATATAAAATGTTTCAATTCAGATTCAGGGTCCATTACCTCTCCAGTGCATCGGGCAGACCAGTCTACCTAGAGACTACGTTCCTGCTAAAGCTAAGATATGCTTGGGCCATCCTGAATAGACTAATTAGCCCATCGTGGCGCAGAGGTGCGAGAAAGAAATTATCAATTCTATCGAATTTATCATTTATTCGACACTTAGGCCCTCAAACTGAACTTGTACGCCCTCCATCTGCCCAACAGCGTAGACGCCAATAATCGGGCCGGTGAAATCGGGATCAGTCATATCCTGGGTATCAACCGTTCCCAGGCATGTCCAGTCATTTCCAACGTGGGGTTGGAATGAATAAAGCAGGGTGTACTGTTTCTCTGTATACTCTATCCGGAAAAGTAGTGAGCCAGGTACATCCCCAAGGGTGTGTTTCTCGGTTCGAACAATCTTCTTAGCAGCATTGACCAGTTCGAGAACCACTGTCTGCTGAGCAGCATCGTAGTAGATCCTGGAGAAGCGGTGCTCTTCCTTGTAACAGGCGAGCCCAGCTTGGATCTTAGCAGAGCTCCAGGAGCCTTCTATTCCCTCAAGGACCACAGAGCTCGTACCGGCTAATTTCCGTTGTCGCTTGCCAATGAAAGTCGGACTGTCTGCTGGGTGAGACAAATCGACCGATGACGCGGCCAACGTCAGGGATGAATGGTTATTCTCGAGCCGATAATTGCTCATGATCGCATCTCGAATGTAGAGGTAGCCCAGCCCACTTTCTGCCGTGAGATGCGAGCTCGAACGGGTTACTGAAAGGCCGTGAGGATTCAATTTCACTTGATCAATGACGGGCCATTCGCCATCCCAGTCCACCCGGGTCAAGAAGGTCTCGCGCCCCATAGGGCATCTCCATTCATCCTCTAAGCGGGCCCCGAGGCAGACTCCCCACCATTGGGCCTTTTCATCCTGGAACAGCTCACAGTGGCCAGTATACTGAACATACTCTTGAGTGCCACGCGCTGTGAGGATGGGGTTGTTTGGACACGAATCATATGGGCCAAATACATTCTGAGAGCGTGCCATCGTCACCATATGCCCGCCATGGGTGCCGCCCTCCGCGATGAGCAAATAATACCAGCCCTTATGCTTATACAAGTGCGGTCCCTCGGGGTAAATGTCACCAGTGCCGCGCCAGATGATTTTCTCCTCGGAGAGTTTTGCACCAGTCTTTACGTCGATTTGGAAGAGGTTGATCGTGGTGCCTGGCCCTATTCCACCGGACCCTTGCAGGTAAACTCTCCCATCATCATCGAACAAAAGACTGGGGTCGATTCCCTCAAACTCAGAGTAAACCGGGTTGCTCCATGTGCCTGACCAGATATCATTGGTGGAAACTATGAAATTCTCCGTCGCATCTCTAGTCTTCCCCTCCGCACGGATGACATTCGTACAGACGATGTAGAATGTGCCCTGGTGATGACGGATCGTGGGGGCGTATAGGCCTCCACTCCCGACCAGAAACTTCCCATCATCCACCGGGTAGAGATTTGCCTGCGACCTTGCGAGGCTGAGCTGGGACTGTCGATGGATTGCATTTCCTGTGCGCTCACACGTTAGCGACAACTTGAACTGTTTTCTTCCACCTACTAAACGACTAGTTAGTAGACTTACCGATCTGCTTCCATGAAACCAGATCTTGAGATGCGTAGATAGGTAGACCGGGGAAGGCGTGGAAACTGGAGTTGACAAGATAAAACCAGTCGCCCACCAAGACCACGGATGGATCGGGCGCGAAGCCTGGGATGATGGGGTTAACTGTATCCGACATGGCTGGCCCATGCAAGGAATAGATCAAAGGCTAGAGGAAATAATCTAGAGTCTATCTCTTCACGTAGCCGGGGGTAGAACGTTTAAATATGCCACTTCAGATAGTCCGCTTGGTATGCAACTGGCGGGTACTTGCTAGCCCCTTCTCCTCCGCACACTCTTACGGGTGTCCTTCTCACAGGTATTCTACGGCACTCATTCACCCCATTAGCCCTCATGCTAACCAGTCAGGTGGCACTAATTCGCCATGTTGTTACAAAATATTCCCCGATCGTGCGTGGATGAGAGGGGCTCGGTTGAAGTTTAGGCAAGTTCCGGAAGATCTAGGGCTAGTTCCGTGGGAGCTGGCCAATACACGACGAGTGACCTCCACCCGGGTTGAGCTACACGGTACATGATGACTTGATAAGGGAAAGATATACCAGGAGGGGAATCGGGCTCCTAACTGTATCTTTTCAAGGGCCAGTGCAATCCTTTGTTAGGCGCATAACGCTGGGTGAGGGGGTAAATTAGGCTGTTGATAGGTAGCCAAACTTGGATGTCAAGCACGCTGTATAGGCTAAATTGGAGCTCAGGGTCCAGGATAAGGTTCTCCCCCACAGTTTTCTCCGAAGGGGTTAAACATACCGTAGTCAACGCAATCACATGGGTAGCTCCTCTTCGCAATTACTGGGGAAACGATCGCTTAGGCTGTCAAGTTCAACAGATTCGCAGATAGAGAAGCCGCATTAGAAGAGGAGGTGTTTCTCAGCGTCGATAAAAGCTTTAAAAAATACCACTACATGCTTGAATGCTAGATGGACATGCCCACGACTTGACCAACATGTGGCCTCGTTACCTTTCTTTCTCGGCAAGTTTATCTAGTAAAGCGCTCGCGATTGGAATTAAATCAAGTAAACATTTCTCAATTTCAAGTTCAGCTAATGCTGAACCGTCGACTTGCCGGCGGTATGAATGTAAGGTTTAACCTCCAGTTAGTTACCTGAGTTTAATTTAATAAGTTAACCATCCTCTTACCAAAGAAGGTATAGCTGGAGCAAACCTCTCGGGCCCCCGCAAGTGTCCCCCGCTAACCCTAAGTCTCCACTCCCAGTCCCCCCAGGATCTTGAGTAGGGCCTCCGAAGTATGGAGGATCATGACCCCGAGCGATGGCGCTTCAAAAATACGAGCAGAGCACGAAAACGCCAATTCTCGGTGAAATGAAGAAATCAAATGTAACACGGCCAGCTCAGCTAGTGCCAACACTGAATGGGTGGCAACATGTCGTGGTAAGCCGGGTTGGGAACAATAGAGCCGGGAGACGGTCAAGCCGCCATCTGTAGGACGGAATGGGGTTGTCAAGCTCATGTCTGTCTCGAGATTCATAAGGCGGGCTTTTTACTGATTCAAAGCTCCTCTCATCCCCGACAGCAGTCGAAGTGGACTCATTAACTTGGTCCACGTCTTTTGCATTCTCATCTACATCTGCATCCAGCGCACACTTTCGCAATCATGGCGCTGCGATTCCGGCCCCCGAAGCCGAGCCAGAAGATCCTGCCGGTTAAACCGACAAAGGGTCATTTCTTGTTCGCTCACCAGGAGTTCAAGCGTGTGCCCTGGTGGAAGAGGAAGAATATGCGTACCCTGTACATCGACATTGTCATCCTCATCATGACCAACACAGCCAACGGTTTCGATGGTTCCATGATGAATGGTCTCCAAACCCTGTCCTACTGGCAGGAATACTTCAATCACCCTCACGGCTCGCTTCTGGGCCTCTTCAATGCCTCCATGAGTCTTGGCTTGTTACTCGGTCTGTTCGTCGTGCCTTACATGATCGATGCCTGGGGTCGCAGGCTCGGCTGTTTCGTTGGATGTCTCATCATGCTGCTTGCAGTGGGGTTGCAGTCTGGTGCTACTGGCTTTGGCATGTTCATCGCTGCCCGTCTTCTTATTGGGTTTGGTGACTGCCTCGTTCTTGGTAGCGCTCCGCTCCTCATCGCCGAGATCGCGCATCCACAAGACCGGGCCGTTCTGGTCACACTTAGTGGTGCTTCTTATCACTCTGGCGCGTTCATTGCTAGCTGGGTGACATTGGGCACATTGAAGATTGAAGTATGTATCATTGCCCAAACAGCCACCCTGGATCTTACTGTTCTAGACTCACATGCCTTTCCTCCATTAGAGCAACTGGTCGTGGCGTCTGCCCAGCCTGTTGCAGGCCATTTGCACAATTGTCATTGTGTCTGGTATTTGGCTAATGCCAGAAAGCCCTCGTTGGTTGATGAGCAAGGGGAGACACGATGAAGCCATGCGGATTGGCGTCAAATATCATGACGAGGGGGACCAGGATGACGCATTTGTGCATCTGGAGTATGCAGAGATCAAGGCTGCCATTGATCTGGATAAGGAGATTGACCAAACTCGTTGGGTTGATTTCTTGAAAACCAAGGGCAACCGCAAGCGAATCGGCCTGATCACCGCTCTGGGCCTTTTCAGTCAATGGAGTGGCAATGGTTTGATTTCTTACTATCTCAAGCAAGTCATGGATAGTGTTGGTATTACCCAGGCTTCCACACAACTCGGTATCAATGCGGATATCAAGACCGAAGCCTTGGTCACCAACTTCACCCTGGCCTTCTTTATCGACAGATTGGGAAGACGGCCGGTCTACCTGGTCTCGACAGTTGGCACGTGCGTGGTCTTCAACGCATGGGCCATCGTGTCAGCTCGGTACGCAATCACAGCCAATCCGGCGCTTGGATACGCTTTCGTGGTTCTGACAGTGCTCTACGGAGTATTCTACGACATCAAATAAGTCGTGCATCTTCCAATTTCAATACCAACAGCCGCTGACATTGATATTCCTCGCAGATCTGGCCTAATGGCAACCTACACCACTGAAATCCTTTCCTACCGTCTTCGTGCCAAGGGCTTCACCTGGCTGAACTTCTGTGTCACCGCGGCACTCTTCTTCAATCAGTACATTAACGCAATTGCCCTCGATGCCATTGGCTGGAAGTATTACATCGTCTACTGCGTCTTCCTAGGAATGGAGGTGTTCGTTATCTACACCTTCTTGATCGAAACTCGGTACACTCCCATGGAGGAAATCACCAAGTACTTCGATGGCGACGACGCAGTCGATGTTGGTGAGGTTGCCGTAGCGGACATGAAAGAGCAAGCCAGGGAGTCAGAGGGCAAGGCAGCTACTGTCCATGTTGAAGTGAAGGAGTAATCTGATACACAAGGCATGTTGGGGGTTTATTTAGGAGGCTTTTCCGGATTCTTCAAGGATTCTCGAATATAACGTTGTTTACTTATGCCTAGAGTTCCTCCTGGGCATGAATGGCTACCACGACTCCAAAGAAATGTTTGATATCTTGACTCCACCGATCGACACTACGTCCGAGTATCCTCCTATCTTAACTAAACTATATCGCTTGAAGAGTCTTCTGATTCATTTGATAATCCAATGAATCCCGAATACTAGCCTCAGATATCAGCCCTAAGTAATCTATACAGTGGAGTTTACCAAATTATCTTACAGGGTTCGACCTACCGGATGCGACATAGTAACGGTGTGACGACACGACCGCTTTACAATATCTCTACTATGCTTTTTTATATTAAACTAGAAATTGTATATATATATATATAATCTAGAACTAGATTTAGATACAAAAAGACTCTTGAAAAGGTCAAGTTTTAGAACATAGAACCTTTTACGGGGTTTGTTTCATAGCTTTACCGGGTTTTAAGTTTTGGCGTCTTTGATCTCTGATGTAAACTAAGCAGACTGAGCAGACGATTCACTAAATAAACTACGTAGACTAAATAAATCCAGCAGTTACGATAGACATTATTTAGTCAGACTGACCATATAGTAAGCTATTCTGCGGGCAGAGACCGCTACAAATTATTGAAACCATGACTTAATCTGGACCGACCGCTATCGCTTGCTGTACACAATTGCCTGTTCTATTAGGCGTATTACGGCCGTGAATCGGTTGTTAGGGTGGGAAGTGATTGAGCCCGGGATCACCTGCTTTGTTCCGCCCTCTTTATCTGTTATTTCATGAGTCGCTGTCCTGGGACGTAAAGCTATGCAAGACCGGGGCTGCTGGGAGGCAGGGGGCAGCTTCACAGCCACGACCGTCTACCTAGCCTTAACACTGATAGGCTCTTCACTGTACTATGTTCTGTCAAGGCGGAAAGTCTGTTGTCTCACGCCCTCATCAAATTGCCGCCGAACATGCACAGCCACAATAAACGCCCGACTTATGAAGCCGATATCATCGGTCGTGCTATTTCTTGCAATATTTCTTTCTATTTGTCTCTTATTCCCTATCCTTCACGTCTTACTGTGTTTGTTAGTCCTCTACAACCATCTCGCTACGATTCCTACTTCTCATAATACCCATATTGCGAGCAATGTCGGATGCAGTGAACATGCAGGCTGATATAGCGAATGTTTCCCTTGCTAGCTTGGGAGGGTTCTCGACAATCTTAACGGCACTTTCCGCTGATGATGTCCAACCTATCGCAATGGTCCAGTTGCAAAATTTAGGCGCTGCATTTCCTGTAACTGGGCCAGTGAGCGTAAAAGCTCCAGATTATCTTCGGCGTTGCAATAGCTCTCGGCTAGAACGGCTTGGGATACTTGTGGGCTGGCGGAAAGGCGATACCGCATCGCTCATGGCTCAATCAGCCGGTGGACAAGCAATCGCTTTATTGGCAGCTTGCCTGTGCAATATATGCACAGATTCCGTTGGGGATGTCTTCTACGCAGTCTCCAAGGGGTTGTTGCCACGATCAGCCTGTCCATGTAGCCCCCGCGTATTAGACCGAGCTGCACATGTTCTTGCACACAAGCTTGCGCTCATTAAATTTGGAACGATTATCGCAAAGCAAGTGTGTCGCATCCATGAAGCTTATCAACAGCTACAGCGAAAAGTGCCGATGAATATTTTGGAAGAGCTTAGCGTTGTTTGGATAGCAGAGATGCTTGTGAATGTTTCACGTGCCTTACGAGAATGCGACAAAGTGGTTCGCGTACGTGGATGTTGCGGCATGGGGTACATATTGGCCCTTATCGTCACCTTGTTTGCAGATGATAGTGTCGTGATGATTGAGGGCGTCGTTATTCATCGCGGCAGCCATTCTTCCTCCATTGTCGTGGAAATCATGGCACATCTTGAAAACCATCCCCTTCAGCTGCATCTTATGCAAAACGTCGACACACTTGCGGAGATTTTCCACTCTTCCCGAGATGAGGACCATAGAATACAAACCCAACCATTACCAATAGGCGCGGACTTTGCATGGAAGGGGCTCATCTCGGCACTGCTGCAGACTATTTTACAGCGATGGAACTTAGTATGCTCATCGGAATTGATCAGAGCTGTGGGTGTGTGTGCTTTATCCGCTGCAGACATTACTTATTTCGGCGAGAATGACTCCATACGATTTCCTGCTATAAGTATTTTGGGCAAGCAGTATCACGCAATCTGTCATCAGCGCTGCGAAGCTGTTCTAGGGACCCCATTACCACACACGTGGCCTTCATATCCCATAGCTTTCAAGCAGCTCGAGGATATAATAATCCCACTGATCCTAACAAGACCCGACGGCTCATTCCATGAACTAGAGTGGACCAGGGATTGCATCCGTAGGGGCGAAGTAGGCTTTACCGGCCAAATCATGGATTGTATATGGTTGGCCTTCGCTACGCTTTTTGTTAATGCGCACGAGGATGCTACTTGGCGACATTTTGACTTTGGCGACGATGAGGGGATCAGTACTCGTCCTGAGTGCTGGGGAAATCCGGAAAAACTCTTCTTCATGTGCAAGCCGAATTTGGTATGGAAACAATTGACCCCCAACTGGGGACGAAGAACAGTGGCCGCCTCCGATAGGAAATGTACATTGGTTCCCTCACAATGTTTCACCATCGGACATGAGGATGTCCACTACTACCGTGGCGTGGAACTCCTAGATGGGCCCCTCATATATAATGAGAGATACCATGACACGCTTATGAATGTCGACTTATCTTCAGAGCCAAAGCAACAGGAGTCTCTTAGACGACCTTCAGAGCCCTCGAATCCAATCCTGCCTTCCGCGTATGGTGTTCACTCTGATCTTTCAATGGGAATAACGGAGAGTATCGACGGACTGATACTTCATCCCACAGTCACTATATCTGGTCAGCGGTTCACTGCGTGTTTAGCATCTTGCCTGAAAGGCTCATTCCAGCTCGCCAAAACTACTTCCTGTGAACATCCCCGGAAAACTCCCTTGAAGGAGAAATATGTCCAGTTAGTGTCAACAACCTCAGTTCGCAGGCCTGATATTGGTCACACAGTCTCTATTGTCCAGACTGCCGGAAACCCTACCGCGCAGTTTCTGGCATTATCTGGAAGACCGTCAATTCTATGCAGCAACTGCTGCCTCAACTGTGCATATGAGCAAGCGCTCTCTCGGAAGCTTATGAAAATCATTGTTGCATGAGTGCAGGGTTCCCTGATAGGCTATAAAGCAGAATGGCGTTGGAAGGGTTAAGGACCCATGGATCTTAGAGATGGATATATTGAGTTGCATATAAATCTTTCAAGGTCGTGACACTCGTACTTGTTAGTAAATTGCGGTGCTGCAATCAGTGCTGCGTGTTATCCCTAAAAAGATGCTTTTGAGGTGACTTTTGTTACATTTTATGTGAGGATAGATACTGACAGGTGACGTGCAGGACACCGTACACCGTTTGGGTGAAACTGGATCAGAAACGGAGGAGAGAGATATATTCGATATGGCGGATGACCTCAAGCCATATGCGCATCGCGCCTTTACTTCGAAGGACATGGTCACTCCAAGTTCACTACGCCTTGATGCATGATACTGTCGAAAGACTATGATGATAGACGATTGATGATTAAGCTTGTATGCAGAGCAGTGTAATATTTCAAGGTGCCTACAGGCGTGATACAAATCGATATCTCCTTACTTTCTAGCCACCATGAACGACATCATTACGTGTCTTCTTGTCTTTCGTCAATCTTGGTATAGCGATCGAAGCGAATATATCATTTAACCATAGTTTTTGACTAACGGGGTTCACAATAGATTGGCACAAACCCCTATGGAAGTCAATGTATGTCAACGTTAGAATAAACCCAGTCTGTCAGGTAGAAAGCTAACTACTCAGTCACGCCAGGTGCATCCTCGTTCGTCGCGAACGCATTCATGAAAGGCATCATATGAGGTAAACATCTTTGCGCAGACGAAAACAACATATCCACAGTTCGGCAGGTCATTGTCAACACTGGCGTGCGAAAGGACGATCGCTGCCAAGGACAGCATGGTGATAAGAGGTGATTTCATGATATTCTTCATTTTGGAATGAACTAGCACGACGATAGGGCTTTGTTTTGGAAGAAATAGATTAGTTGCGATTGTTGAATCATGGATGAAAACAAGATAATGTGGAGATTCTGGTAAACATTTGGCTTTAGAAATATCAGCTCATCGCCTCCCTTGACATGGACAAATTGTAGCATCTTAGTGACGTGCTTATGATGTCCGTCACGGAGGCAGAGACCGTATATATCCTCGATTAGCGGAGCGATTAAGCCAGATGATCTAATGTGCCGTAAGATTCTAGAGACAAGCGATGCCAAAAGGTTTGGTAACGGCTTTCGCAAACGATACTTATATGGCATCTGCAGCCCCTATGTCATTTTGAAGAGCTGCGACGTGCTTCTCCACTTCTTTTCTGCTTAACATTAACACCAGCAGCATTGCAGATCCCTAGGAGTCAATAGAAATACCGACCTGCTATACCGTACTTCACAGGTTGAGCTAGAGCTTTCCAGACTGAGCTTACCATAGACGATTTAGGCGCCTTCGTGTCGCTTGCTTTTTGCTAAATGATATCTGCTGGTCAATCTCTGGCTTAATATTTCGCCGTCCTATTCGGTCTCAACTTCAAAAATCCTTTTCCATCGCTATATATTTATAAAAGTTATGACCTCCATCATCCAGATCTAACAAGCATACCAGGACCTTGATGGATCAGGAACTAATGATGTATCTCTTTTATATGTGTAACAAACACAAAACTATACTCTGCTTTGACGGCAAAGTGAAGCCTGGCGTCGCAGTGGCTCTCCCAGCGACATAAGCAATAAGGACAGAAGCGAGGTTACATTGGCCTCCTCGGTATATCCAATCAGTGTCATCTTCGGTCAATCCCGCAGTGGCATCCCATTTGGCGGATTTCGTGGCAACACAAGATTGCTAGGAAGATGTCGGCACTAGCGGCTTGGCTAACATGGTCTGAGAGGGAATTTTGTAGCACAAATTATCGTAGTTCTCGGTTATTTGGCCTCCGTATGTGATATGAACGATTAGTGTGGCGGAGTTGGGCTCTCCTTTTTTGCGATTGGACACGAAGCGCATGGTCCGACGCAGGGATCAAAAAACGAGAAAATCAGTAAGTTGGAAGAAACGTTAGTACGTTCAAGGGTCCCATGCTTCGATTACGTAGGCGTTGGTGTCGCAGATTGCGTTTACGGGCATAGTTGCGAGTTGTTTGAATATCGTAATGGTGGTGAGGCTGTAGTATAATCAGCAGTTCACAACGGACATCCGATCATTCCTTAGAGTACTGTCGAGCGTAGGGGTACTCTTGGCCTGATCCGATAACTTGGCACCGTTTACTCAGCTTATATCTTCTGAGATTTCTAATTAAACCTCCCGGGATGTTTTTATGACGAGCTGAAGCCATAATACGTCATGTCCCCAAATAATCACTCTTTTTTCATGACTAGTCGTACTCACTCTGCCTTCCCCCTCATCTCCTCACCTCTAGGTAAACTCATTTCTGGTCTACCTTTATAGCCCACCCACCCTAACGCTCTCAATCACCATCTCAACTCCGAAGACAATTTGCTCCTCTTTGGGCTTCGCTACTCTCGAACATGTCTCCCCGTCAGAATCCGGACAGCAATTCTCAAGAAGTCAAGATAGATAGTGGTCAAACTGGACCGCCAAAGCAGGATGCCTTAAACGGTACTTTTCCTATACACCAAGTCTCCTCTTTATGTCCCTCAAAGATGCGCAGCTAACCCGTGATAATAATAGGTGACAAGTCCATCAATATACCGCGTGGGTCTGATGATTATACGAGAAATGACAGCCACACCAGTCCCAATGCCACCAAGCAATCAAATGTCCATGATAATAGTGATGCGGATTGGGAGATAGTCAGCTACGTGCAGGATGGCAAAAAGGATAACGACCTACCGTTCCATGGGCGTATAGGACATTTTAGCATTGATGTGGGTTGGGGTAAACGGAAACATCGGTTGTATTCGAGTGATTGGAGCTTTGGTCATTATCATCACCATCGTCACCAATGTCATGCTGATATACATGGCGAGGAAGGTAGTAAAGGTCGGCTAACAGAATGAGAGAGAGATAGATTACAATATACCCAAGTACAGCTCCTATTCATGGCTCTTCCCGGCTCGTCGATGGCCGTTCAGTATAGTACTAAGAAGTTCCCATTGACAATTGTGTTATAAATGTACTTTATCTATATTGTGGATGCAGTAAGTGGTTTCAAATAACACTGATTAGTTTAGACTGCTTCCTGTCTTTCCTAGGCCTTATACTGCCAGACTCTCAATCCTTAAAGTGGACACCGAAGACGTGATAGATAAATAAAGGTAGAGATATTTTTTTAAAAGTCTTCTTCTATAAAATGGTAGACCCTAAAGAGAAAGAACCAGAGTCCCCGCCAGAGGAACTATTGTGGAAATGGAATGCTAAATAGGATATCTACCAGTCGCTCAGAGTGCAGCCATAAATTACAATTCCTGTATTTATTTTAATTTTTACATAATAATTATATAGCATTAATATCATAATTAAGATGAATACTACTACTGCCACTGCCACTGTCTATGTGTCTTTTGTATCTAGTACTATAGAACCACCAGACATAACTGAAGCAGGGGTTGAGCGAAGAACCCCGGAAAGAGCTCTGTCACTGAATAGAAGCGGCCATATCCCTACGTGGTCGCATACTACTAGAAAATGAAGTATTTTTTAATATATTTTAATTAATTTTGATATAACTAATAAAATATAGATTCCTAGACCAGTATAGTTTAAAGATGTTTAATATTATAAATTTAAAATCTATCTGTAATATATTTTTTTAGTTTTATAAAGAATAACTGCTTATATAGTTATATAGAATTCCTAATTTCCTATTATTGTATTAATATATGAGGATTAGTTACTGTTTAAGGATACTATATATCTATGCCAGGGACCAGGGTAAGATATACTAATTAGATAAGAGTTAGTTAAGAATAATTTCTATAGTTAATTCTTTGTAGATATAGTGTATTTGTCAAGGAAATATCTACTAGTCAGGGTAGAAGACCTGTCAGCTAGGTAAGGGTACGTAGGCAAAAGGGCAAGCAGTAGATACTATATGGACAGAAGACTAATTCTTGCCTTTCTTTTATTAGTATCAGGCTTTTTGTATACCTAAAAGAGATCTCCATTTTTTCCTATAGAAAAGAATTGAGAGGGGCTACTACCTGTTCTTGAAAAGGCCGCGGATATACCCTCCGATATTGCTGTTCGGCCACCGAGATATCTATACACAGCGGGCAGGGTATATACTGAGTGGGGATATTAATGGTCGTTGCGGACCAATCGAAGTAATTCTCAGAGCCTAAACCGGTTTAGTGTATTAACGGGTCATTAGATAATTAACTTTGTAACTTCGTTAACTAGGTACCTGGGAAGGCACCCTTGAATCTACTGATCCCATCTTTGCCTACGCGCCCGACCTGCCCCAGGCCCTTTTATGCGCCCAACCTCATAATGCAGCGAGCCGCACAAAGCGCTTGGACTCTCTGTATCCCCCGTGCTCACAGGTGCTTCACTACGTTTCTACCCTCCACTTCTTGCCGTCAACGAATTTCACTGCAGTGTAGTCCGAGAACCACAGTTGTGCCGCATAGAACAGTTATGTCGTCATCACAGTGGACGTGCGCCCCGAGAACGTTTCCTACCACAGGGCTCGAATTGCTTGACGAGTCCACTGAGCTTGACGAGGAGACACTGCCGACGTACCAACCCGAGAAATACTACCCAGTCAACCAGGGTGAGGTACTCAATGATCGGTATCAAATACTTGCCAAAATAGGGTACGGAGTAACCTCGACGGTTTGGCTGGCGAAGGACTTGGTGTAGGTACAGTGAATTCACTTCAAACTAAACCAGATGATGATGATTCTAATAGCGCTCCCTAAACTAGTGCATCGATATATGTTGTTGTAAAAATTTACATAACGGGCCAAAGTCGGAACCACGAGCGAGAGCTGCACATCTACAAGCACATGGATATGGTGGAAACAAAACATCCCGGCCGGAACTTCCTTCGCAAACTACTCGATCATTTCTATATTCAAGGTCCTCATGGCCGTCACGTCTGTCTTGTCCACGAGCCACTCGGAACGAGTGCAGATGTTCTGGTGAAGATGTCTCCTGGGCACGTAATGACCCTTGATGACATGAAGCCGGGTATCCGACAGCTACTTATCGCACTAGATTTCTTGCACTCGGAATGTCATATCATCCATACTGGTAATGTGTTCATCCCAGAAGTCCTTCCATTATAGGCCTAACGTTGTCGCAGATCTTCAGCTGAAGAACTTACTACTTCCCGGACCAGAGATTAGCTATCTCTCCCGCTTCGAAGAAGCTGAAATCACAGACCCGTCGCCTAGAAAGATACTCAAAGAACGAACAATCTACCAAACTTTAAACTTCCTTCCAAGAGGTGGGCTGCCGGTTCTCGCTGATTTTGGGGAAGCTAGATTGGGCGACATCGACCACACTGATGATATCATGCCAAATGTTTATAGAGCTCCTGAGGTGATTTTGAGATCGAGTTGGAGTTACAAGGTGGATATATGGAATGTTGCCATGGTTGTGGGTGGAAATATTCCGACTTTTGCTTAACTAGAAAGGGCTAATATTTCTGTATATCTAGGCCTGGGACATCGTAAGCCCTCGCACCCTCATCGATGGCAAAAACGCAAATGGTATATTTGACGACCGGGTCCATATGGCAGAACTGGTAGCCTTGCTAGGCCCTCCGCCACCCGAATTCCGGGAACAGAGACACCTCAGTTCTGTCTTCTGGGATGAGTCAGGTAGATGGAAGGAAGTAGTCCCAATTCCAGATATTACCCTTGAGAGCCTTGCCGATAAGGTTGAGGGGGAAGACAAAGCAGGGTTTTTGCAGTGGCTCCGGACAGCCTTGCAATGGAACCCCGAGGACCGGCCGACGGCTTTGGAACTCTTATACGACGAGTGGCTGATGAAGGGGCTCGGGGATTGAAGGCGGGGACAAGCCAATAGTGCGACCTGACAGAAGAAACGTGACAGTTGTACTATCCTGAAAGTTCTGCGTGTGGAATAGAGAAATCGGTACCCCACTAGACGCTTCAATCCAGGGAGTATATATTGGTAACAAGAACACAAAAATATTCACAGGTACCATACTCAACTGGCACCTATTAGCCCAGAGGGGACCTAAGGAGACCTCTTGTGCAGTACGCTGCTGACTATCAGAAGGGGTAAAAAGACAAAACAAAAGGAAGGGAGGGATTTTTAAAAAAAAAAATGAAAAGGTAAGGCCAATAATGAAACATCTCCGTCCCCAATGGTGGCAAGCACAGTTGTTTGTCGTGGCAATACGCCACCTGGCGATTATTGACCACGCCCATGCTTTATCAATACATTCACTTCGGAGGTCGCAGGAGTGAGGTTGCAAACGAAGCATCTCTGTCCGATGGTATTACTATGAGCTAGAGGTTAACTACGCGCAACTGCAACAAAAAAGGACCAAAAGAAAGAGGAAAGAGATAGCGAAGAAAAACTAGACATCACTCACTTTTTGCGAATTTCATCTTCCTTTTTCTTCGCAACTTCCACATATCAAGCCGTCTATCAATCCAGATCTACCGCAGTCAGGGCAAGGTGAATCTTTAGGCGATAATCGCTTTTCTTAAAGCTGTGCTTCTCGCCAGTCCATTGGAATTCCAGAAAAACGGCAGAAGGCGACTTCACTTTACAACGGCAGTGTCAAACCTGCTTGGCCACCTTCCCAACGCACAACGCCCTCATCTCGTGTACAGAGGCAGCTCCATACAGCCATTACACTTTTTACTTTGGTTAACCATACCAGACTAGAGAACGAACTCTCATCCAGGAGACGGAGAAGTGTCGAGCACACACAGCCCAACTTCCAGATATGAATAAGCTTTGTACAAACTGTCAATTGAACACAACATCGATTGTACCTCCGAGTAACTTGAATGACAAAGGTAGCGAGGGCGATGCCGATAGACAAATTGCCACCAGCCCCAATACTAACCCTTGGCAACCGAGATCTCATTTCCGAATATGTCCATTTGACAGTTATAGGAAGCAGTTCAAAACCAGAAAGAACCTTCTAAGGCACTTTGAACTGCATAAATCTTTCCTTTTCTTGAATACTATATGGCTAGCTGACCATCGATATGGAGCCAGATGTCGACTGCAATAAAGTATATATCGAGTGTTTTCGGCGCTTCACCCACATAAGTGCTTTGATAAAGGACGTCAAAACCCACGGATATTCGTCTAATAGGAACGAGAGATTCATACTGGTGCTGTGCGACGACGTACGTGATAAAGCCATCCTTAAATTAGACCGAATAGTCGAAACGCTGCAACCCTTGATAATTAATACTAATTTGAAGACCACAAAACAGTACCCGAGATTAACAGACCCTGACGAGGACTTAAACTCTTCAAAAAGAATCAAATTGCTGGGCGAGGAGGAGCAAGGCTTTCTTGGTACGATTTCTGACAAAACATAACAAAATATGGATCTGCTTCTACTTCTCCTGTAATAAACTCTTTCTACCTTTGACAGCTGAGCTACAAGATACATCATTTCTCCCTGAAGACTCCGAATTACAGCAAGATAAGGACATATTTACACCTCTTTTATTCCACGGCTGTCCCCAGCCGCATACAAATACTAATTTCGATCCTCCTTTTTTCCTAGATACCTCATCGCTTCACAACGGGACACCGTATGATAGAGACAATATCGGAATACATTCTGATGTTCCCGATCCTTTTTTTGACTCCGGGCCTCACTTTCCATAGAGCAATGAATGAGAAGATAGGTCGGTGTAAATAGGAGGGCTCAGTCTAGATTAGAAATCAGTAAGGCTAAACAACCCAGGATGGCGGATATAGACAGGCTGTCGTTTCCTTGGGTCTTACTCAAAGTAGTATCCAATTTCTGGGCTTTCTCTTCGCAATTCAACGATCTTCTCTGCGATCTGCGGTATTTCGGGGAGATGAACTTTCGTCCATCTTGTGATAACATCACGTGGCGCAAATGCAGTAGCAATTGGAGTACCTTTCTTAATTTCAAACACCACACGGGCGTCCTGTATGCTTCTACCTGAATAGTCAGGATTCGTACCCTTTGAATGCCATTATAGTTGACTTACAGGGCACCATGCTCAAAAGATACTTTTGATCTTTCACCACAACCCAATAACTCCAAGGCAGCAAAAGGTATCTCCCACAATCCGTTAGAGGTATGAACACCTGGAAGCTCGTATGTGTGAGAACGATCAAAAAAAGTCACTTCTGATCCATCGCCCCACATCTGTATAACCAGAACATATCGGCCAGCCTTTTGCCCCCCTCCTCTGAATTGAAAGATGTGCCCTGCATCACCGTGGAATTTCCGGTATCGGGCAGAACCGCACCAAGGGAAGAAGGACTCGAGAACTGATCTTACACGCTAGAAATAATTAGCAACCATCTTTGACATAAGATACACAGGCGGACCTTGTGTCTCAAAACATAACATATATAAATCTCCAAACCTTCTGCGGATCTTAATTATTTATTACTCTGGGATTGATCCAGAAATGCCCCTAGATGACTCTAATATACTAACTTGATACGTATAGAGTGCTTAGTATATATACTATTATTTTGTTCTATGCTTCGGGATTAATTACTGAGTAAAAAGCAACTCTGAGCTAGTCCTGTTCTGGAAGAGGAAAGTCCCAAAGTTTTCGCAGGAAAACGGTTTGCTAGTCTTGTTAGTAAGCATATACCTGTAGGATGGCGATGGACCATGAGGAAGTTTCATGAACAATAGTTCATAATGCTCAATCACAAGGTTGATGTTAGTCTTGGTACAATGGGTCTCCTAAATTCTGGACTGTATCCAAGCCGCGAGATTGACGGATGCGGTGTTCCCTTAACTTTAGGGTTCACCCAAGATTGGTTGACCCATATGGATAATTCCAGCTGAGATTTAGATGGTTCGCATGATGAAATAAATTCGTACTACTCTCCCTTACGCTCCTCGTATTTGCTATTTCCTTATTCATGGCATATATGCACATTTTCGGCCTAAGATCACGTAAGATGACGGCTAGATGGTTATGTGGTCGAGCTATTACTTGGAACGAGCGACCCAGAAATGAGCTACTGATGGGTTGCCTCAGATGACGAACAGCATTATCCATGGAACACCCCCTTTCAGTACAGAAATAGTAGCTATCGTACTGAACCCAGTTGAGGGCAATTTATTATATCACCTGGTTTCCCCTCAGTGCGATTTGTGCTTATCGGACAGCACAGGATAACCATCACCGCATCATAAGGCCATTCTTAGCTATGGCAGACAAAGGAGAAACAAACCACGGTGGTTCCTCTAATGGCCACCATAGTTTGCTGAAGCTTCTCAGCGAGACTCGCCAAGATATCGTCAGTCAGGTTGGGCGGATCCTCCCGGATCTGCAAGTCCTCCGGGGCCTGGGATCAACGATTCTCTCGGGTGGAATTATTGACGATCGGCAATATCTCGTGAGATTGCAGACTCATAGCCCGTCTTCACATCTATGAGTGACACCGCTAATGGCGGTTAGATTGAGGAGATCATTCAAGTCGCCGCATCGTTGCCGAACGGTTCAAGGCTCCGTGATGGCATCACCGCAGAATTCGTGAAGACATTGTGGAATAGCCTTGACCATCCTCCCGTAGCACGACTAGGAGACGAGTACAAATACCGTGCTGCAGACGGCAGCAATAATGTAACATGTTTCCACAATCTCCCTTCCAACGATATTTCTAACTCTTGTAGAATCCGTTGTATCCCAAACTAGGAGCAGCGGGGAGCCATTATGTTCGGAGCGTGACCGCTCAACACCCACGGCCTTATGTGCTACCAGATCCCTCCCTAATCTTTGACAGTGTGTTGGCTTGTATCCTAGCGCTAAGAATGGGGGTCCGCTAACTGTACCAAGCTATTCTCGCACGCAAAGGATGTGCCAAAGAACATCCTTCTCAAATCTCGAGTACTCTGTTTCATTTTGCAACGATCATCATTCACGGTCGGTCAAATCAAACAGTATTTTGATATTTGCTGCATGTGGGATCTAACCTCTATCCAAGATCTCTTCCGCACAGATGATGCTGATGTAACAAAATTGAAGAATTCGTCCTACCTCGACTTGGGACCTCTCTACGGCCACAACGTGGATCAGCAAAATCAAGTGCGATCATTTCAGAATGGACTTCTAAAACCTGACACATTCGCGGAACAAAGACTCCTCGGCCAGCCTCCCGGAGTATGTGCCTTGATCATTGCATTTAATCGATTCCACAACTACATCGTCAAGGAGCTAGCCCTAATCAACGAAGGAGGTCGATTTAGCCTACCAGCCGGAGTGACACCAGATAGTCCCAAATATGGCCAGGCGCAGGCAAAGCGGGATAATGATCTATTCCAAACCGGACGACTGTAAGCGAGGCCTTTTCGCTCCAAGGTAGGAAATGTGCTTGTAGTCTGACTACTCCTAGGGTCACCTGTGGTCTATATGTGAATATTATACTGGGTGATTATCTGAGAACCATATTGAACCTGAACACCAACCCGGTAGACTCGGACTGGAAACTCGACCCGCGGACGGAAATCAGCGCTTTGAACTCACCGACCGTTCCCAGAGGCGTCGGAAACCAAGTTAGTGCGGAGTTCAACATGATCTACAGATGGCATGCCGCCATCAGCAACCAGGATGAAGCCTGGGCACATGAGTTCATGAAAAGTGTGTTTGGCGCAGAAGTGAATCCAGGTATGTAGCTGCTCCCTACCAGAATCTAATGCTATCTCTCTGAACCTGCGGTGCTGAAATAGCTTCAGGTACTTTGTCCGTTGACGAATTCGTTGGCGGCCTGCGTAGATGGTTTGAAGGTATTGACCCAGACCCAGCTCGGTGGACGTTTAATAGCCTGCAACGACAAGAGGACGGTAGCTTTCGGGACGCAGATCTCGTCAACATTCTGCAGACTGGGACTGAGTGTGTCGCGGGTGCGTTATTTTCCCTTTTATACGTGCAAGCTTGGAACCCTAACTATTCGGCAGGTGCATTCGGTGCCAACAATATCCCAGAGGCAATGAAGGCTATAGAGATGCTTGGCATCCAGCAAGGCCGGGAGTGGGGATTAGCCACCCTGAACGAATTTCGACATTTCTTCAAGTTGAAAACGTATTCAACGTTCGGTAAGACACAGTGAATCCTTTTGGCAATCTTCTTTCTAATGGCGCTTTTAGAGGAGGTCAATTCCGATCCTGCTGTCTGGGAGGCGTGTAAGTAGCGTAGCGTAGCTAAATATTGTATTGACCCAGCACTAAGTAGGCTACAGTGGAGGCACTTTACGGACATCCGGATGATATCGAGCTTTACGTTGGTATACAGGCTGAGGAAGCCAAGAAGCCATGCTTTCCCGGCTCTGGACTATGCCCGAACTTCACAATTTCAGCGACGATATTAGCAGATGCTAATACGCTGGTCCGGGGTGACCGCTTCTACACTGTTGATTACAGTCCTGTACATCTCACGAACTTTGGGTACGTTTCCACCCATGACCTCGCTGTTATCAACAGGAAAGGCAAAGGAGGTATCAAGTAGGTAAAGAGCAACTCTCACTTAATTTGCCAGGTTTGCGAACACAGTCCCAGACTTCGCTGTGGCACGAGGCGGCTTGATGTACAAGCTCCTATTGCGAGCCTTCCCAGGGTGGTACACTCCGAACAGTGTATATACCTTGTACCCTTTCACAACTCCGGAGCAAAACCGGAAAATCTTCGAAAAGTCCAAAACTGCCAATGATCTGGAGTTTGATAGGCCAAAACATGAAAACCAGCCGACTGCCGTGACTTCATGGCAGGGAGTAACACAGGTTCTAAATGACCAAGACGCGTTTCACGTCCCTTGTTAGTTACCCTCTCATAGCTGCTAGGCCTTAACTCTGATTCTGATGACTTGAAAGGGGGTCAACATACATACCAGCTTACGAAACACGATTATATGCTAAGCGGCGACTCTTCGGCAAATACACAGCAGAGGGTGTTCGTGAAGGATTGTTTATACAAGCCAACCGATGGCCTTGAGGAGGTCAAGAAGTTTTACGAAAAGGTGACAATGGACCTCCTGCGACAGCACAGCCGTAAGCTTGGTTCAACATACCAGGTTGATATAGTGCGGGAGTAAGTAATCCTAGAACATTAGTCCAAACGGCGTTGATTAACTTGGCTTAGCATCGGGAATCTCGCACATACCAAATTCACGGCTGAGTTCTTTGGCATTCCTCTACGAACCTCCGGCAATAATGACATGACAGATGGTTACACAGAACAAGAGCTGTATAAGGTACTTTCAGACTTATTTGGCTATGTCTTCCTTGACCTAGATCCAGCTCAGTCGTTCAAGCATCGCGTTAATGCGTCTCGATCGGCCGAGGGGCTTGGGGAAGTCATGCAAAAGCATGTAGCCGGCTTGAACAAACAACATTTCGCCATTGCACGCGATATTCTAGGCAGCCACAGTGCCAGCACAAAGGAGTGCTTATTAGTTGACTATGGGCCAGAGCTCATTAAGAGACTTTCTAACGGTGGAGGCTCGACCGATGAGGTGGTCTGGACCATTATCCCAACTGCTGCAGCCGCATGCGCTACTCAAGCCCAAGGCGTATGTTTAGTCCTTGAAGATACGGGATTCACTTCTAATGAATCTTAGTGGGCCCAACTGATTGACCTCTATCTATCGGATCCATATCGCAAATATTGGCCTGACATTCAAAAGGCCGCTCGTTCTGACGACAAGGACTCCTTTGAAAAGCTGAAAAAATATGCGCTCGAGGGGTACGCTCGACTCACCACTTGCGATGAAACAAATACTTTCTAACACTGCTAACGTGAACAGATTCCGGTTATCAACCCCCGCCTTTGGTGTCCTTCGGTACGCAGCCAAGGACACAACCATCAATGACCGGGTGCGAAACATCCCGGTCAAGGAAGGGGACACCATATTGGCCGACTTTGTCTCAGCTGGTCGAGATCCAATCAAGTTCCCTGACCCTCAAGCCGTCAAACTTGACCGTCCTGACGACCTGTACATCCACCACGGATGGGGGCCACATTCATGCCTCGGGCGTGAGATTGTAACTGTTGCGGCAGCTGCTATGCTTTCCGTCTTCGCACGGATGGATCGCCTTAGGTGTACCCCTGGCTCGGCTGGTGTGATGAAGAATAAATTGGCCAATGGGGTGTTCAAGGTCTATTTGCCTGAGGATGGGACGGAGTGGACTCCATTCCCTTGCAGTCAGTACTTCACCGCGAAGATGGCATTCGAGTCTTGGCTAATGATCAACTAGACAAAAAGGTACTCTTTGACAGTTTCTAGGGTATGGTGGACAGAACCCATCGGGATACAGGACTCAATTCCGTAAGTTGGAGGAGTCTCATGGAGAGTACACTGACGTGTTTCTGTCCTAGTTTGACCGATGAGGGGATGATTAACTCGGCATGTATCGCATGTCCTTTTATCGTGAAAATAATTCGTTGATGTATTTAGGTGATGAATTTCGCTATGTCATTTTACCTAGCTGAGAATGAACATGAAGTAAATAAGCTTTCCCGAAGGATAGGTTCAATTGTAGATCCTCTCGCGATTTATAGCACTAACCATTTATGCAGGGGATGTATATCCGCATCTAATAGATAGACATGAAGTTTGATCAGTTGGAATTCTTTGCGTGGTATTGCCGACCAATGGAAACGGGCTATACTAGGGCCCTGCTCCCTGGGTGGGAGGCTAAATTAGGTTATAACCTTTGCCAGATCTATGTTATATGGGATCATTCTTCTACCTTAACGGCCTCACCGCACCATGTAACCTGTGGAGGTCCCACACATCGCATGTATTATTTTGAGTTCAGGTTTGCCTTGGTTCTCATAGGGCTTCCAATCATAATTCCTCACCGGTCAAGGTTCAGCAGTTAAATGGATACTCCATCGGCGTTTCCGCCCCAGTACTGTGGGCCATTCATGATGTCAATCCTGCTGCCCCGTTTTGGAAACAGACCTAAAGCTCCACACCCTGAACCCGTGCTGGATGAAGGTGATCAACTATTTCTGGCAGTTCACTATATCCATTAAGTAATACGGCCCGCCTAGAATTAGTGTTAGGCCACCTATCGTCACCCTCATTTTAATACATCCTCGGAGAGAGCGACAGACAGTTCAATACAAGGGGGGTATAAGTAGTGGTATGAGACAAGCTCGGGTGAAAGCCCAACAATAGCTCAGTGTCATGTTATCCTCTTCGCACTCATTCAAAAGTAGTAGTTGCGTTTCAGGGACTGTCTGCATTCACTGTATCCTAGCCTTGTCGATTGACTCTATTCCTGATGGGCCTGGTGCGAGATGATACGGTACGTTCGCTTGTTCTGTCCTATAGTACCACATAATAACCTCTCCGAGCACAGTGGATCCCGGAACTATGGTCCCTTTTCGGTGTCGGGACTGTCATTCTATTGTCTCGTGTTGGGTTGCGGTGCTGGTTACACGGTCTCCATCAGCCGGCAGCTGAGGACTTTGTCTCTCTTTTGATTCCCGCCTTCTATACTGTATGTGCGGTCGGTTGCTATCTCGTGTATATCAATGGAGACAAAGTGGACTTCACTCAGGCTGAGATCAATGCCTTAACCGACGAAGAGGCTCGCCGTCTCATCCTTGGAACGAAATGGGAGCTTGTCTTAGCATACTCTTATCCCACCATTCTCTGGCTCCTCAAGGCCAGTTTACTGCTGCTATACTGGCGCCTAACTAGTGGGCTTGGGCGACATCGCCTCTTAGTCTTGCTTATTGGAGTTATTTGTCTACTAACCTACATTGGGGTCATACTTAGTATGTCCCTTGCGTGCATTCCGTTCAGGAGATTCTGGGAAATCAAGCCGTTGCCTCCCATCAATTGTATTCAACCACCGAATATCTTTATTGCGTTGGCAGTTTCAAACGTCTTGTAAGACTTCTTTCTCCCGTTTTTGTGCATATCAAGCTAACCTAGGTATGAACGAAGCACAGACTCTGGGGTACGTAAAGGCTGACTACAAGGAATGTCAGTATTGACCCTCAAGATTAGATTATCGCTCTACCAATTATTTTATTGGCGAGACTCCAGGTCTCCAAAGCAAAGTGAGCTCATCATGCTTCCAGGACGATTAGTATGCGGCAAATGGGACCAAACTCTCCTAACAAGCCAAGAAAATTGAAGATTCTCTGCTTTCTCAGCGCGGGAACAGTCGTCCTTATCACTGCGTAAGCACATACAATGCACAGACCGTTTTAACATAGAGAATATGTCTGATTACTAAAGCTCTGTAGAGTCGTGCGAATCTCAATTACCCTGTGGGAACCAAGCCAGCTCAACTGGAATCGGTGGGTGATTGTTCTCCCTCGCATACCAATTGTCTCTGGGTTATATCAGTCTGATATAAAATTTGCATTAGCTGGGGCATGCGAGAAATGTTCATCAACATTATCGCAGTCTATGTCCCAGCCGTTCGCGCCATTCTTCGAAGCCGTTCGCAAAATCGACAAAGTTCGGTGCCCAGCGAGTCGAGTGTCCCGATTATGTGGCCCTCCAGTCCATATTATCAACATCTATCGCTGGATTTGGAAGCGTCCCCAACCGCTATGGCCCCGACCTCGACAACCACACTGACCAACACGAATCACCTAACATCATCAGCAGCCTAGACTCCGGCGCTGGTGGCAATACTCCCTTTGCCAGTGGCGCCGATGGCGTCTTCTAAACCCTGACATAATATTTGACCAGGAGATAGAAGACCTATTTCGCGGAGCAGATAGTAGCAATACATAATACAAGAACCATTTTAGTTTTTAAATGTGAGCCTTCTTCTAAATTTTCTCTATCTTACCTGTTTTTATTTTCAACCCAGTAAAGTTGCGCAGAAATATTCGTATCTAACCAGGGTTCCTGATGACACTTTTAGTGACAGTAATGAGACAACGATAATTGATGGGGGCTTCAACTTGGAACCGTCTTTCCTCATATAACTGAATGCAGCCCAAAAGGACTATGAGCAGGACCACCAAATGTATAACCCTCGGTTCACGAGTTTAGGGCTATTACGTTATAAGATATGTAGAATATCTTGGAGTGCTGTGTATGATCATCGTCACTCCTAAGATAACAGGATGGAGTGGATATCATCGACTACCAGGTAGACGTCCTTAACTGGATTCCCAGCACATAACATGTCAGTTCTGGCGAAACCTCTGGTCACACGAGAACCTCTTTTCACCCCGAACAGCAACGGATGCAACGAATAAGGCCATGAATTTAGTTGTCCTCATTCAATATGGCACGAGGCAGCTGCACAGGAAATGAATCAGTTGTGGAGAGGGTAATCCTTTCCTCGTACAATGTCACCGGAGCCGGGCAGCGATTCACAAAAGTTTAAAACACGCGCTTGACATGAATCTTTCTACAGAGGAACTGCGGTTCCGCTCTTGCTAAGAGAAATGATTTATAAACATAAATCCCGAGAGTTTCAATGGCGGAGCCGCTTTAAGCTCCGGCCCCACGTTACATACTGTAATTGTAGATTGAAGAGGGGACGCGGTCGAAAAACATTCATAAAAGTTAGCGCAGTCTAGGTCGTTTAAACTTATCATCTAGTCGTCACCAGGGGTGTATATTCTGTGATCTAAGCGGTCGAAAATGTCTGGTATTCTCGAGTGAGTTTTTCTACCCGTCCTACCATTGTTCCTCGTATCGCTACACCTCTCTCTTGGAAAAGACTTACCAGAATACGATCACTGATTCGCGAACATCTTTTCCGAAGCTAATCTCGACTCATTCTAGCATCACTGGACGTGTAGCCATCGTCACCGGCTCATCATCTGGCAATGGTCGTGCAATTGCCCTCGCCAGCGAAGGAGCTAGCGTGGTTTGCAGCGACTTGACTCCCGAAGTCCGATCTGGAGGCTACGAGCAGGTGCAAACTCCCACGCACGAGGAGATTCAACAAACTTTGAAAGGGAAAGCTATCTTTCAAAAAGCGGACGTAAGTTCTGAGGATGATGTGAAAGCCTTGGTACAGCTAGCAGCCGAGCGCTATGGGAGGCTGGACATGTAAGTCCCCAATCCCTATCAGATTGGATGTATTGCCGGAAGCTCCTCTGTAACAGTCTAGTCAAAATACCTGTATTACTAACCACATTATTTGCAGCATGGTGAATAATGCTGGCATCTTTTGCGGTCTCAATAACATTGTAAACGAGCCCGTTATGGCATTTGACAAGACCATGGTAAGCGAGATCGGGGATCACTCCTGAGTATGCAGCACTCACCAATATCGCAGGCTGTGAACACTCGCGGCGTTTTCCTTGGCATGAAATTCGCCATTACGCAGATGATGAAACAAGACCCCTTACCGTCTGGCGAACGTGGTTGGATTGTCAATATTGCTTCAATCGGTGACCAGGTCGGCTTGGCTCTAGAGCGTAAGTCTCCTCCCGTGCATCTTCAGAAAGCCGCCTCGATCTATACTAGATGCTGACGAACAATCACTTCAGCCTCGTATTGCGCAAGCAAAGGGGCAGTTGTAAATCTTACTCGACAAGTCGCCGTAGACTATGCCCCCGAAAAGATTCACGTCAACGCCGTTTGCCCTGGTTTCTTAGCGACCGCGATGGTGCGGTCATTCCTCGACGGAAAAGATACGAGCGCCATGTTGCATTCTCAAAGCCCTTGGCCGCATTTAGGAACCCCTGAGGATGTTGCCAAGGCGGTCCTAGTGCTTAGTGGTCCTGCTGCTAGCTGGATGACTGGTAGTTTTATCAATGTGGATGGCGGTTTCATCGCTAAGTAGGCATTGTGGCAAATAACAGGTCCTTATCTTTTGGCCTCATTATGTAGGACTCGTTGCTAATCCGGACCCGTCAACCATCTCGGACGGGCGCATACCATTTTACTAGTATTGAAGTTTGGATATCTGGCACCCAAGTGCTGTCCGTGCATGAGAGCAGTTCAACTTGATTGGACCAGCAAGCCTTCCTGTAGCTTTGATGTGATGCTCGATGTGTCAGTTTCATCGTCTGAGAACTAGATACGTCCAGGAAAATAACCCCTGTGTACAAAGCGACGGTAGCTAGTCCATGCTCACTACAGAGGCCCTTGTTCGGTTACATCCGTGATGTTCCTCGGCTACTGGGTTTGCTTGATTCTCAGACTGACGCGCTCTGTATTCCATGATTTCCATTTTGATCTTGGCGCTGCACTCCCTTCACTCTGCCGTAAAGTCCCAGGATATGCACCGGCTTTAGGGGGCGGATCCCACTAGTATATCTTCGACACGGCATTTTGATTCGTTCAATCACGATCTGCGCTTCCGCAACAAGAGATAACGCTTCCACTTACCGAATGCTTAGGCGGAATGGCTCCGTCGTGTTCGCCTCCGGAACCAGGTCATAGCGCGCTAAAGCAGTCGAGCAACGTTCGCGATGTCTGATAGCATCATTACGGCAATAACGAAAAGGTGACGTTTTTCCAAAAAGCAAGGAATCCATCTAAACCAAGAATATAAGGGTGTAACACAACGAAAAGATTGGGATGAGCTTCTACGACCGTCAGAAGCAACACTTGAGGAGATACCCCAATAAAAATATCTACAACGGTAGCTATACACAGTACCGCCTTCGGCTATCCAGAGGCATTCTATGTGAAGAAATTCATCTGGTATTGCACCAAGTCACAGTCAAAAGTGGCGGCTTCTCAAGAATCTCTCCTCATGAAGTTCTTTCTCTTCGCGCAACCTTTCCTCGATGTATTTGTGAGCTTGTCGAAAGTCAAGGACCGCTGTGTTTCAGTTGTTTCGTAGATTAATGCATAGCATCTTGTCAGGGGACTGCAGCTGGTGTTCAACTTTCATACGGTTAGAAACACCTGAGCGCCCTATTTCGATGATGAAAAGCAAAGGAGATTAAGTCTGAGGTGAGAAGACTGATATTCAATGGGCGATGAAGTGATCGCCTTCGAGCCTCACCGCGTGATATAGACACAAGTATTAGGAGTCGGCTGAGAATGGAAATTGATATATAAAAGGAATTGATCATTTGGTACTAGGTATTAGCACATATGTCTCTTAGAAAGTTTTCTGAAGCGGCTGGTTAGAGCGCACTCTAACCTATGAACTAGCTGGAGTATGTAAAGGCCGGAACCCAGTACCTCTGACATATCCCGGTTCCAGATCCCCGGAGACGCTGGGGCCCATACGCGGTTCCGCAGCTTCTAGACTGAGTGGATTTGCAAGTTGCTGCTGTACGAGTTCATCTTGGGATAACGTGAGTCTCGTATTCCAAAGGTTTCGCGGTTCCGCAAAAGTGGGGCGACCGGTTGCGTCGAGGCAGGCTAGTTTATGACACAATATCTTGAACGATCGAATGATCAGACATGAAATTCAGATATATATTTCTACAGGTTCGGCTCCTGCTCTCACAGGGAGGTTCAAGTCAAAACAAGTATCTTGCCCTTCATCAACTCATATCTGTACCACTCCCTTTTTCCTTCAACCAGCCATGCCACGCCAGGATATCTCATTCCAGACCTCTGACAATGTCACGCTGCGAGGATGGCTCTACAGGCCCCAACATGCCAGTGACAGTAAACTCCCATGTCTTATTATGACCCACGGATTTTCGGGTTTGAAAGAAATGGATCTGAACATGTTTGCCGATCATTTTGTGTCCAACCTGTCCCTGTCATGCCTCGTGTACGATAATCGTGGCTTTGGCGACAGTGATACCAAAGCAGAACAGCCACGTCAAGAGATAATTCCTGCACAGCAGATCAGCGACTATTCAGATGCCATCACTTATGCCCAATCTCGATCCGATGTCGACTCGGACAAAATTGGTGTCTGGGGGAGTTCCTACAGTGGAGGTCATGTTCTATGGCTTGGTGCTGTCGACAAAAGAGTGAAAGTGGTGCTTTCTCAGGTGCCATGCGTTGATGGATGGACAACGTTCCACAGACTGATCCGCCCTGATTTCATCGCGGGTCTAAATCAGCTATTCCAGGATGGTGAGTGGAATAACCGTGACCTCCGCTGATATGATACTAAGTTACCTTTGCGTCTTATTAGATCGTCTAGCCCGAGCGGCAGGGAAGCCTGCAGGAACGTTACCTGTAGTTGATGCAGACGTTTACAAACCATCTGCATTGCCGACGCCCGACAGCTACGAGTTCTTCACGAGCTGGGGCAAGAAGAGTAACTGGAAAAATGAAGTGACTGTCAAGAGGTGAAGTACTTGTTCATTGGCCTAGCGGATTATTTCTAATGGCAACAATAGTGTTGAGGCATTCCGCGAGTATAATCCATCAGCACACATCCACCACATTTCCCCTGCGCCATTGTTGATGACTGTCGCCCAAAATGACGTCCTCACGCCTACTGACATCGCTCTAGAAGCTTTTTCGCGTGCCCTTGAACCGAAGCAGCTTCATATCTTGCCTGGAGGTCATTTTGATGGATACTCGGGACCAAACTTCGAGGCAAACGCTGGTTGTCAGACTGAATTCCTTCGCAAGTATCTTTGCTCCTAACAGATGGCAGCGAGTGCTGAAGAGCAATGGGCATAAGATGTGAAGTGGTTGAAGAGTAGCATTCTATGGTGCTAATTTTCCGAATTCAATTTTGTGTTTTTCTCCCATGATTACTCATCAGGTGCAAAATGCCCCGGAGACATCCATATTGATTATGTGATCAACAATATGAGACCGACAGCCCGAAGTCAAGGGCTGAAGGCAAAAGACCTGGCCTAATGAGACTAGACCACTAACATCACATCACGTCGGGCTTAGAAAAGTAGTGTGTCAGAATACTGCTAAAGTCCCATAGTCCCATAGATTCAAGGCATGCCATGGTTGGGTGATTAATGGCTTCCCTTCGGGTCAATGTTCCACCAATGTAGCTCTCGTCAGTACATTACTAGTAGTAACAGTAGTAACAGTAGTAGTCTGAACCCCACAGGAAGAGTTGAGCCCTGCTGCATTGGCCACTGCGGGAGGGGTTCTTAGATTTAGCCTCGGCTCCATTAGCCCTATTTCGGCTACTCGCGCTCGACTCAAAGGTCAAGTATACATCAACGACGACAATCATCTTGAGAGCATCCTACTAAAAGCTGGTCTGAAACAAGCCTTGCCCTTCCTGAGTTCGTCGATGCATTTGTTCTATAATCATAAACCCCATGGCATCCTCACGAACGATCCGTCCGATACACCACCTATCCAGACCGGCTCCGTATGTCAAAAGCAGCCGACGACAGTACAAAAGCTGTGATCACTGTCGTCGAAACCGTCGCGCTTGTGATGCTGCAGCTTTGGGTGTGAATATTTTTCTAGGGGGTAATGATTATGATGAGAATGCTCCTAGGGCATGCTCGTCGTGTACCCGTTCGCAAAAGCAATGTACTTTCAATTGGCTCCTAAGTCGACCGAAAAGCGTCTTGCCTCGAAGCGTAAAGCGCAAAATCGATGCTTGCACTACCGCCGCAGATCTTACAATCAGCACGTCGTCTGCTGAAGCTGCAGCAATAGACGAGCCGGCTTATTCCAACTTCAATGCTGGCGACCTCGAGTTGAGCGGTGTTGAACTGGATGAAACCGCTGTTCCAGGTCTAAACGAGCACATCCATCAATTCGGCATGGCTTCGCAGTGGGAGCACCAGCCGCTCAAATCACAATATACACATCCTAGCTTCACAACAACGTCCCTTTCCCCAGGATACACATTCGCTTTAGATAACTCTACTCCATCATTACGTTGTGATCAGCTTAAAGGTTTTGGATCAACAAGGCAGGAGGGATGGGAGTTAGATATATTTCACTATCATGATGACACAGCTGCAACTGCGTCATCGCTTTTAGAGCCTAGCAGCAGTCACTCGGGGCATCCAAGCCAATCGGACTATTGTATCATAGAAAATGACGGTCTTTCAATCGATGATACAATAGGTCAGGGCGGCCTCCCTGGAGCGGCAGGCGCATTTGTCAACGGCAATGATGAGATGTTCGACCCATTCAATCCTCTGCAGGAAAGCATCTCACAGGGCACGAATAAATCGCTTATCTCTGCAAATTTATTGCGCATCTACTATGATAGCATCGAGAACGCTCTCTCTTGTTGGGTGACCGAGAGTAATTGTCCTTACCAGAAACTGAAGCGCAGAGAGCATGAATTAGTACATCCGGGCCTGAACCAAAAGACTAAAGTGGGTAGGGGTTTCAGCATCTACGCACGAGTTTGTCAGCTTGATGAAGCATTTGTTCCTTTTCATAGCCCATCGATGACGAAAGCCGACAGCCTCAAAGCGACGAAAGCTCTTTATGCTGCTGTACTGGCTTTTGCCAGTCAGTGGTCCCACGTGAGAAACACGAATAGCTTATTCGACGATGCCAATAGCGCTTTGGGTCTATCGCTGGCCACGTCTACGACCTTTGACGGGTTTGCAGCACCCTTCGAAGCCCTAGTCCAGCAGAGCGTTTGGCATGAATGCCGAAACTCTCTTCTTGCGTGTGATGATTCGGATTCTTTCAAGGTTATTTTTGCACGAATGATATTTTCTATGACACAGCAACCACCCGCTGTCGGGGATCGTGAGAAGATGCTGGAATCTCAAATTTGGTCCCAACACCTAGCCCCTGACCGTTGCAGGGTTCAATTCCCGAGCAGAGCAGCAAATCTCAGGACAACTGATTTGCACTCACCAAGCTTCAATCCTGGAGATATGAGCGGTCTGGAGGCCCGCAGTTTGGCACAAATCAACGCCGTCAAGGACTGGGATAGCCGGCCAACTTACTTAGAGACGGCACTTCGCTACCTTGCCTCGTGGCGACGGAGAATAGCAGCACAGGGTTCTTCGCAAACGTATACAAGATCGAGTGCTCAATCAGCGCAGATGTCTCGTGCGATAGTCTTGCAGAGTTTCGATCTGCTTTTCTGGCTGGGTGTCATGTGCGACACCACGTCGTCTGCGCTCACTCAGCGCCCTCTCGTAATCGCTGAACACGATTGTGAACTTCCAAAGATCACGACTAGCCAAGCCCTACCTGTATACCAAACCGCCTATGCGCATATGTCAACCACGTACGGCGTCGGCGACACCAATAGAACAGGTACTACGCCTGAACTGTGGGGGACGTATCTCTTGAGCTCCCCGCGTCTCAGCGGTGATAAGGCTCGATGGCCTTGTAGCGCAGATGAGGCATTTGCAATCTTACAGGAAGCGATCCCTGTCAAGGTCTTGTTGTGGCGGAGAGTTGCAAGGCTCCAGACTCTCACAAATGCGCGGACTGGCGAGAGGGACATCGAAGGTGTGATTTCTGCAACACTATCCGTTTATCAACATTGGACTGTGGCTTACGGCCAGTTTATGCGAGACTGCATAACCAATCACGAGAGCCTACCAGCCAAGGTACAGTCCTGGTATGTTATACTTGGCATGCACTGGCATTTAGGCTGCCTATTGGCTGCCACGTGTATTGAACAAGTTGATAACGACTCACTGTCAGAAAGCTTACAGAGATCACTCCGACGATCATCTGGCCTTGTCCTGGAGTTGAAAAAGGCCAATGGCAACGCAATATCAGATTTGGCTCGAGTGTCTTGTTCCAGTGACCATCAAACGTTCCGAGACAGTGCTGAATTTCATCCTGCGTTGAGTGACACTCCTTTACTCACAGAGCCATGGACGAATGTGCTCGTGCAGGCTCTCGAAAAGGCATGTAGCGTCTTTCTTACATGGACTTCAAGTCGGCGCCACATGGTCGACGAGCAGCATGCTTGGGTATATCACAATACCAACTACTCAGATCTTTGCAGTCGTGCTTCCCACTGCATTGACGCACTGAAACTGCTTGGACGCAAGTCGTATGCGGCCAGTTTGACCGCCGCTGCATTGGAAACACAGCTTACTTTGGTCACGAGCGACCAATGATTTGTCGATACCGTCCATCTGGGCAGACAATGGACGAGTGTATTGGTTCGGAAGATCTGGATGGGAGGACCAGATCACGAACCCTGTGACAGTACTTGACTGATTCCTAAGTCGTAAGATCACTTAAGTGTTTGCTCTATCTTTCGCTAAGCATTATAGTCGAGCAATAAACTGTTCGCCACTATCCTGATCCTTACTGCAAATTCCACGCCCAAAGAAAGTCAATTCTCGTGGAAGTTCATGTCACGCGAGAGGCTCCTTTCAAATCGAGCAGCAAAGAAAATAGATTCAGCCACTCAAACTCCGTAAGGCATCAGGCTTGAGCATTGCTGGGCAGGAAATGGCCGGGTTCGCGGCGGGATTAGCGTCGTGGGATCCCTTTACAGCGTATGTTCCAGTAGGGCATAAGGGTTTGGTTTCTTGTCGCCAAGTTCGGACTCCGTTTATTGTGCCAAATTGTCGACACACTTAGTCTAGAATATACTTTAACCATAATCCCGACCTGAGTTTTACTCATTTACCAAGAACCTTTCCAAGGTTTCGCGTATTTAAGCCTTAATGTTATTTCCCTCGTATCACAGGCTGGGTGGCTGCAAAACCAAGAAACTCCGCAGGTTTACTGGTTCACTACATATGTTATTACAGTTAAGGCATCCTCACGTCAGCTTTATCATAAGTTAAAAAGGGTGTTAAATTCAAAGGATAATTGGGAGGTCACGCCATGTACGCTTCATTGGATAATGATGTGATTTATTCCGAGCAGTACCGTGGATCTTCAGGTTGATGATGATGATTCGATGACAGGTTCGTATTCGATAGAGGCCAATGCCATCACCACCTGCATCTGCAGAATTTAGTCAAATCTAGATCCCTCTTATCGGTCATGAGATTAATGAGAGCTGAAATTGAGTTTCAACATAAATGGTCATGACTGCGCAGTCTTTTGTGAAATTTGATCTCAATCTCAACCTGTTTAATCGAGTACAACAGAGAGTTGCTAAGTGTACGTAGTACAATGTCGGATATTCACCGTTGTTCAAGTAAACGGCTTATCATTTGCTGTGATGGTATGTCTATACTATCTTTACCTGAGTAGGTTATTCATGTCTATCTCTACAGGAACCTGGCAAGACTCCACAGCAGACTCGAGCAAGCCTGCTTCCAACGTGACGCGATTCAGCAGAGCCTTAAACCCCATTGCGATTGTCGAGAGAGATGGTCAGAAACACGAAATCCCCCAGATTGTTTACTATCAAAAAGGTGTCGGGACTGGCCTGGGAGATAAATACTGGGGTGGTAAGTCCGAGCGCCTTCACTTTCCTCCCTCTCGAACAAGTTCCGCCTTGCTTGCTTTTTTATTTTATGCAATTTTGTTTAATTTTCCGTAGTTCTTAATGGCTTCTTAGCAAGTCTAATCTTTACAATCTACAGGCGTAGCAGGATTAGGCCTAAGCGCCAATGTCCGCGCAGCATACGGCTTCCTAGTCGACAACTACAACGAAGGCGACAAGATCTACTTCTTTGGCTTCTCACGCGGCGCATATACGGCACGCGCCGTAGCAGGTCTAGTCTGCGAATGGGGTCTCCTAACGCGACGCGGCATGGACAACTTCCCGACCGTGTACGACGACTTCTACCAAAAGAAAGCTGACGATTATACGCCCGAGCAGCGACGAGCACTTGGCTTCCGAGATCCACTGCCTCCGTTCACTGTGGAGATCATCGGAGTCTGGGACACGGTCGCCTTCCACCAGACCTGGTTAGGGGCTTGCGTGGGTGAGAAGCTCGAGTTCCGGAATACGATTCTCTCCGAGAATGTAAAGTATGCGTTTCATGCGTTGGCGCTCGATGAGGAGCGAACGGCGTACCAGCCGACATTATGGAATCTTCCAAACAAGAGCCACGGACAGGAACTGTTGCAGGTTTGGTTCTCGGGGGTGCATACGGATGTTGGGGGTGGGGGGGATGATCCGCGACTGTCGAATATTCCGTTGGCGTGGATGATCGCGCAGTGTATGAAGGATGAGCAGTTGAGTTTTGATATTGAGGGCTATTTGTTTGATTTGCCTCCCTGCCCGCTGGAGAAGGAGATTGCCCCGTGGGCGACAAGTTTGGGTAAGACGACGCAGTGGAGTTTCACACGGTCTCTGGAGGGGATTCTGGGTGGTCTTTCGAAACGGACACCGCTTGCTTATAAGCCGGTTGATTCGGGGATCACTAATGAGACGATTCATACATCGATTGGTGATCGGAACTTGGCTGGCGCGGATAAATGGCCTTGTTCTGCGTTGAAAGCACGGCAGGATCCGGATCGTTGGATACTGGCGGATGGTCGAGTCATTGTGGAAACGCCGTTATTGAAAATGGAGGACTATATGAAAGGACGGATTCGGACTGTGCATGTTGATCAGCAGGACTAGTTGATGATCAATTAGTTTTGTATTTCATCATATTCAGACTATACTTCCATATGATACCAAGAATATAATGTACACTCAGCGATCTATAAATAACTTCCCCCAGTGCCCCTGAATAGATGTTTTACGAGTAATACTCCGTAGATGAGGTGGAAATGAATGTTCGAGTTACCACCCCTTTTGATAGTATTTAAATCGAAGAAATTATGCATTCGGAGGCCCTCACAATGACTAGAATATATATAAATAGTACAGAGGACATTTCCATTAATATCCCATATGGCACTATTTCCACTTAGACTCCGACTAAGAACTGACAAAGCAGAGAAAAGGCCCGCCTAGAAGGCAACTGACCGATTCGGGCCGGCATCCCCATCCGAGATGAGAATTCTGGTTGGTTCGAGTGTTATGGGTTGACGTGTGGTTCATCCATGGAACTGGGCGGATATCCCTGTTAGAATTGACCGAGGGATCGGTTTCCATTGGCGAGAGAGGGAGGGGAATCTCAAGGGTCAGGGGTATTCATGCAGGTACGTAAGTGTCTGAGAAATCAGATCGCAGTCTTCTTATTCTGATTGGACATGCGAGCCCCACTTACCAGGATATCCCATGGATCCGATTGACCCAATCTGTAAGAATTCTATCTTTAGATCCAATCGGCTTTCGGTAGTCCCCAAACAAGCTCGAGCTAGCCAGTCATATCCAACGCGCAAAGACCCATCAAGACCCACGGCCAGTCTAGAACCACATCGATTTTTGCCTCCATCTGTTTCTGAATCTTTTATTCCTGATTCCTCTTCTACTGCTTCTTTTCCCTCTTTCTTCCATCTTCATCTCCTTCTCTCTTTTTCCTACTACTCTCACTTGAACTTGTTGTTTTTATTTTTTTGTCTTCAAGTTCGTTCCTTCTTTTTAGTCCTACTGTGACTTTCTTTTTGTTTTTTTTTTTTTTTTTTTAGAATCATTCTACAGTCTTTACTCAATTCCTCCTCAAAATGCAATTGACACACCTTCTTGCCTTCGCCCTGTCGCTCGCTACGTCCGAGGCCGCCTACAAGGGTTTCAACTATGGTGCGGCCAAGTCTGATGGCAGCGTCAAGACTCAGTCCGATTTCGAATCGGAGTTCTCGACTGCGAAAGGTCTTGTTGGCACTTCGGGCTTCACCAGTGCTAGATTGTACACCATGATCGTGAGTGACGTGGTGATCAAGCAGGAAGCGGAATTCACGTACTGACTATTATGCAGCAAGGTGGTACGACCAACTCCCCCATTTCCGCCATTCCCGCTGCCATTGCTGAAAACACTTCGCTGTTGCTGGGTCTGTGGGCCTCTGGTGGTGGTATGGACAACGAGTTGGCTGCCCTCAAGGCGGCCATCTCCCAATACGGTGACGCCTTCGCCAAATTGGTCGTGGGTATTTCCGTTGGTAGTGAAGATCTCTACCGGGCCTCTTCGGAGGGTGAGAAAGTCAATGCCGGCCTTGGCGTTGGCCCCGACGCCCTGGTCTCGTATATCAAGGAGGTCCGATCGATCATCTCTGGCACTGCGCTGAGCAGCGTCCCCATTGGCCACGTCGACACCTGGACCGCCTGGACGAACGGCTCCAATTCGGCCGTCATTGACGCCGTGGACTGGTTGGGTTTTGACGGCTACCCTTACTTCCAGAGCTCCATGTCCAACTCCATCTCGGACGCCAAGGCTCTCTTCGATTCCTCCGTGGCTCAGACGAAGGCGGTCGCTAATGGCAAGGAGGTTTGGATCACCGAGACGGGATGGCCCGTCAGTGGAAACACTCAGAACCTCGCCGTCGCTTCCATCGCCAACGCAAAGACCTTCTGGGATGAGGTGGGCTGCCCCTTGTTCGACGAGACCAACACCTGGTGGTACATCCTCCAGGACGCCAACCCCGTCACCCCTAATCCCAGCTTCGGTGTGGTCAACAGCACTCTGAGCACCACCCCGTTGTTCGACTTGTCTTGCTCGAACAGCACTCGCCCATCTACTGCCGCTTCTAGCTCGGCTGTTCCTTCCGGCTCTGCGGTTCCTTCTGGCTCTGTTGTTCCCTCTGGCTCTGCTGTTCCCTCTGTGGGCCCTTCGTCATCCGGAATCGCTGCTAGTGTCACTCCCTCGGCCACCCCCAGCTTCACGGTCGGCAAGGGATTCCGTCCGTCCAACTCCTCCGCTACTGCCCACTACTCCAGCGCTTCTGTCAGTGGCTCGGCCTACCCTAAATTCAGCAAGACCGCCAGCGCTTCCTCGTCTACTTCCACCGGCGCGGGTAGCTCTTCTGACTCTAAGTCGACCAACTCGGGCAGCTCCTCTTCTGGCAGCTCCTCTTCTGGCTCTTCGTCAAGCAACTCTGACAGCTCCTCCTCTCCCTCTTCTTCCACCCTTGCTACGGGTGGTGCCAGCTCCGTCTCGAGCTCCATCTTCGGCGCTCTGGTTGCTGTCTTTGCCTTTGTGGCTACTTTGTAAAGGAACACCCCTGGTCATGATCCCGATCAATAGCTAGATATAGACCATCATCGGCCCCATTTACAACTGGCGGTTTTCTTCCAAGTATATATATATTCGCTCGTTCTTTTTGTCAAGGACAGAAGTCCTACATATACGCTCGCACTACTGCTGTGAATAGACTTGTTTGTTTTGGCCCTCACCTGGCACTCTTGCGCGCCTCCATTCTTGATGTGTATTATTAGACTAGATTGATTCGACTTCTTCTGCTGGTTCGGAGAGTAAAATGAATATGAATATGAACATGAATTTGCATTTTCTGTGATCTTTCTAATTTACCTGTCCCTTCCACGCCTTACATTGCCCCCCCCCCAAGAATTTGGAAATCGCCCTCTTCAACCATGCATGCTTTCAACCGGGTGGAATTGAGTTTACCCGGATCGAACCATGGCACACTTTCAACGTCTCCGATCTAAACATGTTGTAACACTGTTGGAGTAGATGGTGACTACTTGCCACAATATAGCCAATTCCATGGATAAACAGCTGCTCCATGCTAATGTGATATGGAAATATACTGTCAGTGCCCAAGGAAATTGCAGTTCGAAATCAACCCTATGGACGGAGTACATATGGATATATATATCCTGTTGAAGAATGAGAACCAAGAACCAAGATGACCTCAACAGCTCATCTACATGAAAAATACCGTCGGCAACGCGGAAGACATGATGCTTATTGAGTATATTGTTCCGAAATCCTAGCAGTGCGGTGGAGCTTCACAACAAGCTGGATATATGCAAGGGTCCTCGCATTGGAACCCACTTCAGCCTAGCATTGCCTTCCGCTCAACTCTCCGACGTTCATGAACTCGATTGGGCTGAATCACAGGGAGTCCCCAAACATATTGTCCGCATCAGCGCAGGACTGGACTCAGAGGTAGATTTGGTTAACCGGATCCATTAAGCATTGCTGGCGGTAGAGCAACACGAACAGGAAGTGCTATCTTGATGCATATCCTTCAATATTTAATTGAATTCCCCTTAGCTCCATAAAAACTTGTATTCATTACATTGATATTTTAGCCATGTATGAGGTAGTAATATAAAGGCTTATCGGTATCATACCGTACCATACAGGTGCAGCTTCAGCTGAATGTCCTGCCCTAAGCCCATTTTCTTTTTTTGGTTTTATTTTTGCTTATTCTTGCCTTTGTGAGTATTGACTAGTGCCAAACTAGGTACCTTGATTTGAAAAGATATGAACTGTAAGAAGCAGAATACCGTTGCCATTTGTCTAGTGCTACTATCTGGATCCAGTCCCGATCTGCGCGGATTAGTTCCAATTATCGTACGTATATCGAAATATAACTGAATTTCTTTTCCAGTTGAAATTTTCAATTGTGTTTTTTGTCCAACCTAATTGGCGCGAGGTGCCGGTAAACACGTTGGGGGTTTTGCTTGTTCCGAATCCAAAAGGAGTTCCTATTAGTGAAGTATAATAAACCTGTGATTTTGTGAGTGGATATATTGGACAAGGTTCCTGCCTACTACTTACCTACTACGTTGCGTGTTCTGTGGGATGGGGAGACTATACCCAAGACAGCGGCGGACAGAATAAATAGAAGGCAATAAGAAACAGTGAGAGATATATATTCATAGCTTAGCCTCACCTGTAGCTGGGATACACACAGTCATCTAATACAGTCGTAGTATTAGCGTTGTCTCGGTGTCTCGACGTAGAGAAGACTAGAGGGGATATAGTATATGTTATCATCTGTTCTTCATTGGCTAAGACATTTCCATCGTATCCGACCCTCCATATTGTCAAGTCTGGGATCCCCAAGGATGACCGTCAAGGAAGGGTCTGCACACACGCGATCTAATTGCAAAGCCCTAGGATAGGAAACACCTTTTTGACATGCCAGTGTCGATATGTGATTCAATACCTTTATAGTCCATATTCGCCTACATGCTACAAACAACAAGCGCATTTAGCGAGAGAGAGCAAGGACCTATGGATTCCCGCTTGTGGTGAGTTTTTCCCTCGTCGGATGCCTCGTCCTGTCATCACCCCTGAAGTGAGAGATTTGCTGTTGCGCTGTGAGTGGAGATGAAGTAGGACGGTATGTATCCTTAAACCTTCCATGTTCTTCATGTAGTTATAGAGTTAGTGGATGACAAACAAGAGCATATTCTAGTCTCGCTTGAGTTGAGCGGGGTAAGCCTAGCTTAATCAGCCAACGTTCAGCCTTGCATAAATGAGGCTGAGACGTGTAGGGAAAACTCATCGTCAAATTTCCTTTCTCCTTCCTCCTTGCAGAGTTCTTGCAGCCTACATCCTTTGCTCTTGGGATCCAGAGGAAAAGCAATAACCAAAAAAAAAAAAAAGAATACTGATCATAGGGATATCGCTATCATGGCTTCCGACGACGAGGGTCTGGAACGTACCCCATCAAGTCATCGGATCAGTAATGCAAAGAAGGGCAAACGTGTCTATGGATGTGACTACCCTGGGTGCAATAAGGTTAGTTCAGTTCCAATAGCCAAATTCGAAAGATATTAAGTAGTTTGTGAAGGTCTTTACCAGGGTAGAGCATTTAATGTATTTCTGGGTCCTCCACAGGCTCAACCTGATCTGATTGACTAATTTTATATCGATACAGACGGCATCGGTTGAACCATAATCCGGATCCATTGTACCGATGTACGCATCCAGGATGTAGGAAGGCCTTTCATCGCTCGGACTTGTTGGCTCGACATTTGGAGCGACAGTAGGTTGTGCTCTAGGAGGTCTAATATTGAGGTCAATGTTGACGCTCCAATAGTGAACTTGAGGCTCAGATGCAGTCAGCCCTGCCCGGGAATGAAGAACGAAAGGGATCTAGCTTCGGACGGGATGATCCGCCATTCACTGATTCCGGGTATGGTTCCCATGCAGGGACCAATCTAGTGGGCAAAGTACGAAATAATCGAGAAGAGCTGGATGACATGAACTCTCCGCTAACACGTGAGGAGTGGGAGGAGTGCCGTGGGCTATATCAACAAATGAACTTGGGGAACTTCGATTCTGACCGGTATGACGTCTGCGATAGTGGGCAGAGCGTGTACTCAGAAGGCTCCGTAGTACCCGTGGCTACTAAGGAGAGCTACATTGAGCTTCTAGCGGCAGACCTGGCCAAGAAGATCTGCCGTCATCTGAGCGATCCTGAGGATCTGGAGATGATCTGCAACCTTCTTCCTAGGATGCTTCAGGAATTTGCGTTGAGTTTTGGTGGCCATCGTGCTACCCAGGTTCACCGTGATATTATGGTGTTCGTTCATCGATATAGAAGGTATGTTCAACTTTCAGTGTCAAGGCAATGCGTTCTAACTATGAGTAACTACAGGGAAATAGCTATAAGCTGCAGAGCCAAGGTGTCACATGATGTAGTGATTCAGGACAGGGGCAATAATACCGACAAAATGTCGCTGGAGGAAAAGATACACTTTTGGAATGAACGCAGTCGTATCTCAGAGATGGGAAATTACCAGTATCCCCCAGAACAATGGGAAGGACCGCTTGGGGGCGAGGGCGTGACTGACCATAATCTGAACGGCGTGACAGAGGTCAACGAGTCAGATATGCCTGCGATCGAGCAGTACACAAAATTAATTTAGTCATCTCCTGCCTATGACAACCTGCTGGTGAAGCTTGAGCGAATGTGCGTTCTAACTCTACCAAAGCCGAATCTGACAGAGGAAATATACGATACAATTCACGATTTCACGGCAGTCCCAAGGGAGGTGAGCAGAAGGATGGCGCCAGAAACACTGAATATCACCTTTCATGTTGAATGGAAATTGCCTAAAGACCAGGCATATCCCACTTCCCCAGATTATGCCTTAGGATCGTTTGTCACAATAACGGGATCAGCAAGTGACGCACAGGCACTCTCATGTTCCGAATATCTACGCCAGACATGGCCCACAACTGGCATCAAAGTCTTAGATTTAGTACAGCAAGTATTAAACATCGCTAGTGTTTCTACAAAGCTACCAGGTATGTTCCAAACGAATCAAGAAGTCAAGGGAAAGAATGCTAACTCAGCAACAAAATGATCCTCAATAGACGGTACTATGGTTTATGCAAGCCAGGAGCCTGACTGTGGTTATTTGTGCTTTAATGTAGTAGGAACTGTTGCTGCGATTGTTGAGATCGGTGCATGTCTATCGTGGGTTGGTGCTGTTGCCCAGCCCGCCCCCTACGAGATATCCCTTCTCCGGCCATCGGTTCATTATAGGGGATTACATCACTTCAACATTGAATTTGTGATACAGCCCTTAGAGCCGTCGAAGCGACACAACAATGGCCAATGCTGGCATGATCTATTCAGGGAAGCGGCCATTGTGGAAGGCTTTCCAATACCTCGAAGGCCAATGGGGAAGAGTCTGTGCGGCGTCGAAGCCCCTTTGGAGATCATGGCTCGACTAGCTGGGACCCAACGAATTAATTTATATGCAGGGAAGATCTTCATCAAAGGTTTTTCAAAACTGCTCCTACCAACTGGTCATGAAGAGGATGTTGTCATGTGGCACCTCATATCATCCGAGGACGGGAATCGGGTATCTTATTTGGATGGGATGAGGCTGTGTCCAATCCAGATCCACCTTTCCGACCTCAAAAAATCTCGCCATATACTTGGGTGGTGTTCTGAAATGAAGTTCTACGCCGGTTGGTTTTCAAACCCGCTGTTGGTTCTCTGTCCCTAACTATCACAGGCGCAGAAGATATATCATACGATATTCAGAACTCACGGCTCCCGAAAGCAACCGGCCTTCTCTTCAATGCTTCAGTCTCGTTTGGCCAACTGATCACGAGTGTCTCTTCTACCAGCTCTCTCAAGTATGGCTCGCTCAATGCGTCTCGGCACGGATATATGAGCAAGCTCAAATGGTTAAAGAATAAATACATTGTCCTTTGGGACGAGGTAGGCAAGCGTGGCTGGCTAGTTAATGGAACTAGCGCACTTCTTCATCTGGTGTGTGCTTCTCTTGCAATCGACAACCACAATGAGTTCTCTTCCTTTATCGTCTTCAACCCCTCCATGTTGCAGTCCAAAGATAGACATCGGCCGTTTTCCGCGTTACAGGTTCTCTTGAACCCCGCGAACCTGCAACTGAAAGTACACCCTGAAGGGGAAGACTACTTCCGATTCCAAGATTACGTCTTGAAGTTTTATGAGACCTTGGAGAAAATGTTCGACCACCAGATGGCTATTACAAGCGATATTGCTAGCTCGCCCAGATCTCAACTGGAGGGCTGGGACTTTACTGATATTGTAATGGAACGCGACCCAATATATCCTCGCGGAACCACACTCGACACTCCGGGCCGGTCTTGGGTTGAACTGACAAGAGCAGTGCATGCAGTGACACTGTTCGGGCGTAATTTTGGGGAGATTATTCAGCCTATCCGATCTTGTTCTGAATGGGTCAAACTTCCATTTTATCGCTCTTACCTGGCTGTATCTGACTTTGATCTCCAAAATATCATGTTATCCACTTGTGGCGATCTGGATTCTTGCCCCCCAAAGCTAACAGATGGCTTAATCTGGTACATACCAGAAAAAGGACCACTAGAATGCACGTGTGATAGTGGAACAGGATCACACTCAGACGTCGTTCAAATTCTCCTTCCTTCTTCCATGGAATCCAAGCTACCAAAGCCAATTCTCCCATACGAAAGGACCGGGGGCGGCGCGTTTATTTTTGGACAGCACTCAATACATGAATGGTTCTGGGGCGAGACGGGTAACCCCTCTACAGCGCCTATAGCTCCACCGTTGCCTGACTTGACGAACATCAGGAGCTCCCTGTCCGATGACAGCGGTATTGGAAGAAGCTTATTGTCGAACTCCGGTGACCAAGACTGTCCAAAAGCACCTTCAAGGGGGTCAGCTACCCGGCTCTCCATAGCTGCGAGCAGCCCAAGACCAGCGGAGCGGACAGTTAATGACTCCTCACAACCACAACCACCGTCACAACTAGGCCCGACGGATTATAAGGTGGCGATCATCTGCGCTCTTCATCATGAACTCGCAGCAGTCGTTATGCTCTTTGATACCAGTCACGGAGACGTACCTATCCCAACCGCTGACCCCAATTCCTATGTCTTCGGGAGCATCTGCAACCACAATGTTGTCGCTACATGTCTCCCCGACGGTGAATACGGCACAACGTCCGCAGCTGATGTTGCTGCAAACATGAGACGAACCTTCCCGTGTATTAAATTCTGTCTCCTAGTCGGTATCGGCGGGGGTGTCCCATCTGCTACTCATGACATCCGGCTTGGGGACATTGTCGTCAGTAAGCCGAATAACGGAAGCTCGGGGGTTCTAGCGTACGATATGAAAAAGACTCTAGAGAATGGCGTGTTCCAGCTCAATGGCTGCCTACAGTCCCCGCCCAGGCATCTCAGGTCAACCTTGAGTATCATGCAGTCTATTCCTACATCCTCAGTACCCTTGTATGCCTACTTGAATGAAATACAGGACCAAAATGCAGATTACAGCCATCCAGGTCCTGAGGCTGACCTTCTATACTCACCCAATTACTCACATCCGCCAGGCGAACCAAACTGCATGGGGTGCGACACGTCAAAAATAATGCCCCGTCAACCTAGATCTACTCAGAGACCAGCCGTCCACTACGGCACCATCGCCTCCGGAAACCAAGTGATCAAAGACGCAACGACGCGCGACAAATGGGGTAAGGAATACGACGTTCTATGCTTTGAGATGGAGGCCGCAGGGATAGTGAATACCTTCCCTTCGCTTATTATCCGCGGCATTTGTGATTATTGCGACTCCCACAAGAATAGAAGGTGGCAGAGGTATGCTGCGGCGGCTGCTGCGGCTTATTCCAAGTTGCTTTTGTCCCGGGTGAGGACGGATATGCCAGGTGAGGACACCGGTCTGTACATGGCAGATTGTGACCAGATCCCTGCATTGGAGGGGCCAGATGCGAAGCGTCGGCGAATCTGGGAGCAGGAATGATTGTTTTAGCTTTGGTGATTGATGTTATCTTCGTATGGAGTATGCCATGACGATATTCAAGATACTTTTATCACCCTTGCGTCTCGGCTCTCACACTCTTTTCGGTGATTTCTCTTTCTCAATCGATCACCCGATGAGTACGGTACTGTCTTGGTTCTTCTGTTCGACGTCTGTCTTCCAAAGGAGTCCATCCCTCACCCACCTACACCAATCATTCATTCATAGCCGACAGCTAAGTCGGCCTTCGGTCCGGGGTTAGCTCCGCCTGCTGCCAACTCTACATGGACGCCAGAATCGCGCGACTCCTTTCTATCGAGGCGCTGGCGCCGTTTGCGTCGGTGACTTCTCTACCTGCTGCTTCAACGATCTGAACAACTCGATTTAGATGATTAACTCCTTCCCGGAGGTATACTGTACCCCGCTGGATATCACGCCCCACTCCCTAGGGCTTCTGTAGAGCTATCCACCGGTTCTTTCTTATATCTCGTATCGTTATAAAAAGCACATTCAATCCCTACAATTCATTGAAAGTTGTAAGCCTGTTATAGTTAAATTCGGACATGGATAAGTCGCGATCAGAAATAAATACATGCTCTGCTTTTCGTTATAAGGAGCCAGCTTGAGGGTCTACGAGCCCAAGGATTTGTGCACATTTGGCTCGAGGGGGAATACTTGGTCCGCTGGGTTGACATCCTTGTAAACATGCTCCCAGCGTTCACGCAATGGCGCCGGAGTGTCCCAGGAATATTCAGTATCCCGCAGCCAAAGCCTCAACAGGTGTCGCCTAGGCAAGGAGTTGGAGTTAGCAGGAGATCATATCTACCCCTGCAGCCACAGCCACAATCATAGTCACCAGAAATAACGTACTCGTTCCCCGGCTCATCCGAAAAGCCATTGCGGGCGTGGAAAATACTGTGGTTGTTGATATACTGGATATCGCCTCTCTTAAAATCTAGCGAGGCGCAGTTGTCTTCAGAAAGGAAATGCAGCGCGTCCAGGGCTTCAGCCTGCGCTTGACTGAGTGGTGGGATATCAGGAGAGCGAGGTTGCGCTTGGAAGCCAGTGAAGTAGCGACGGGCATACTGCATCATCACGCGCTCTGGCTTTGATTGGGTTGCGGGCTGATGGAACAGCAGAGGTCGCTGCGAGTACGGTCGCTCAACATTTCCGAACCTGAGCAAGTCATCAGCAGACGATCCTTGAGCAATGGGGTAAAGTGTAAATAGTCAGTAAGTACCCGTCAAATGGCCAGTCTTGCGAAAGAGTATGGATCAGGTCCGGACGCTGCTGGGCTAGAATGTTGTAGATCTGCCAGGAACTGGCGATATAGCTTTCCCCGCCCTGAGCGGAAGGGTTCAGACACAGCAAAGAAATGATGTCTCCTCCATCTGTGTGGAAGACCTGCTTGTCAGCAGTGTTCGACGGCGCTCCGATCTTTGCAGCGTCCCTTGTTCGGCTGAGATCTTTGATGTGCGAGACAATCAAGGATTTCCCAGCGTTGAAGCGGGTATCTTGCTGCCGTCCGCGGACGTCAGCGACGTGGGCAGAGACCCCAATATATATGATCGTATTTTCTTCTCGCGAGTAATCATCTACCCGGAGTCCACGGATTATGAAAAATCCACGGCCAAGATGCAGTTCTCTGGAGAGCTTTCTCAATTCAGCATGGAGGTTCGGTAGGGGGAATGTCGTCTGGTCGATGAATCCGAGGGGCAGATCGAGCGCTATAATATTGGTAGTCAGGCCACTGGCATAGAGATGGACGTGGACAAGTTACCCTTGAAACTTTTGAGCGCTCTGTCAATCTCATCCAATTGAGCATCGTTCAGCTCGCAGATCCAGTCAGTGCGCTTCTGCATCTCTTTGCCATCCCAAACCAGAGGCGACACCAATTTTGCGGGAAATCCGGTTGGGAGGGTTGAAGGAAGGTTCTCTGTTTCCTTACGAAGTTGGCCTCGCTTCTCATATTGAGCTCGGTCAGGCTGATACTGAAGCGGTGGTTCGGCAGGATGGGTTCCAAGAGCCGTCATTTTCTTTTCTCTCGGGGATAACCACAGTATTGAGCAGGGCCGATAAAGGAATTATGAATAAATGCCAATGCCAACAGTAGAGTGGGAGGGTATGAAGGAGAATATATATGGTCGAATGAGTGGGGTGTTGCAGTGACCTGTTTTGGCATTACGTAGATACACCAAGTGGTCTCCAAGCGTACTTGACATCGTGGCATTTTCTCGCCAAATTACCATCTAGCCTGACTACGTACCCATAGACCCATCGAAGTTCTTTCGCTCAGACCGACTACTGCAATCTTGCCCCGGAATCACCTTCCAATTTGGTGGTCACTTACGGATGTGTCCTACGCGCACGGGGGCTATAAAGTGCGCCTTCTACTGACACGGACCCACAAAACCCTATGTCGCCATCACGTCTGAATCAAAGTCGTCTCATCATTTTGTTTTAAGCTTCTACATATTATCTTAATGTTCTCCGGTTCCACTAACACCACCGTTATTCCGGAATAATACGATATAACTGGGTAATCATGTAGTTTAGGTCTGATTGCGCCTTATCTGATGCATATGAGGCACCGTCCCACGTATGAAACACTGATACTACTACTCCATACTGTAGACATCCACAGGTATTCTAATTCCAGAAGTGCCTCAGTATACGTCTTATAACACTTCAAGTACCGATTATTCCTTGTTATTTTCTAACTGGCGCTAAGTATCACACAATTGCACTTATGGCTCGGCATGATGAACCCCAGAAGGAAGATCAAATGGCCAATCAGTATAAATAATCCTATAAAAGTATGATAAAGAGAATCTGCAAATCTTTTGCAGTTCCCAGAATTGTGCTATTTGATTTGCTTAAATCCGGCATCGACTTGTCGCCGTATCCAGAATGCCATCGGGCAATCAATAAATCCAAGGTTAGCCGTCCCATCATCCGCTTTTTGGCATCCACAAACACACTAAGATACATGACGATAGTTCGGTGAGAGATGGGATTCTCGAGATTAACTTGGAACTCGATTCTGTATTGAACGTGGTAGAAGCACACGTGCTGCAAGAGAGGCGGATTGGAATATACGGAAGCATCTCTTTTATTGTCAACAAGATCATCGGAGCAGGGTTTGTCACTACCCTTTCACTGCGATATTCCTTCCGGAAAGGTACATTAATAGATGCAGCAGGATACTTTCAACCCTGGCGACCATCTACAACCTTGGCGGAAGCGTAGGGATTGCATTGATCATCTGGGTCGTTGCAGGACTGGTCTCTAAATCGGGTGCTTTGATTATGATTGAGCATGGTGGTGCTATACCTCGCTGGAGGGACAGAACCCACAACCTGGAAGCTTCGGGGAGAGCGCCATTGCTTCAGTGAGATTTACAGTGGGTATCCACACCACACACCGAGGATGGAAAGGCTTCTGCAATATATATTAAGCGTGGTGAAACTCTTTATGCTACTTGTTGTTGTGTGCACCGGCGTTGCGGCGTTGCTTGGTTATCTTAAGGTGCCCGACCCTAAGAACTTGAATACCAGTACATCCTTCCGAGGATCAGGCAGCTGCTACGATTTAGGTACTGTAATTCTATCCGGGCCTTTCTTATTCCAGGGCTACGACAACGTCAACGGTTTCCAGGGCAGGTTACTGACAAACCATCTATAAGTATTGTCGGAAGTAAAGCACCTACAATGCACTCTACATGTTGCGCTTCTCTGTGCAATGGGTCTTATAACTATGTTATACTTTCTCGTAAATATAGTTTATGTATGATACTTTCTTTTATTACCGGATACCTTGATCGAAGTATTAACAGGATTGCATAATCCTCAGTCGGCAGCTGTTTCCAGACAGGAATCTACCAGCTCTAATATAACTATTGTCGCCTTGCTGTTTTGAAAGGTATTTGGAAATTCAGAAGCTGCCAAAGTACTGACTTTTTGCTTGCAGTGGAAGCTCGTTTACCGGTTATGTTACCCAACATAATCTAGAGTGCACCCACCCCTTCTCAGCCGGGCAGTATCTACTTGACTACTGGCCGCGTATAAGCCAGAGATACCTGGCTAATTCTCTATGAGTCTTTGATATCTATGTCACTTTCAAGCAGCGACTTCAATTGCGTTCGGGGGATTGTGGACAACTGTGGGTGAAAACGAGGTGAGATGGCGCTGCCCGCTCAATCTGCTAGGGCCCTAGGGGCCTGCGTACCCTAAACAGGGGGCGAATTCTCCACCCAAGAGTAGAACGTGTCAAGGCTCTGGTTCCATACTGCTGCTCACAGAAGGCCTACTTCGACTATGGACTGTCCATGACCCCATCACAAGTAGAAAAGATCGTCACTCCACCGAGGGCACAAGACACTGACTCAGCGCTGATGAAACCACAATCAACGTAATAGGCCAGCCCGGTAAAATCGGACCCCCAAGAACCACAGTGTGGATGAAGTTGGAAGTGTTGAAAGTTTGGCTTTCCATATCTCAACCACACCACTTCAAGACTATCTATAACTTAATATGATTACATAGTAGCCTGAGAGAAGCAGTTATTAGAGGTGTAAGTACTGGTCGCAAACCGGTTATGGTAGGTTACATTGGTTTCATCTAGAGTTGATCTCGGGGCGGGTTTTTGATAGGCAAACCCGCACAGGTTTGGGGCGGGTTCTAGAACTAAAACCTACCCCTAGAAGCGGATCCTAGATCAAGGACCCGACCCGTTAAATTACTGGGTTCGGGGCGGGTTCGGAGTGGGTTTAGCGGGGGACCCGATCAACTCTAGTCTCTAAGTATATATTCAAAGTTTTTAATTTTTTATACTAATTAACCTTCTTCTCTATATTTAATAGATATATTCAATTATAATATTAATTCAAAACTGTGACTATTAGATACAAGATAATAGAAGAAATTATATATTCTATATCAATTATTGAAATACTAAATCTTATTCATAAATTTATAGTTGTAAAAAAAATATCTCTAATAAAATAGATCCGTCATTTCTCAGACCCTCTGACAAGGAAACGAGATTCTGTTTTTAAGAATTTATATAATTCTAAGCTAGGCCTATCCCGCTGTCCTAACGTAGTTAGCTGTATTAGGAGTTAGTCACCCAATAGGAACACAGTGTGCTTCCCTTCCCAACTCTCCCAACCATGACTTCGCTAGTCACTGGGGCAACCCCAGCATGTGACCATTGGCCACGCTTTGGGTTGTCATATTAAACCCAGCCTTTGCAATACTTCAACATTGTACTGCATCTCGACTTGCTAGAGCCCCGTTACAATAAAACGTATGTCACGTATGCTTAGGGCCCTTAGGATCCCCCTTTTCCGGCGACTTCCATCGCCAGCCCGTCAGTTCCCACCTGGCCCCCTTCTCGACTCAACGGACAAAGTGGAGGAGGAAAAACTAGCATGGTATTCCCACTATAACTTCTTTCCCGTTAAGATCAGCGATGTCTTTCAGTCGAAGTATCAAGTGGTTGGAAAACTGGGCTATGGAGGGTATTCAACAGTGTGGCTTTGCAGAGATTTAGAGTAGGCCCCCTCCATACTTGATTGCGAATCGGAGGAGCTAATAGGTACAGAGAGCACGTTTACGTCACATTAAAACTATACGAATGTAACTCTGCTCATGCAAAACGAGAAATTCAGGTCTACGATCACCTCAAAAGTCTCAAATCCTGCCACACTGGTACTGTTCTCGTGCGAACTGTGTTGGATAAATTCCAGCTCAGCTCAACCGATGGCTCCCACTTCTACCAATGTCTCATTCACCCACCCTTGGGCATGAGTCTCTATGAGCTTCGGAATCGGTGTCCACGAAAAGTTTTTCCAGAAAACCTACTCAAACCCACCCTCATCCATATCCTCCTTGCGCTAGATTTCTTACATACCGAGGCGCACGTGATCCACACCGGTTAGCACCCTCGATATTATTTGGAACGTTCTATGCTGATGTATAATGCAAGATATACAAGAAAAGAACATTATGCTCAATATTGAAGATGAATCGATTCTCGTTGACTTTGAGGAGGCCGAGATATCAAATCCAAGTCCACGCAAAGTGGTCGGTGATCGAGCAATATATCATTCTCGAAAGTTGGGTATTCCAAAAAAACATGGACGCCCCGTACTCTCAGACTTCGGCGAGGCTCGCTTTGGGTCAGAATCAGGCACATATTGCGATGATGTACAGCCATTTATGTATCGGGCCCCGGAGGTACTACTTCGCATGCCCTGGAATGAAAAGATCGACATTTGGAACCTTGCAGTCGTAGTATGTTTATCAATGTTGCATCCATTATTATTTTTTTCTCCTTCTAAACACTCTTTATGCAGGCCTGGGACCTATTCGAACAGGGCCATCTTTTCTACGCTCAGGATGAAAACAAACGAGAATCGGATAGTCACCATCTTGCTGAAATGATTGCATATCTGGGGCCACCGCCACGTGATATGCTTGAGAAAAGTGAATATGCAAATAAGTATTTTGATAGTAGCGGTAAAGCTCGCCAAGTTCTTGTCTCTTTTTTCTCAGCCTGTGTTTCTGACCCGTGGAAACTAGGAAAATGGAAGTGCCTTGCTGAAATCCCCCTTACGTCTTTAGAGGGCATTGAAAGCAACTTGAGGGCCGAGCAGCAAGAGGATTTTCTCCGTTTCATAAGGAAAATGCTTCAGTGGCGACCAGAAGATCGACCTACTGCGAACGAGTTATTATCCGACTCTTGGTTAAGGTCTACGTAGTTTCAAATTGCCCTAGCGCGACAGTTCATGTAATAGAAATGTATATACTGCGGCTGAAATTCGCCGGATCTTAGATGGATACATCATGCTGAGAAGTTCGCTCTTGGTCCTTCGCGCTACCTACAACCTGATCCTCAGAAGACGGAGATAGAACACCTGGTTCAAAATGCTACACAGATGGTCCGCGCAAAGCTTGTGGCTTCTAGGGCCTAGTTCATCTTGTGCACTGAGCCGTCTTGGTGGATATGGATCCGTTGTATAGTTTTAACATCGCCATTTTTGAGACGAACTGATATAACCTCTTTCTTGTCAGTCGGATCATCGTGAGAAAGATGCGGCTGGGAACCTCTACAAGTCATAGATTAGGCTCTAGAATTTCTATGGTAAACCATATTTTGGGGCGGTTTACCTAATCTCGGCGAACTTGAAATCCGGATTCTATGATTTCTGTCAGTAGAAATAGTGGGATTTTGTACCAAGCCCCTCACATACCGCCCGCTTGTTCTTGATTCAAGAGAACCGAATCAACAAGGGTTTGCCACGCGGCTGGAAGGTCAGACACTTTAACCTTACCAATAAGCTTATATAGACGCTGTTTCGTTTGCTTAAACAGCACAAGAAGGACGTGCTAGGTTGGGGTAGGGACCTGAAGGGTCTGAATATAAGAAAGTTTATAAATCATTCTAGACCGAGCCTGATGCCAGGAAATTTATATCTGGTGAGGACGATCCAACAGCAGATTTCCAAGGAATGTAGCTGTTGCTCCAGGCGTCTCAGGTGAGTGTGACACATCCAGCTGAGGCGGGCGCCTATGCAACACCCAATCAGCCCATTCAGCCTGGAAAGCTTTAAGCATCACGTTGGTGGCAGGTGGTGATCAAATGCGGCATTAAGATGTAGGATGGGGCAGATATGTGCTGGTTTGCGTAGCCTAGACGCCATTATGGCGTTACAAAGGCGCCAAATGAGGCAGTCTGGTTGCCTCAACCCCTTGACTGCTAATAAGTTTCATCGTGCAAACAAATAACCCTAGGCAGCCAAGCGCACTCAATCAAGTGATTTTATTCATCTTTGTGATGATGAATCGCAAGGTCTAACGCTGAAGCTTTAGCTTGCTGGTCAGATCAAAAAGGGCGATACAATGTTTGTCCCATTGTGAGACAGACTCAACGAAGCACAGACCTCTGTTTCTTCCACCACTTCGAGTACATTGAAGTGGATTGATAATAATTTAGAGAATTTTCGTCATTCCTGTAGAACGGAATCCATCTATTTATAATAACCTAACAAACAGGCTCTGACTGGCGACGAGTACAGTAGGTTTCTGTCAGGACTGGCTTACTAGCGGGACCTTAGCAGGGTCGTGGATGAGAGTGAAGGTTCCAAAGATGGCTCTTGCAATTGAAGTAGACTCCCTGTGAACGGGGGATGCAACTATAGTACCATTCTAAGAGTCTCCGTAGAAGTCCTTGCACGCACTTAGTGGTACATCGAGCCATAGGCTGCTCGTTTGTCTTGGGAGCCAATAGGAGAGTATCATGCTCCCGTGAAACAGTACTTGGGCCCGTGAGCTCCACGCTTAATACTGGTATACTAGAGCTATATTTGTATGAGCGTATCTGGATCTGGTTATACAGGGCAGAGAACTACCTATATCTATATAGACAGTAAACTAGGCGACAGAATAGAAGCCGGAGTCTTATCTTGTTATAAATAAATATAATACTTATATCTCCTAGAATAATAAGATCCGGCTGTTCAAGGTCCAGATATAATTCGGTCCCCAAATTATTACTCAGTATCTCCCAGCTCTATAGAGGTGATTTAGTCTTTAATTAAAGAAATGTGTACTTGTCACCGAGGACTAACCTGCGGTCTATACCAATCAGAAAGACCTTGATAAAACAAGATAGAACTGCCCGGTTTCAGCTCTGTAATATTGAATAGATACCTGATATTATATTTTACAGTATTCCGGTATCTTTAACTATATCTAGTACAGGGACCCCTTCCAGAGCGCCCGATACAGTATATTACAGAAGTAGAAAGGTATTTTGATAATATCTCTTATCAAGTAGAGACTATTTAAAAAGAAATAGTCTTAATTTACTATCTTCTACTGATCGATAAAGAGTATAAAATAAAAGCGGTGTAAACTTTAAAGATATGGATATAGTATTTCAGGGCTGAGAACAGTAAGTATCTTAGTTTATTATACACCGAATTTTCACGGCCGAAGGGTACAGTAAAAAAAGGAATATACTCAGTACTTTCTATTATCCTCTGTAAATTTAATATAGGTCGCACATTTTTGAGCTATTTTTTCAGTAGTTTGTGTGATCCAGAAAGTATTATATTTTAATATAACTACTTCTATATATTGTTATAGTTATCTGTGATTCCTGTCATTGAATCATATATATTCAGTCCTATCACCGCAGGCTAGTAGATATAGTAAATTATCACCTCTCTCTAAAATATATCCACACTAAGTACACGACAACGTGGCATTATCACCTACACTCACCCTGCAGGGAGTCAGGGACACATAGCAACCTATTGACCGCGCAGAAGCCACACGCCGGAAGATTAATAGTTAGATAGGCGACCACCAGCGAATCTCTTCTGTTATATAATTTTAGTTTTTGGACCCTGAGTATCTTGTCGGACTTCTTTGAAGTATGTCTTATCAGTGGGTTTATTTCGTGAATTCGGGGTTGATATGGATATCCTTCTCTAGTGTGATCTTGTCTGCGGTATATGCGGCATATTTGAAAATCCCAGAACTATTTCCAGCACAGATACAAATAGTTCCAAAGGCAACATGGGTGCAAATTCCTTTCTTGGAGTCTGATATTTTTTTGCAGACATTAACTTTGCTTCTCACCTTGTCGGAATCAAAAATTGTTCTAAAATCATCTATATTTTCTTCGCAGTCTACAACAGCGCACAGCCCAGTTTACAAGCTGGAGATCAACTGGACCAGACTTACCTTCCAAAATAACTATCAAACCCTATACTGTCAAGGAACCAGTCCCCATATGCATAATCACAAAACTACCTGATTATAGCTCTTACGGAACTGCGAGATATTTTTTATATATCCACTGATATAAAGTTACTGGATCTACTGTATAACAGTATATTTCTACTCAGGATCAGTATAGTAGATCCTAGATTTAAGCCTATATTTATTAAAAATACAGTATTTATTAATTTATTATCTCGATTAATTCAATGAACTGCTTAGCAAAGCCGACTCGACTCTCTGTCTTATTATTATAGAGTTTATATATCAAATTCACAGTGGTCTATAAATACTGCCGGCGAAAGGCTATGCACTGGTCTGTATATAGTTGTGGATAGAAAAGATTATATCCATAAAATATTCTGGCAGCTTGTTGAATACCTTCTATACTTATAGTTATAGGGCGACAAAGATCAAAATGCAGTATCCAGAGAGTGTACTTTCCCAATATATCTATCAAGTAAATAAGTACTGCTATTATCTCTTGTTGGCGGTGGAGCTAGAACAAATTCAATATCGTTCCTGTCAATCTCTCCCACTAATGCAGTGTAGCTAATGCTTCCCCTATTATGGCAGCATAGCGTTTGATGTGATCGGAAGTAATCCCGAGTTCAATCATCTGATCCGGGTGGAGTGGATAGTTTTCCAGCGAAAAGCCTCTAAACCTTGAACTCACATTCATTGCCATTCCGTAAGCTCCCCTGTGGCCAAGGTATGGTCTGATCAGGCAGGCCTGGTTACTAAGACTAGAAAGGATTCGGTTGCAGATTTCTGAAAGGCAATATTTCTCTGCGAGAAGTGTCCTTATATTCTTAAAAACAGTAGAATATATTTAAAGAAGATAGTATTAAAGGGTAAATATCATAGTAAGAATTATATAAGATTCTCTTTTTACTAGTTATTTTATGGGGTCAGAAAACTATAATATTATAAAATATAGCTTTAAAACTGTACAAGTTAATCCCGATTACTAATTTTTATATATAATAATTCGAGAAAAGTATTAAGTACTTACTTATATATTATAAAATTTTATGTTCTCTACGGGGAGTAGGATCCGTACCTAGTTGGAGTCACAGCACTCGTATATCATAAGTTATAGGTAGCAGTATAAACCGCTTCTAGATTAGTTGTAAAATGAACTGGAATCTTGCTGGTATCGCGCACGTATGCTGATGCACCTCATATTTTGCTGAGAATTCCTACTCCTAATACGGCCCTGTCCTTGAATGGCGAAGTCCCCTATTCTCCTGTGAGGACGAATTATGTCTAGTCTATTTTACAAAGCTCCCACACATCAATTGGCGGGGCACTACCCACTGTCGTCTATTACCTATATGCCTGAGTCGATCTGTTTGACCAGTGACGGGCTTTTGAATTGCTCCCAAGAACGACAGCTCTGGCGGATGACCATTGGGACGTGTAGTTCTTCTATCAAGTCTGGTTGCTCCTAGAAAAAGGTAATCATAGTATTAGCAGAGAGTGACAGTGACAAGTCGGGGACAATTATATATCTGGATATTCGGGTTGGGCGTGGCTTGCTACTTACCAGGGCTAAGATGACCATTCCGGCACTAGAGTGCACAGACATATGACAATGGAAAGGCCAAATGCCTGGATTATCTTGCCTCCATTCGAGAACGACATAGGATGGCTGGTCAGGGGTTCCGGGCTGCATATTATGTGTGTCACGACGTAGTGGATTCGATGGGTTCGTGATTTTACCATCCCATGTCCCCAAGCCTTCTGCCAGAACCCAGAAGTTATGACCGTGTAGGTGCATCGGATGTACAGTGCCATACAGATTATTCAGAATCAACCGCACACTGGAGTTGCTGCCAAAGTTGTAGATGTTCCGCTCTGTAGGGAAAGACAGATTTCCTGCTTTGGCACCAAGCAGTGCAGGATGGTGATAATCGGCGCGGAAGGATGAGCCATCCATGAACATGACTGCATATCCGGTGGCGTTCAATCCAACGGTGACTGTCACCGTCTGAACTGTCTCGGGCTCCGGAGGTGTTAGTGGGTAATATGGGACTGTCTGACTCAATGGGTCATTACGACAGTTGTTGCTTTCCCATGATGAGCCGCTCGTTTTTGGAGGATTGTCGGTGTTGGCGGACTCATAATATATAGCCGCAAGTGCCGTAGGAATAGTGGCGGTCGTCTGGAGACAGACCATGTCAATATCGGATCGCATCCACACGGCATCTCTGGGAGAGCCGGTAGCATGGACAATGACATCTGTCCGTTGACCAGCACCCAGGGTGACCACTCGGGTGTTATAAGGCTTGACCGGAACATAATCGTTTGCAATGACTGTCATCTCATGGTTGTCAATACTGAACTTCTGGTTTGCCAGTGATCCGGTGTTTATAAGCCGCAGCCGATAGCGCTTCCCGGACTGAAATTGAAACTTCGCGTGCCCCGCCCCAGGAAGACAGCCCCGATGGGTTTTGGTAGAGTTGCAGTCATATGCCCCTTTGCCGTTGATCAAATTATTGTCAACGCTCAACGGCAGTGGGGGCTTTGAAAAGCTCAGCTCCAAGGCCTTGTTGTAGCTAATATGGAAATAGTCGGAGATCATGACTGGCCCCAGATCATGGTCATAGCTGACTTCCGGCTGTACTGGACCGTAGATCACCATTGGACCGTAGAGCCCGTCATCGTATTGGGCACTGTAATGCGAATGGTACCACCCAGTGCCGTACTGATCTGCTTGGAAGGTATAGGTAAACTTCCCACCACGGGGTGTGATGGGGCATTGGGAAACACCCGGAACGCCATCGTACCACGGGGCGTTCTTCAGGGTCATTCCATGCCAATGCATCGTGGCACCTTCGTCAGGGCTATCGATATTGTTGACGACCGTCACCTCGATCATATCTCCCCAGTTGGCTTCAATCGCCGGACCAGGAAACTGATCATTGACTAGAATCACACTTTTATTAAAGCCGTCCGGGGCCTTGAAGCCACGCGTAATGCTAAAATGGTAATGCCGCGTTACCCCTGTGTCAGGCGGCTCTCCCGCTGGATTTGCCGAGCCCCAGGGCAGTCCATCTTCCAAGGGCTGAGGTTTAGGTGCATCAGCGGGATTGGTTGCAACGATTCAAGCTTTCTCCGAGATTCAATACATACCCCGTCTGTAAGGAATTTGGGCAACTGTGGCGATGGCAAAGTGCCCCATGCTGAACGACCTACGGGGGTTGGAAACAAGATTAGGACCATGTAATTCGGGGGCAAGGAGGGCAAAGGGGACGAGAGAAACAGAAACAATAATCAAAGCCAATTGGAAAAATCGAGAAGAGAAAGAAGCGGAAACTAACCATTCGTGGCATATTGCGACAGACACGCTGCTGTCGCGGCCGTCAGGACAATGAATCGCAGCAGGCGGGACATGGTGAAATTGCAAATTGTGACTCCAAGCCAAAAGATCCAGAGAAAGAGAACACGTTTTTGATTTATATCCACGAGGGAGGACGGCAGTGGCAAGCATGAACCTGGCTCGAGTTGCGGTCGCAATTCCGGGGGCTGACTGACTATAGGCGGACTCCGAAGTAGGGTTACAAGAAAGGACCCACTCTCGCGTTGTGGGCACGAGGGAAGAATGGCACGACCCATGTGAACCTATCAGCACTACCGTCGCCGTTTAGGGGCAGAGCAGGCATCTCATCCCTGCTCGATGTGGCTTCCGGACTCGAGGAGCACGAGCGTCGTTGATACATCTAGTCTGTGCGAACACCGGCTCAAGTTTGACTATGTAACTAGTCTAGTTGCAGGATTTACGGGTGGTAACCTTTTAGGAAATAGTTATTTGCAATTCTTGGGTTCGTGGCTCTGTCACAATCACCAATCTGCTTAGGAGTATGGTTGGTCTGCGAGTTCAATGGAGGAAGTCGGGCGAAAAATCTAGGGCTCCACTCGTCGAACCCGAACTCAAGATGAAATAATGCACGGCCACGATGGCCTCTATTCCTTATCAAGATTCTCATTGTATACGTAATTTATTTTTATATTTCGGTATTTCCGCCCAAACCTCAACCCCCAACTCCAACCCTCTCCCCCCCTTCTTTGCGCCGTTCATCATGATCAAGAGTAAATACGACCCCGTGCCTCATGGATCGAGAATCATTGGGTTCATATTTCCAGCCGTTCAGAAGCAGGACGGCGGCGCATCAGGATTTCGGCGTCTGGATTGGGGAAAATGAATTCATGGGCCCGCAAATTTTCGGGTCGTTCATTTCCCCGCTTGAATTTAAATTCATAATCCATGAGAAGACGGACCAGAATGACTTTAATCTCCAGACTGGCGAAGAAGCGGCCGGGGCAGGAGTTTGGACCGTGACCAAAATTCAGAATCCGATCTTGAGTGGTGGAGAATTGATGGAGATGTGCCTCGCCCTCGCGTTGACGGAGTTTATAGTAGCGGAACCCGTCAAAGACCTCAGGGTCAGGCGTCACGTCGGGGTCGTTCTGAATCGCATTGACTGCCATGCTGATATGGGCCCCTTTCGGCAAAACAGTTCCATCCGAGAGCGTAGTTCTTTGCAGCATGACGCGGTGCATGGAAAGAAGCGTGGGGGGGTTGAACCGCTGGGACTCACGCATGAAGGAGTCGAGCTTGCGAAGTTTCGAAAATGCTGGCTTCTCCCAGGTCATCCACGGACCTACTTCTTTGATCACGTCACGAATCTCTTCGCGGATCGGCTCGAGACATTCTGGATGTGCCAGAAGGTCGTACAACACATGAACCGCATTCATCTGAGATGTATGGATAGATGCAAGTGACATCACGACCTCGAGGTGAGCCAACGAAGCCGGGTCGCTTTCTTGTGGCGTAGCAATTTCCATCATCCAGGACAACAGGTTGTGTTTATTTTCCGCAAGCTCCTCAATTCCTTTTGCTTCGTTCTCCCGGCGGCGAAGAATTTCAGGGACCAGAAGCTTCTTCGCCTTTCGGATATACGCAGTGCCCCTGTATGACGAAGGCATGAACCAGCTTACAATCTTATGGGTCCACACGGGCAGGAGACGAAGAAAGACGAGAGAAACAAACACTAAGTTCCATGATGAGCACTTCGCAGTTGACCCAAATATATATATCAAATACAGAAATATATTTCGAGGTGTATCATACCATTTTCAGTAAACTGCGTCGAAATCTCCAGCCATTGAGGGTCCCGACAGAGAGGTTTCCCAAGGAAGATCCTCGCACTGACGCGGGCCACGAAGTCGAGGAGTGTATGGTAAGGCTTGATGGTCACCCACTCATCTGTGTTCTAGTGAACTCTTGTTCTTGTTTACGCGGTGATTGTGGGGTATGTTACACGCACCTTCTGATTTGGTGAGCTCGTGCTCTATCGCAAAGTTCACCTCGTCCTGCATGGGATGTGTGAGAGTGTTGAGATGGGGAGTCAGCTTGAGCTGGAGGGTGCGGAAGTGAAGGTTATTGCGCAGGATGATGTGCATATTAGTAGAAGACCCCATCAAATTATGGACGTGGGCAACCGTGGGGCTCGCCACATCATTCGGTAACTTCCGTATATCATCGACATATTTGAACGGCAAGACCAACATGTCCGTGTCGGCCCGGCGAAATTGAAAGATCTTGTGTTTACACTGGACCCCAGATGATCAGCCGCGGTTCGGACGGAGGAAATATAGGACTTACGGTGCGATATCCATCTGCTAAAACCTCCTCTGCGTGAAGGAAAAAACGGAAATTGGAGACCACGATGGGCTCCCAAAATGACTTGATGCCAACTATAGGCACTTGATACCCAAAGAGCTTACTCCATCCCGAGGAAAGAAGGTATGGTATAATCGCCATGGCCAGAACGGCTAGGATGGACGTAAAAAACGCATCGTCAGGTAAGAGATCTGTCTGATGGGCGTCGAGCAAAGCATGGGTCGTATTCGCCATGTTGACGAATGGCGTAGCAGCAGACCAACGGGAATAACAAGGAGGCGTGGGTTTGGATCTTCCAGAGAATGGAGTGCCCGCGGAATATCACACATCTTTAATTCCCAATGTCTCCGTGTACGTAGCTACCACTTGATAGACGACCGGGACCCTTACTCATATCAATCCAATATCCAACACAGTTAGCTTGACGCTGGTTTAACTTCCCTATGCACCCAATCCCCTAAACACATTTTCAGCCCCCTTATCTGTTGGCGCTAGAGATATGCAATACGGACGAGAGCGAGTTAATGTGACGGCCCCTGCAGACCCGAAGCCTGCAATGTAACATCTACAGCAGCGCTATCAAGAAGCTGGCGCTTTGGAGCTAATCTTACTTATAATCTTATCTGCAGTTCTAGGGGCAATAGCGTATGCGAGTGCGTATCACGTAATGGCATGAAATACACTAATACATACTTCCTCGATACGCGGTATCGCAAGGTTCATGACCGGGAAGAACAAAACACCGACGAAACCAAAACCACTGCAAAATTGTAGGGGATTGCGCACTAGCCGCGGTCTAGGTTTTCAAGCGACTGGCAATGTCCTGCGCAACGTATATTTGGCCAAACAGGTCGGTTACTTTGATGAACACTTGGATTTGTGCCGTTGTGGTGGCACTGGTCTCAGCTGATAGGTGTGCAAAACAAACCTGCATACATGACCTCTCAAACTCAGCAAGTTCCATCAGATCCTGTTTGTGCTGATCTTGCCCTCTAGAGAGGCCATCCCCATTGAAATCGGCAAAATCGAGGCTGTTGAGATTTTTCTCCTGGAGGTCTCGAAGCCGAGACCCATAGTCGTTAAACTGTCTGCACATCGTGGCTAGATGCAAAGCCAACGCGCGGGCAAAATATCTCTGTTTAGCGGAAGATATGCAGGAGCGTCCTTGGCGACTGATGAGACAGGTGAAGAATGAAAATGAGTAAGGACAACTCGTGTCTATGGCGCCAGTGGTCCGAACCCAATCAAAATAGGATTGACTCCAAAGATTGTCACTAGTGGTATCACTATTGCGGAGACGAGAGTTATCCGCATTGTGCGCCATATGTGCATGAAGAAACTTATCTAGTTCCTTGCCGACTTCGCGCTGCGTGGCCGCGGGGCATACTATCACACATGGATGATACCGTACATGTCTGATATATTTTAGAATCACTTCACTCACCTCGGAAAGATGCGGAGAGGGGGATTGGCTCTGACTCTCTTCCGTCTGCGGGGATGGTATCCACCCAGGCAGTTGGTCATCTTTCATAAACACATCGGATATGTCTTCCGTAGATAGGTCCTCATCGAGACACGCATTGCGGATCTCCAATTTGAGTTCACGCAAGCATGGCTTTGGGAGGCTTCCCACTACGGACTCCATGTACTCATCCGCTTGATAGTTGAGCATGGAGATGACCATCATGTCCCACATGGTCTCACTCGAGAGAGGAAAACCAGATATAGTATTAATACTGGTCCACGCTACTGGAATAAAATCCAAGTATTTGTCCTTTGTCATCCTCATCCTGTCTCGCGGGAAGATATCAAGTCGGATTTTCCGCAAGGCTCGTGAATAAAAATGGGCTTCTGTAATCGCTAAGAGCATTGTGCGCCGAGGGGTATCTCGAAAGGTAGGTAGCTGTCCAAAGACGGCTGCCATAGCTCTACCTTTCTTCTCCGGGAGAGTGAACATTTGTTTGACTTCGGTAGTCCAGGCGGCCTCCTCCCTTGGAACCTTCATTGCCGCAAGGGTATATGTTTCAGCGAGCGTAGGCAGTCGGTAAGTGACCTTCTCAATCCAGATATAATCGCCCTCGGACCACTCACTTGCGTGCTGCTGCAGATAGTCTCTTCCTCTGAGCAACGAGGTGTCAACAAGCTCACGGAGCGATATTGGCCATGGTAGTCTCAGTATGTAGGCAAGAAGAAGTATGCTGTAGGCAGTCCTCTCCACGGAGTTGTGCCATGAACCATTCTCGTGTTGGTGAACCAGTGCCTTTGACAATAGCTGGCAGAGCACAATCGGGATCTTCGTCGTAACAAGTTCTGTCGACAACTTGGTCAAATCACCTTTACTCCACGCGGCAACGAGTTCAACTAATGCATTCACGAGAAGCATTTCGCTATACTCCGAGGCCAGATTCCACTTATCACATAACTCTCCACCCTCCCAGCAGGAGACCAGGTAATTGGCGGTTTTCTCAATTTGTGGGACATAGGTTGCAGGGCACGATGACTGCAACAGAGCCAACAGAGTATTGGCATTTGCGCTAAAGCTGGGGTTCCGCTCTAGTTTATAGGTTTGAAAATGGCGCGGGGCTTCAAAATACCTCACCAAGGAAGAGGGATCCATTGGGACCTTCAGATATGACAGAGCGAGGAGAGACCGAGCTGTGTCATCCGCATCTGGTACAAAGCCTGGGGCGAATCCAAGTAATCCGTGTTGCTTTTCAAAGAGACGTTGAAGATAAGTGGTGATAGCTTCGATGCCCTCCCTTGCAAAGTCCTCAATTGCATAACCACTGGCCAGCAGCGTTGATATTGTCCAGGAAGTTTCGAAAACTGGCGTTGGAAATCCGCTGGGGACGCCTCCGCAGGATCCGCATCTCTCCACCACATTGTGAAGGTACTTTTCGGCGGCTTCGTCCCACACTGGAGAGTAGATAAGGTATGCTGCTGTCGAAGCTGGAGACCCCATCATGCCTCCATATTCCGTGCAATGATGTTTCAGCTTTTCAAAGTCCACCTTGCCAATCAGCCCTTCCAGTGAATGGAGCAGGGTGGTTTGCTGTTTCGAGATGACCATTTCCGGTCTGAACTTTGACAGTTTCTGCTGATGAAGCTTGATGAGATCCTGTCTGCCGGGGAAATCCAGGCTGACCCCTCTCTGTGCCAATTGCTGGAGAAGACATGGGACCAGGATCTCGAATCCCACATGAAGGGTAGCTTCCACATTCCAACTGTTCAGTGCATCGGATAAGGATTTGATTGCACGCGAGATTCTCTCTTCATAATCGGCGGGCCCTATATCACTACCAACGCTGCATTGGGCAGTCTCCACGGCATGGTGCTCTAGCAATGACAGCAGGCCCGCCATAGTATTGAGAATCCCATCAACAGGCGATGCATTGATCCCCCAGGAACCGTTGTCCTGTTGCTGGCGCAGAACATACGCAAACGCCTCTGGAAAAGCCCACTGACGGGCCCCCACAGCATCGGGCTTGGTGATCATGGACACCCAAGCCGTATCATACAACGACAAACTAAATCCACCGAAACCACTCGACAATTCACAGCCATGAGAGATTATGTTCACCACTTGCTGAGCCCTTTCGATAAGGTTGGGGGGCTCTACACCAGTCTTCTTCTGACGTTTTTCGGCTGCCATTGTCTGGTTCCAAGGGGATGATTCCTTTTCTTCTTTTCTTTTTCTTTCCATTGTTTTTTTGTTTTGTTTCCAGGTTCAAGGATCGATACTGACTGAACAGCAGAGGCTAAAGGAATAGGGGAGCTGCCTCATTCATATTGCTCTATCACAATTGCTAGCTACAGACAAAAGCTCTCAATGAACCAAAATAACGATACATATCTATGACAGATACAATGTATTTTCACGTACGGTGAATTCTTACCATCCCCGTCTCTGATTTCTATTGAGACCCTCGGTTAATACAGTCACTTCTCAAGATACAATCATGTGAAGAATCGCCTTATCTTTCTCTACTGCTATACTGGATACGAAATGGTAGGCGCACTAGCAGCCAACCGAATAACACACAATGTCGGCCAGCTGCTCCTCGAGACCCCGACAGATCTAATTATACCACTGGCCCCCATCCCAGGGTGCGTGGTCATAATACCTCCAGTGCATGAACAAACGGTGGGGGCACAACACAGGCCATCCTCATTGGTGTGGGGTGTGGGATTCCTTCCGCGATATCCGATCCTTGCGGCCCGGGCCCTGGAAAACAAGCTCGGATCGGCGAAAAACTAAGTATTTGTAAGCTGGCTTGCCCAGTGGAGACTCCTTAGCTCAGCTGCAATGTAACCTGACCAGATGTCCCAAAGGGGATCCCGATCCCTGAGAAATATTATTACAACGGTCATGGATCCGGATCCCACAGTCTTGTCCATACCCTCAACGCACCGTACGCTGGCCATGTTGGAGGCGGGATCGTCCTCAAGGCACACACTCTGTAGACGAGGGAGATATGGGGGTTTGATGTAGATCCTATATGTAGTTCCTTCCTTTCTATTATTATATAGCAAGGGCTGATAGATGCTGCCCGGGTCGGTATTTTACTCGAGCCTTCCCTAGGTACAACAATATAGCGGTATAAGGTGTATGACTCGAAAAGTCGGACCAAAGGTACCGCTATATCTTAGTCCCTCCTTGGTAAAGCGATGTAACACGCCAACGAGTGCCAGAAAAGAAGATCAATGTCTGGAAAATTGGTTGAGTTGATTACGGGCCAGTTAGAGGGCACCATATAACGGTGGGGCATAACCCTTAAAGTGGGTTTGCTTGACTCGCTCACTCCGACTTCCTTCCCTTGGTCTAGTGTTCACGGATACGACACCGAGTACTTTTGGCCAGATTTTGCCAAATCGCGGGTTAAGTTTCGACCCCTAACCCAAAAACCCGCCAAGAAAAAAAAAATAACGGTAATATATATAGATAGCACATATACACTTATTAATGTCTGGATTCATGGCGGGGTTTTGGGTAACCCATGGGTCCCCAATAAAGAAATATGGCGAGGTCTACCTTTGACAGGGCTTATTCCACGGCTCTGGCATCTGCAATGCCCTGATAGGCGAGGGTATCAAAAGTGTGCCTCCATTAGCCAATGTCTTGAGGGGATCCCTGTCAATCGGCAGATTGGTCTATATGGTGTAATTTCCGCGAATACAAGGCTAACTAATTAATTTCGCGGGGCTTAGGCAGACAGTCTACTTTTACTATCTCAACCTGTACGAAGACTTCTCATCCTCATTTTCCTTCATTTCGTTGTTCACCGTTCTGTTTCCCAGCTGTTCTTTTCTAAAAAAACAAAAAAAAAGGAATAGTTGTAACTATGTCGAACCTAAAGCCAATCAAGATCTTCTGGAGAGGTGATTCCCCCCTCCCCAAATTTTGCGCAGTGGTCTCTAGTAGCTTCGAGCAGACGAGTTAATGAGAGTCAATTCTATCCAGATCACGTTCCAAATCCCGCCAAAGTACTGGTCATACTTGAGGAGCTCGACCTGCCCTACGAGACCTCATATGTTGAATTGGATGAGTTCAAAAAGCCGCCTCTCACCGATGTGAACCCCAACGGACGGATTCCCGGTATTGCTGATGCACAAGGACTGTTAATCCACCAGAGGAGCTTTAAACTAACTGAATTCAGCGATCATTGATCCTAATACCGGGCTGAAGCTCTGGGAATCCGGTGCCATTATTCAGGTAAGACTATCTGAACAATGCACTATTGGTATAGGTGTTCACCGTTGTATTGAAGTACCTCATCGACACGTATGACAAAGACGGCAAGCTCACTTACACTGAGTTTCCCGAAAAGTACCAGTTGACCCAGTGGTCATTTTTCCAGGCGTCGGGTCAGGGGCCCTACTTTGGTCAGGCTGCGTGGTATGTAATCAATGAGGCCCAGGCACAGTTCAAAAATCCAGGCATTGTCGTCCACCCAAGTGCTAATGGATGTCCCGGACAGGTTCAATATATTCCACGAGAAAACGTATGGGGAAGCTCCCGAATCGGCTAAAGTACGATATGGCTCAGAAGTCAAGCGAGTCGCCGGGGTTTTGAACACTGTGCTGAGTGAGAAGGAATGGTTGGTTGGCGATAAATGCACGTATGCAGACTTGGCATTTGTGATGTGGAACCTCCAGATTCCCTTTTTCATGGCAAGTCGGACCGGCGAGCATGCCTGGGACCCAGAAGAATTTCCGCACTTTACCCGCTGGCAGAATGCCATGGTGGCACGACCATCTGTCGCGAAAGTGATCTCTGTGTTGAATGACAAGGAGGTGAAGAAAGGCGCGTAGAGATTCAGCCGCCAAAGCCCATCTTGCGTCGGTTCTACTTCATTGGAATCGACTGCTGGGAATGGAATAGGAGATAGAGATATTTCGAGTACCACCCAAATCTAGACAATCGCCCTAAGCCACTCTCAGATGCGAGAAGAAGTCTCCAGGTATTGAAGGACAGTACTATAAAACGGTTACTGTGATCTAGTGTGCCCCACTGCGTGTGGTCATTCAATGGCCCAAACATAAAATTCTTCCAAATTCTGCCGGAAATACTGGAAATACATCACGAGCGGTGCGCCTGACGGCTTGTTCGTCGGACAAAAATGATTGGAGGTCCTTTAATAACCCCCGCCAGGCCTAATGCACGAAGGGTAATCTTGTGCGAGATAGTAAGACCCTCTGGTTCTGGTCATTCGTCGAAGGGTTGGATCCATTCACGACGATGATAGGAGGAATGGGATGGCGACAGACTTTCCCCTGCATAAGGATACGACTCACCACAGGCCGACCGGTGCACAAGCCCACAATCTGACAGACGGATAGCAAATAACATGGGGCGGGCTAACGAAGCTCGGTCGTTAAACACGGGCCGTATGGTGGATCCTGGACTGAGTATATCTGCATACGGTTGGGGCCCAAATTTGTACCCCTAGTGATCAAGCTCTAGTGGCAGGCCCCCGTGCTGTTGGTGAAGAGAATATCTGGTTGCTTGAAAGGATCGGGGGATCTATGCGGTAGAGTGTTATACGATACCTTCGTTTTATGGAGAAGCCTTGAAATAGTACCAAGAACGCATCATATCTTCCTACATAATGATATACACAGTGTTTCTCACCTGTTTCAAACTCTGCAGAGCGCCTACCCTTCGGTCATACCCTGTCACCGCTCCTCACAGTTAGAACATGCCTTCATATCCCATGGGTTTGCCCTGTGTCGTAGTGTCCCGAGGTGAGGCCGGCCGTTCCTGCCGCGTAAAAGTCTGCGAGACGTGGATACTCATTGGCTGCGCATCACTCGCCCAGGGGACATGATCCTTGAAGGTGAGATTTCCCATTTCCATGTCTCCATCACCTCTATTACGTTCTAACCGCTGCCAGGGGTGCCCACGGTTTGATTGATTGGAGTCATGTGATGAGTCAGTACTCGTGAGGATTATCGTAGATTTCCGAACAGAGCCCCTGCTGTGATCGCCACGGAGAGTATCTCTCTTGGCAACGTGACTCCACAAACTTCGAGCCCAGCTGGGAATATTCCAGCTGGCGTTGAATAGGTGTCCGTAGGTCGGGAGGCAAGCAGCGATCACGCTGGTACAGGGCTCAATCGTTCCCCATGTAATGCCAGGAGTCACGGTTGCGTAGCGGTTCGTGCCGGTGGAGCTCGTGGATTCGTAGACCTCGGTGTAGACGTAATAGAAACGAATAATCGAGGCAACGCAGCAACTGGATCATAATATCAGTCTGCATTGCACCATTTGGTCAGGGAAGCTTGATGCGCAAGCCCCACTTACAAGATACCCAGCCAGAAAATGCCCGCCAGTTGGACCTTTTGCCGAGTGGATATCATGAGACGATGGATCACAGGAATGGGAAAGCAGAGTACGATCAAATCGAAACACATACTCATTCCCGTCACTGCGATGGTAAAATGGTTGTAGTTGTAGCGAAGTGGATTGCCAGCCAGTGGGTTAAACACTGCGGTGACTGGGTTCGCGGCCACCGTGTGGGCCTATAGTTTTGTCAGTTCCTTCGGAGATTCCTGGATCGGCGTGGGAAGGGGTAGGCATACTACGAGGCAAGCAATCCCCCACGCGAGCAGAATTGCAATATAGGCCCAAACGGCGAACTGGAACCAGCGGGTCACGAATATCCTTCGGTAGAAGAGGAGAATAGAAATCTTGACAAGAACCAAGCTTGCGATCAGGGGGAATATCTCAATCCAAAGGGCCTAGGGAGCAATGTCAGCTATCGTCATGGCCTGGCAGATCTGGCCGGGGAATGAACGAACCCTGAGAAAGACCCTCGCGGCTTCAAGCGAGGGTAAGGTACTCTCGTTAATCCCCCCGAGCCCGGCCGCCACGTAAACATCAATGGGGACCCCCCAAGCACAGAGTAGGGCCATCATAATGACATAGTCGTCTGCAAATAGCCGCTTGGCCTTATAAGTATTCGACCAGATACGAAGCGCGACGGCGAGAGTCGCCAGGATAGGGAAGATGATCGCGACGGCCAGTAGGGCAGTCGATATTAGGGATGGGCTCGAAGCCCGTGGAGCAGAGCTCATGCCGCCCTTCTTGTCTCAGCCGAAGGATACTCCCAATTCGAAAACACCCCGATAGAACATGCACCGGGAGGGATAGGCAGTGGATGCTTGGGGTTCTGGTTTTCAATTGAAATATTCCCTTCCACTCCACCCTAGTCTTCATAAAGGAGGGGTAAGGCTGGGGCCAAAATAGCTGGAATGTAACATATTCAACATATTACCAAGTCTCGCATAGTCAATCAGAATCATCATCCTAAATTAAAATAAGAGTAATACGGGAGGGGAAAGCACCGGGACTTTTGGCCCCGCTGCAGAGTACGCTAGTTGTCCGCGGCTGTGTTATCATGCAGAGGGAACGAGGCCTAACCCTACCCGGTGAGGCAGTGTGCGTGAGCCAGGACGTGACATCCCTGTTTGCGCACACACAGTAGTCGCTTTATTTAAATCCGATTGACATTGATTCCCATTTTCCGCCTGGGGAGATTCAATTTTCTCTGTATCAGCCCCGTGCAGATTCCCTCCCCAAAGCTATGGCGTTACTCTCCCCCAACATTCTGGTTTCCGTGGGTGTCTTCACCATCGTCTGGACGGTCTGGTGCCTGGCCACGTTGATTGTCAACGTGTCTCGGGCTCGAGCGACGGGCCTCCACTATGTGATTGTCCCTTGTTCCATGCTCGGCGCTCCCTGGCTGTTGACTCAACCGATGCTCCTCCCTTTTCTGAAAGCTCTGCCTGAATGGTGGACGGAGAAATGGCTTCCACTGCTTCTTTTTAACGAGGGATGGCACAATGGCTATGAACCGTTCCGGCGTGTCGGAGCAGACACATTTCTGGCCGTCTCGCCCAGCGATATGATCCTCTATACTAGCGACGCCGCTGTAGCGTCGCAGCTCTTCCAAAATAGTCGGCTTGGAAAACCAGCGCATTTAATGGGCCTATTGAATATATTTGGCCCGACTTTAACAGCGGCTGATGGAGCAGAGGCGCGGTTATACCGTCGCACCGTGGCCCCATTTTTTACCGAGGGGACCATGCGGGACGTGTTTGTTGGCGCTGTCCAGGGAGGTACAGAATTGTTACAAGCGTTGAGACAGCCGGCGGCCTATCGTCAGCTACGAACTCTATCCGCCAAACTCTCACTCCATCTACTCAGTCGCTTTTGCAATCAGGCCGAAACCCAAGAAGATCTGGTAAATATATTGCAATGTAAAGACAAGCCGCAGGGCACACATCGCATGACCTACAGTGAAGCTGTGTTCACCTTGCTGGAGAACTATACAACCGTATTTCTGTGTCCACATGCGCTTCTCCGTATGTGATTCCCTTGGATTTACCTGATGTGGATTTTTAACAACCTTGAATCAATTAGGAATGTCGCCTTTTAAGACCCATCGTCAGGCGGCCACAGCATTTGCAGAAATGCATCGCTACATGGAAGAGATGAAGGAAAAGAAGGTGGCAGAACTCCATCAAAAGCCTCCCACCTCATCAAATAACTCTTCAAGTATCCTAGGTATGTTGAACGCCCTAACTTACCGGTGCCAACTTCTGACGTCTTATTCTCTAGAGCTTCTCGTTCAAGCTGGGCTCCCAGCCGCGGATGGAAGTCCAGCTGTGCTTAGACAGGACCAGGTAATTGGTAATATCTGGAATTTTGTATTCGCCGGCCATGAAACCAATGCCAACACGCTCACTTTTATCATATTGCTTCTGGCCTGTCACCCCATCACCCAACGCACTATGCAAGCCGATCTCGATCGAATCCTCCAGGACACACCACCCGACCAGTGGACCTATGATGCACACTTCAATCCGTTGATGAACAGTCTCGTAGGGGCCGTGATCAACGAAACCTTGCGTCTTTTCACTGTTCTGCCGGTGATTCCAAAATATGTACCCCCGACAGGACCTCCGGTGTCTATTATTATCGATAGCCAGGTCCATCCCTTGCCACCGGGTACAGTTGCTTTTGTGAATACCAGTGCCACTCATCGCCATCCACAATATTGGCCACGTCGGGAATCCAGTACAGACTCGATAGCTTCTAACAATCGCATGAAGCGGCCGTTCGCAGTATCTGACTTCGATCCCGAACGGTGGATTCAAACGACAGATAGTGCCAAAAACAAATTTCTGAACCCAATTCCCGGTAGCTTTATTCCATTTGCGGAGGGCAGCCGAGCATGCCTGGGGTATCGTTTTGCTCTGGCAGAATTGTGCGCCTCCGTAGCAATCATATTCAAGTCGTTGTCGGTGAGCCTGCTTACCAGAGATGAAGAAGGCGACGGCAGCAGCTTTGGAGGTTCTGCAGATACCTGGGAAGCAGCAAGAGATCGGGCCGAGCTTGCCCTTTCCGAGGGCGTTAAGTTTGATATGAGTTTGCGGGTCGTTCACAGTCTACCGGTTCGATTTGAGGCGCGTAAATAAGGTATAACCGATTGATGGAAACCAGATATAGAACCGATTTACGCCCAACAGCCTACAGTTGAAGGGTATCATTCCATAAATCGAGCTTGACAATCATAGAAATTCATAAAGTAACAAATGCCGCGCAAAAGCTTCCGCACTACCAAATATAACCATGGTGTATCGATCCTCGCTCCCAGCTCAAACTTTATATAGATGCTCCAGAGCGTTTCGCATATCTTTTGCCTTAGTGTCCGCCTCCTGTCCCGCTTTCCTATAGGCTCCGGATTACTTCTTCCAGGTCCATAATCACACATTGATTCCAGATTAGACAATGTGGATTGCTGAGGCGAAGATGACCGTACACAATGGGCTAGAAACTCCATCGGTTTAGCGATATCGCAATTATGAGTAATCCACCTTGATGTACACTAGTTTTACATTCAGAAGGATCAAGGCAGGGGTGACTAATTGTTACCCTTAGAAAATAGGCGAAGGAAAGCCGCTTAGAAAGTAATTATTTTAATGTACACTGTCTATATAAATGTATGGGGTTATGCTTAGGATTTCTGACAAAGGCGAAGTTGTAGTAGAGTTTACAAATATATGCAAGGTATATCCTACCTACTAAAGGCTTATGAACAAGAGTATTATATTTTTAAATGGCCATATAGTTAATTAATCTGTACTAAAAATATCCAGAAAGGAGATGAGTATCCATTACTGAAGCTAATCCCCCAGGCCTATTACATCTATATATGTCATATCTAAATTGGTATTGGCGGGGGTACTTCCTACTTGTAGTCACGACACGTATAGGGGGGGTATACGGCGGTCCAGACGTCATATACCCTTAAACTGACTCATTTCTGGGTCAACCTTGATAAATCCAGTGTTAGAATTTTTCTAATTTTTTAACTTATTTTTTAATCTAGATTCCAACCGAGAAGGGAGAATGGGATGGACCCCCGTTTTCCGGGCCGGGTTTAGGGTCAACGGTGCATCCATTTGGCAGTCGACATACATCCCCGTGGGCCACTGTAGTCCAATCCGGCTCAAATTTCACCGGTTTTCCCGTCCGATCCCATTATATTCGGTATTCATTTTGGAGCATGTTTAACCGTTAGAAAACCGTATTATAGTGCAGACTGGTTTGGCTGTAAAATTTATTGGGTCTGCGCCGACTGGTAGAATTCCCGACTATCCATATTTACCGCCACCTGCGATATTGGGGTTAATATAATCTATCTATTATATATAGTTGAGTTCAGGTATAATTATATCTATTAATCTATTGATCTATTTCTATTGCTATTTCTGGATTTTCACTGTAGTCCTATCTGTTCTATAATTATGAACTATTCTAATTTTTAGAAGCTTGATAGACTGTCTAATTAAGAAAAAATATTGATCCCAAGATTGATATTCTGAAAGTGGGTCAGGAAACTATGACATTGTGGGATGCGGACTTGAGGCCGTATGAGTTGGTTCCGGTTACTGGTTTTAGTGCCTGATAACTCGAGGAAAGCATCAAGTGCTTGATTGTGCATCACAAAATCGCTTGCGAGTAATCTGGACGGCCCTCCATCCTCTCGCTTGATTGCAGGGCCGTTGAGACTTCTAGCCCGGACAGTACCACAGGCTCCTGATCCAATCCGAATGTAGTTCTCATGAGAATCTTGCTTAGTGGCCATAACAGTTTCAATAATATAAGTGAGATGGTGGAGGAACTGAAACTCATAATGAGTGCGTTAATAAGTAAACTCTGACTCATAGATGATCAAGTACAGATATCATTCTTTGTCATTTACAAATTACACCCTAAAACTACCTAGTAAGTTCTCTAACTAATCTTGATACAAAGCCTTCGCTACTTTCACTCAAACTTCACCTGTAAGCCTTCGTCATGAGTGAGCAGGCGAATGTAGCTTCAAATGCGTGAGTTGTCCTACTTTCACTGCTCCGTTCAGGGTATTGGCGAAGACTGTTGAGTTTCATACAAGCAGCGTCAGGCTCATACAGGCTACCCTTATTCATAGATTACAATCTGCGTCCCTATAGGGCTTTTGTCGCTCATTCAGTGCATACCTGCGGGGGATTGTTGGGACGCGGCGCAGGATGCCCGTGCTTCAGCCTCACACTATTCATTCAACGCATCACTAGCCTTTTATGGAACAGGGAATGCTGATATGCTACTATAGTAGAAGCGAGCGATCTGAAGATCGCTGGCTAGTACTTAAATTATAGCCACCATATGATCCACAACCCCGCATGCATAGCCCCGCTGACAAGTGGCCCTTTATATTTCACATTTAAAAAGGTCCATAAACACATCTCTTTTATTCAGGACATTTACACTACACCACTGCTGAGACGGTCCTTTGTTTCTAGCATACCCAGTTCCTATTTCAAATTCAACGGGAGCAGACCCCCTTTTATGATGGCTTATGATGGTTCAACGTTCGTCCACACGGCGCTTCCAACAAACGCACATTATATTCGCCTTCTTAAGTTCGAAGATACGGCGGCCACTGAGCCCCTCAGATTTACCTTAGGAGTGTACAAATTTTCAGACGAACCCGTATACAATGCACTTTCTTACGAGTGGGGAATTGGCACAGCTGATCGAACAATATTCATCAACGACTGCCCCTTCCTCATCCGAGACAGCTTATACGACTTTCTGGGGGCTCTAGCTGGCAGTAAGCAAAAAGATATACTGTTCTTCGCGGACGCGATCTGCATAAATCAAGACAACATCCCAGAGCGTAACGCCCAGGTGCAGCGCATGGGTGATCTATACCGTCAGGCACAGAAGGTTCTAGTCTGGCTGGGGCCTGGAACCGCCGACTCCGACCTCATTTTCGACATATGTGCAGTGGGAAATCAAAAGACGATAGACCTGCAGGGATCAAGCGGAAACGCGCTTGATATGTTGTATCGGCGTTCTTACTGGACAAGACTGTGGGTTATCCAGGAGCTATTCCTTGCACGGGATGCGATTGTCTTCTGTGGCTCGAAGTCCACACCATGGTCGTCATTCAGGAGGCTAACAACTGCGGTCAAAGGAGACATTGTTCTTGGGGAGCATACTGGAGTGGATACACAACTTGGCAGTTCGCCCATGGGGCTACATACAAGGAGGATGCTCAGTAATTTAAACAGGAAAGATCGGGGGGACAGTATTTTGAACAAAAGGATAGACAACATCATGTTTGAATTTGGGAAGGCTCAATGTCGCGATGTCCGCGATCGGGTCTATGGTCTGCTTGGCCTTGCAAAAACGCAGGAGAATGGTCGAGGCCTGAGGGTTATGCCAGATTATTCGGCAACGACGGTCAATATTTTTGTCCAGCTGCTCAGTAATATGCCATACACCCTTGGATTGGAACATGCGCTTCGTATTTTCAATATTTTAAAACTGCACCATGTCCCTGATTGTACATGGGATGTTGGTATTCCAGACAGAATCTGTAATCTCATTTTCGAGGTTGGGCTCACGCATCTTGGACACATTCGGCATGTAAGCAAGTCACATCCATTATTATGTGATTGGTGCAAACTATGGAATAAGAGGGACAACTACACTACCTTCGAATTGGATGAGCACCTTCGACAAGAACTGCGGGACAAGGTCATTTCCGAGCTCATGGTTGGGAAGATACAATCTCAATTGTCCGCCCATAACTGCGGCCCTTTGCTGGCCCTGGGGCCATATGACTGCTGTGTGACTGCGGGTAAGCTCAATGAGGGGGATGCGATGTTTCTTATGGAGGGAACTAAAATCGTCTTGATTGAAAACAAACCAAACCCGGAAGATGAGTCTCATGAGCCTGTCGCGGGATTCACGCGAGGGGTACTCGCAAACACAAAAGATGAAGGGAGCATCTTACAAGCAGCAATTTTACTTGATCGCTGCTTACCGTCATTGCCTGCTCCAAGAGAGGTTCGCTTGGAGAAGGCACGCTTCGAGCGTCCCGCGTACCCATTCGAAGTCATTCATGAGGAGCTCACCTTGCAGCAAATTATGCTCATTCTGACGCAGGCTGCGCGGCATAGTAGCTATTATGATTAGTCTCTGTCAAAGGTCCTATAAGATGGGATATGTATATAGTAAATCCGGACAAGGGATAGGAAAGTTTGTTCAGGATTGCAATTAGGTTTGGACACATCGTGAAGGGTCAAAAGTACATCTTCGTGCAATACCGTCTAGAAACTACTCACAGCTTTGTGTTTTCCAAGTTTCTTTCTTCGATTTCTGAAGATTGGCCGACTGGGTACAAATAGATAGTGCTAGAATAGTGTGTCACAATGTAGTGATATTAAGTCATGGTGATTTTCTCATCACGACCGTCTGTAACCAGTACATTGTAAACAATGGTTATCTGAGGCAACAATAGCTCGGCCCTATAATGATCTTAGTGCCGAGTAGCTGGTATTCCAAGAACCATTGCTCCAATACTGGCTATTACTGGAGCGACTTTTTGATCCCCATATTCACTTTTATATCCTACCTCCATTAAGTCTTTAGAAGATATACTTGGTAGAGTCAACTTGCTAAAATATGAATGTGCGTAAGAATATTCTCGACCAGACACCACATACTACTTTATTAACCCCCATCACTCTTCGACCTAACATAGGATGATATCAGTGATCGCGCCTGAGTGGGGCTTAGCACGATTAGCGCTCCCACCCAACAGTGGTATAAACAAGGCCAACCCCAGTCCACGACCAAAAACTCCTTGCACATACTCTCATAATGTCCTCATGTAACTTAAGCCCAGCCACCTCTTTACCCATAAAATACATACTAACACACCATAATAGACTTCTACACAAATGTCGACCGAGGCGCGAAACACTACCAAATTCCCCATAGCCTTTCTCTTGATCAAACAATCGAGATACTACACAATCACCGCCTATTGGCCGAGCAGATCTGGCCGTCAATGACTGTCAAAGTCATATATGGCAATGTAGCTGCTACTACGGTCGCTGTTAAATCTGCTACTCTTGAATTCAAAGCTACATTCACCAATCTTGACAATGGTGTCTCTTTACAGGAGAAAGTAGTTATGGGATTTGGTGTTCAGGTTCAGTGGACTGTGGTTGATCGGTACAGCCATGGTGTATCCTCAGCGGTACGATTTCGTGGGGAGGGTATGCATTCGGGTGCATTGTTGGAGGAAAATGTTCGTGCCTCATGTCTCAGGGTTGTGGATCGGTTTCTGAAGTTTGCGGATGACTTTAATCCGAAGACGAAATTCGTTATTGAGGTATTAGAAAAGGTAGCTCGCGGGGAGATATCGATGGATGATATTGAAATTATGAATAGGGGATATGGAGACACTGAAAGACTTAAAGAGGAGTGATTCATTTCAATGTGTTAGGGCTAATTTTCAACTGGTCATGAGCCCCCAGTCACGGTTGGACTTGGCCATGAATATAAAGTAGACAATCATCATGTACAGTGGTGAATATGTAATGACCAGGACCGATAAATGAAAAGAAAGAAAAAAGAAAAATTAAGAATAATACTCCCCAACAACCAGTCCATACTCCACCATCTCTGGATACATCACAAGAATCGCCCTTCTGGCCTCCTCCACCTGTCCACTATCTACGATCAACCCCTCATCCCAGAAAAGACCGATCTGATGATGCACCCAGAACCGACATCCCTGTCCTGCATCGTTAAACTCATAAAGATACCGTTTCTCCTTCACGAGCAAATCGACAAAATCTATGACCTTCAACCCTCCCCGGACATCAAGTGGTACGACTTTAGTTGCCGTGTCTAAGCGGAGGTCATCCACGCGGCTGACGATGAGGGTTCCCTTAGAGCCGCCGGGATTAACCGTAGCCGGGACGGTGTATGAGGGGGTCATGTCCAAGCGGATGTAGTCTGTATCGCTGGTGGAGAGGTAGATGCTCCAATGGTTGCCTCCTTTGGGGAGGGGTTCGTGGGCGACGGCAGAGAGGGTCGAGATGGGTAGATTCAGGATTGAGTCCTTTTCTTTGGCGGGGATGTATTGGATTGGGGTGAATGGACGCTGTTGGGTGCTCATTTTGTGGGATTGGAGTCTCTAGGATATATGTTTATGGTTAATCGGTGTTGAGCGGTAGAGTGGTAATATTGTATACTACAGTTATGTGTGAATCGGCGAGGGGTTCATGAAATCTGAATAGTCAAGTGAAGATAGTCAGGGCGTCTGTGAGGGAAGACTCGAAAACGACCTGCAGGACGGAGTAGATCGCAAGGCTCTACCCGTCAAGTAATATGATTGGCTGGAGGCCGGGTATATGCTTATACGATAGAAATATTTGTTTCGTATATCTAGCAATTATCGGTACATAAAGCGCAATATAGCTTACTAGTAGTATATTACAGGGATATCTAGGATTGATGGAGTTTGGAGCGGATTTTGATGTAAAGCTTGCCAAAAAACATGTAGCGAGAAACACCACGAAAATCGCCAAGACAAGATGAGCACTGTTTACTGGATTCAATCTCAGCAGTCCGACCGAATCAAGAGAACGAAGTAAAAAAGAAGTAAAAAAGAAAACAAAAAAGGAGGACCAATCAAGTTCTAAGCGCCATTTGGCGCTGCTGGGAATCGAACCCAGGTCTGTTCGGGAATGTCCCATAGGACCACAACGAACCGTACTGACCACTATACTACAGCACCTTGAATTGGTGATTGTCGGGTCTACTTTTGGGTTCAAGAGTGCACTATACATTAATCGATCATCTTTCGACTTTCGTTTCTCGATCAGAAAGTGCTGGAGAGGATCTTGACATTGTTAACTATACAAACCCCTTCGACTCATCGCATATATTGTAGAATAGGGTAGTAAATGTGGAGGCAGCTCAATCAGAGCGGAATTTACACGGGTTGGACAATCGTAGATAGATGTTGATCGCTTGTTGTGCCTCAAACATGATGCACAATTTGGGGATATATATTTTGCATCCCGTCTTCTTGCTTTTGGACATGTAGCAACCCCCCACGCGGTTGGAATACAACAACGTATAAATCTAATTCCCTCTCAAACTGATTAATACTATTAGAAAGTATTTAGTCATTCAAAATTCGCACGGGTTTCACACTTTTTGCCCCAAGCCCCTACTAGCGAGACGACTAGGTACAAAACGTAGTCAAGCTTTATGGCTCCGACGGCCTTGCTGCGAGACGCCTAGTATAACCAAAGAAGATACGATATTTCCGCTATCAGGTTTGAACAAGATGATTCATGCATCCTCAATCATAACAAACTCGCATATGAGACGAGAGCATGATAGTGGTGGAACTTGGGAAATAGACAATTACCGTGACTGGTCATGTATCAAAATACAGACATGGGACAATACAGCTGATGTATTGTATGAAATATCAAGCATCATTCCATACCGCCTTGGCATTACGATACCCACACTAGCCCTACATAGTTAACTCAATCTTATCTAGTGGTATCAAACCCCGGGCACCTTGATCGTAATGACGGATACTGAAAATTAGATATGCGTCGAAGAAGAGGTACATAACATCGGTGATCAAACTCCACCATAACAGCAATAGTCACATCTCAGATGAGTCGGGCATATATCCCTGAAAACATATTTATGAGGAAATATTCCAAGAATGTTTCTACCTGGCCTTTCGCGGCGCCCACCAAGTTATGAGGTTTCCGTGACCCTCGAGGAACAACACCTGCAGGCTCATTAGGGCAGTGACTGAGCACGAGAACCGGTAGCACGTCTCGTGGGGGATGGAAATATGGGAAACGTAGCGCCCGCTTGAAATTATATTAATTTTAAAGAATAGCTTGCGCTTTAGAGCAATAAACTAGAGCAATCGAATGTGTTGCGAAGGCCAGGGCAGCTATTTAGAAATTGTTATATACATCTAAGCGCACTCATAGGGGTACTGGACATGGGGACATCTTCAGCGAGGTTCAGATAGAAGAGTCATTGGGTATTGAAAAATAGCTCGTTGGTCCTTGTTGGGAACGGAATATGGGAAGAAACTCAAGTATGGATCTTGTCTCAATGATTAAATTTGCGGGCGCATACTTGGGGGCTTGAACTGATTGTCACATTAGATAACTGCTACATATACAGCGAATAAATTCACCTAATCCGACGCGGAGTTCTAACTACACTCAAACTCAGGGTCCCAACAAATGCCAGTATTATTATCCATCGGTTCCGCCAGACGAACTCCTGCAGGCGATTCTGGACAAAGAATGTTCGATGTATCCTCTGGCGGCGAATTGCAACCAGCTGGGAGAATGTCGACCAGAATGAGCCGATAAATGATTCCGTCTGTACCATAACAGCCGCCTCGATGATAGGCCAGTATGTGGCTATACGCCATTGTGTCTCGTTAGAAGGATGGGCGTCTTGAATGGCAGTGGTACATGTCGCTGTCATCTCCATGAAATGTGCTCTGGGTCCAAGACGGCGGACAAGATCAACTATGGCGGGGTGTTCCCTGTTGTCTGTCGCGATTATAACGGGCTGTGTATCGCTTTTTTGGACTCGTCGAACGTTGTTGTACAAATATGATCCAGTCCAATCACATTTGGAAAAGATATGCTTCAGGACGGGAACCTGTCCGCGGTAGCAGGCGTCATCTTGACCGAAAGATAGATCGGACGGCCACATCCGCAGATGCATTGCTAAGGCGTGTGGAACGAGATCGGGGAGGACGCTGTCGACGCACTGTTGCAGGGGGCGGGTAAGCTGAAAGCGACGGGCCGCCGAGCGCCATCGATTCGGTGTCCAGGGAAGGACAAAGCTTTCGAGAACGAACCTAATGGCGCTCCACTGCCAGTAAGATTCAGTACGCGCTTTGGCTTCGATGATTTGGCTTGGCCCTTCCACGATATCGGTGTAGTAGTCCACTCGTTTCGTGGAAGCTGCTTTGGCGGCAGGGTCTGACCACCGTTGGAGGTCTGTCTCGTAGCCCAATGACTGGAGACCATGTTCGTCAAAAACATCAGTGACGGGGATAACCGTTGCCTCTTGTACGCCTCGTATGGCCGGACAGGTGATGCCTGGGGAGAGCAGCTTGCGGGAGGGAAGGGGGTTATGGACGGCCGAGGTGAGGTGTAGTATGAACTGATTGTTGAAGTATGCGAAGTCTGGTGTTTCCCACTAGTTCAACAAAATTGTAGGTTAGATCACAAGATTTGATAAATGATCAGGAATAAATGGATCACATACTGTGAAGTACTTGAGGTTGTGAACCTTGCTTGCACAATTTGTCTTGTCACTCAAAACAAGTACATCACCTAATATAAGTTATAAGCCGTCTACTCAATTTAAGGAGAGGAAAAGCTTCTTACTTCACTGTCATTCTAATCCGCCAAAAGTGTCACTCCGTAGATTCAAAGGAAGTACAGCAAACTGAGCTACTTGCCTTGCGACTTGGTCTGTACAAATGTACTGAAAAAGACTTGTGTTCGTTGGCATGCCAGCGCGTGTACAGTATACCTCGAACGGTAGCAGGTGATATAATATCTTATATATTCCAATGTAACCTCCTCCAGCTACTGTCTTAAAGACTGTATTATATCTACAAATAGTACAAAATACTGTAGATAATCGCTGTTTTGTTAGGTCGCTGGTAAAGTTAAATTGTTGAGGGCTTGTTGCATAATCCCAAGAGTATTCGAGCACACTCTCAATTTTGATTTGTTACCTTCCTGCTGGCTATCTTTAAAGATAGCTAGAAAAAGCATCTCAGATGCCTGGAATACTATAGGAACATCAGTAGTATTTCTAGTATTCTAGCATTCGGTAACAGAGTTCCAAGTCGATTGAGAAGTGGAACACAATATATAAATCCCGTAAGTAATAGTGGGTTATATCGAGCGCTTCCGGTAATTCAGTACGCGATTCTATTCAGAGCAAGCTTAGAAGTTCACGAACCAAGGTGCTGACAGTCAACCGGGGAATATAGTATCTATAGAGTATATCGCGGTACCAGTCTTTAGTATTGTATATTTCCACTGGCTCCAGAGCTCAGGAGAAAAACCGTTGCAAGACTCCAACACTTCTATTTATTCAATCTCTCCGAGTACCAGAAAGATAATCTTCCTTTCCGGGCTTTGCATTGTAAGTGGAAGTTATATCAAAGTAAAAAAGATACACGTACAAAATACATCTCCGCCAATACTTCAAGGTATTCGTGTTATGTGCGATTGTTACGCCAGTCTGGCACTCGCCACCCCGTAGAATAAATATAAAAATTAGTTCTGTGCACTGTTTTTCTGCACTATCACCATCTGGTTGATAACAATCTAATGATATCTTTGATAGAGTTCTAACTAATTGATCCAGAGAAAAGCAAAAATATCTTGCTTCCCCCGAGCCGGAATCGAGCCGGCGACCTTTCGGTTATATGTGAATACTCCATTACAGCCGAACGCCATATCCAACTAGACCATCGGGGGTTTGAAGACAAATTCAATTTTGTTATTAAAATCTATAAAGGGCTATAACTGATCAATCTAGGCATTGGAAAAAAATATCTCATCCCCCGAGCCGGAATCGAGCCGGCGACCTTTCGGTTATATGTGAATATTCCATTACAGCCGAACGCCATATCCAACTAGACCATCGGGGGTTTGGAGACGACGTCAGCTTTGCTATTAAAGTCTATGGAGATAAAGGGAAGGCATAATGGAACCATTTAAATAATGAAAGTAGACCGATTTATCTAGCCTAGTTCGAAAGCGGCCAAAGATACAGGGTCAGTTCCTTGTGCTGATTCAATGCTTATGCCGAATATCACTTATCGCACCATTTGCATTAGGCTTCTTTGCTTTTTCTCCGGATCCCACGCCATGTGCCTCCGCCACCTCCTCCTTTCTAGAGCTACGACTAATAGATGCACAAGCAGTAGAATGAAGCTAGTCCACCAAGCTACCTTCGGGTGCGAATGTAAGAGAATCATCATGCACAGGACTACTAATCCACCAATGAACTCATGGTGGCTTAAGTTTGTCGGATTTTGGGTTCTGATTTAGTATCGTCTTGTCTTTCTCGGGCTACTCATCCAGCTTTCGGGCTCCCTTTTTCGGCTCTTTCTTTGGGCCTGCCGTATTATGATTCCAAATATAGGTTTGGCATACATACTCATTAGTCTGAACTCTACCTGGCGACACTAATTTTTAGTAGATCAACTAGGGTTTTCTAAGTTTATTATAACGTAAGATATGTCCTAATTTATCAGAATACTAAATACGGTAATAAAAAGCCAGTGGTTTCGAAAGTTTATTGACAAGCATGTTTTATAGGGCGGAAAGTAGTGCCAGTATATTTGACTTAATAACGTTGACCGGTAGTACTTGGGTGTCGTCCTCTGTATCCTTTAAAGTCTTAAAGGCTCCAAGGATTACAGATACCGCCACCCAGCTAATATTGAAAGAAATCCTGTGTAGGCTTCCAACCAACTATGTATGCTTATTTCCCCGACGATCCCTGTAGCCCATCATCAATCCAGAGAGAAGAAAAGCTCCCACATCAAAGTTTCGACATGTGTCCAGATATAGGCCGGCATCTGACGTTCCCGTAAGATATCAATAACCTCCCCACTGATTGGATTAACAAAATTAACTTATCTTCCTTGCAACGTACATAGTTTTTAACGCCTGATTGGATTGTGCATGTAACACCGTCAGCTGTAGCTCTGTCTGATACCATTCATTGTCACTGGTAGCTGGGTATTCAGAATAGATTAGTCCGTGTTTCTGGACCAGTTTACTGATTGTCTCCGGAGCAAGCTTGAAAGCAACTTGGCCATAAGGGTGGAAGGAAGATATATGCGCTTCGACATAGACAACTTTATTTCCCAAGCTCGGGGAGAACGTTATAGAACAAAGGAATCCAGATAGGATGATTACGAAGTCCTGTCCCTCCGAAACCTTCAGGGTATTGGGAGAGGTCTCTGACTAGACCTATAGTGGATGCGGGACGGCTTGTATGTGCTGTTTGTGGTAAAGTAACATGCAAATTATCACTTAGAGCTTCCTTGAGGAAATCAGTCGCAGGATGGTATTGTGTACCGTCGATGGTGTCCGTATTTTGATGACTAGCTAGGTTTTCCTGCTTAGAATTGATGCTTGGATGAGGGCTGCACAATGTAATTCATAGATTGCTCTCATCAATATTGGTGTATCGGTGAAAGGATTCCCCATTCAAGTCGATAAGTTAATGTGATATCGGCGTTGCAGAAAGTGAAGTGTCACCCAGTAAAGACACAGTAGGTGAGCTAACCCTAGATATCGGGCCTTCTGCGACAGAAGGTAGGGCTGGACTTTGGACAATATTTTCATCTTCTTGTGGGTGGTTGGATATGCTCCGTATGCCTATATTTGTACACCGGAAGCAGGGGCTTCGGTGGGAACACTATTGACTTGGCTGAATTATTTTTTCTTCTCGTCGTTCGTTTCTTGTGAGGTACTTGGGTACTTGGGTAGAATTATCTTGACTTTTTGTTTGCTGCACGAGCGGCATGCCTGTTGTTTTCTCTATACTTGGAGGCCGGGCATGGGGTATTTGCATCCCAGGATCATATTTCCTCAAAGCGCCTGCAGGAAGCGCGCGTGCCGTGCCGAGCATACAATGGTAGAACCCCCATCTGGCCGACAGTATCCTCTTCACTGACAATAAAAAAAATAACAGGCGTCTCCTCTGTAGTCTAAGGTTCATCCCCATGTTACTAGTGGGGGCCGTCGCAACCTTCCCTCTTTTTGTCCCGCCGTTCCTACTTCCGCTGTACATCTCATCAATCGGCTTTTCAAGCCAAGTGGCTGCAGCTATACTCGCGGCTTGAAGAACTTTGCCTCCGCACGGCCGTATCGGAATGGGTTTTGGGGCGGACATCTTCCTCGGCCCAGTCAACATTACGATCCTCTCGCTCACTGTTATCGGCGTTAGTGCAATGGCACTCTGGCCGTTTCCAATTTCCCTCGGGCTTCTTATCTTCGCGATTATCAATGGAAAGGGCTCCGGTAGTTTCTTCAGTCTCATGGCTGTCGTCGTAGGCGCGGTGTTCGGCGATGGGCAGCTCGCGAATATCATGTCTATGTTGTCGACATCCTGGACTTTTGGCTATTTCCTGGTAAGGTTCCATGCATATATACATACTTTCCGTTATAAAGCAGACATTGACATTTGAGTAGGCGTCGCCTATCGCCGGATACCTGCTAGTCGCTTACGGCGACACAGAGGCCGGTCTTGCGGCGTTCCGACCAGCAATCTTCTATGCTGGATCGCTGACCCTAGCGAGCGCCGGGTTGCTTTTGTCTGTTCGACTAATGGTGAACAGGAAGATATTTGTGAGGGTATAGGGAATTTTAGTTGTTCAGAATCTAGCGAGGTTGCCAACCGTGCATAATAGGCTGATAACGGCAGCCATATGCTATGATGTTGCCCTAGCTGCGCCAGAAGGCTTAAAAACGGCACGTAATATAATTGTAGTGCTAGGGATGTGGAATTTGTTAGTTAGTAGTGGTACGTGATCGTTCGATATTGTAGCACCTTAAGAGTCGTCAGCCTAGGGACATACAATTTTATTAGCCCGTATAACATTTATTTTACTTCCAGATAACCAATAGAATCTAATGGTAAGTCAAAGAAACATCATCCCCCATCTTCCCTAGAGCAAAGACCCGCTCTCTAAAGCAAATCTCAAATCGAAACGCGAAGATGGTCAGGGGCCATTGACTAATACTTCCCTGAAGTAGAATTTCCGTTACAATACGAACACCAAAAGATTACACCACCAGAATAAGTGGTCGATCTTAGCACTGTTGCATATCAGTAAGCTGCTAGGGGAGGCTTCTCCAGTTGCCCTACTTGTTATGCCCAATAAACAAGTATACGTTGCAGCAAAACACGTTCAGTTGAAGACTAGAAGTGGGGTCCTGAAAATGTAGTATGATTAGCATTCTCCCCCCAGTCACAGTTATCCTAGTCATCGATTGATCTGTAAAGAACTAGCTGCTGCTATGTTATTCACATTAACTTAGGGCACTCTTGCATTGGGTTGAAGTTCGAATCTAAGATGTCTCAGGATTGGGGATATAGGGGGAGTATAATATTCTCCTATGTAGAATGATTCGTTTTACTTGTTTATTATTATTATTATATCTATGGTTTCTATATTAGGTCTTTTTTTTCCCTTTCTTTCTTTTTCAACTGTACGAAGGTGATATTGACGCCACTATCAGAGAAATATATTGATAACTTAGATCAACGAGTCAGGATAGACAATTTGTGTATAATACAAGAAATGGCAAAATATAAAGACATTTAGACTAATCTCAGTGTTTTGATTTCCACTCAGAATAAAACCATCCTATGCTCGAGGTGAAATCACCGAGATTAATACTAAACTCTAGCGATCGACCACGCATAAAAGCCTCTCAGGCCTTGGCGATCTACGTAAATAGTTTCAAAAAACCATGCGAAGGTGTCATAAGATCGATTTCCTTGTTCTTTACATCTAATAAATTGAGCAGCCAACTAGATATCCTTAGACTATATACCTATGATGGTGATGATGACCCCCGGAAAGACACACATCTAGAGCTTCTACAGACCCTGCTCTCTAGTTTTATCTAGACACTAGCTCGTAAGTTTGAATTACCCTCAAAAATATACTGGACTCGCAATGAAACTGCTTTCAAAGCCCACTTTGTGCCTGCTCTGCCTTGCCTGGAACCTATTGGTATCCTTTGGGCTAATTTAGCATGGGCAAGTCGGTGAATAGCCAGGTGGTTAGGATCTCATTCTGTAATTGGACGAAGCCCAAGTAAACAGAAGTAATAGAAATTTTTTAACATTACTGTGTGAGTGGAGAACCACGGCGGCTTGCTGTATGTTGATCCAGCGAGGGTAGAAAAAATCGCATAGCCACTACTGAGCCCCGCCAACAACGTATCCCTTTTTGTTTGCATTAGGCAAGTGGATACAAGGCTTGAGCAAGGGGAGGTTGAGGGATCGGGCCGCATGGACTACGGTGTCTAGGTAGGTAAATCAGTCATCGAAAGATTGATAGATCGCACTATTTTGAAGTTGAAATTGACTCAAGGATCATCATGATTTTGACTCCGCCCTTTAGTATTGTGTACTCTGTACTGTGGTATTTATAACCACTCGGTAGCCACAATTCTTCCAACTTCGAAGACCTAGGAAAGTGAGCCGATGGCGTGCGGTGTATTTACCGCATATTCCTTTTTTTGGCATGCGTGCCGGGCCATTTTTTGGGGTCCACACCCTTCCCTTGCTTACGCGAGACAAAGCCTTGAGGGTCGATCTTTGGAATTTCCATTTTGGGACAAGGCCCCCATCGCGCAAGCGTCAAAGCATATGATATAATTTCTGGCAAGGAATATTCTCAACGAGTATTCTCCTTATACGAATTTGATGTGGCAAAGGCATGCATCGAGTAGCGACGCGTCAACAGGCATTGAAGACCAGATCAGTGACTAGTCTTCCTGGCATGCTCTCTTAACTGGTTTCAAGTGCAGCTGGCTCCACTAGCCTTGCAATGTACTATGCGGATGTTGCATAGGGGCTCACATCCATCGATGTCGTGATATCACCACTTATATTTGTCAGCTCAATGAAACCCGGTACCCACTGCTCCCGATATTTTGGCACGAATTAAAGAAACTACTGCGGAGTAGACAATGCTAACATTAGGTGATTCGGATCTTCCCGGCCACCACCTATCATGACCTATGCCTTGCTCCTGTGAAAGGGGCCCATTGAGGGTGGCTACGAGACTAATAGGGATCATCTCAATGCTTGTCATAGATACATAGTAAGCATAATGGGTGATCGGTACGAGTGGATTCTATAAGCAATGGGCCAATCAAAGAATATTTGGGTCATGACTATCGTTATTAATTTATACGCATTCAGAAGAACCCTAATCGCCCATCCCTATCGATTAATAATCATTACAACCCAGGATGCTCTAACCCTTGTCACCAATACTATCTCGGTGGCTCTATTGGCACTGGGTGGCGGCCCTGAGACAATCATGGCCCAGTATTTATAATTGAACGCTTACACTAACTCTCACCTCTCACCCTGAAGCAAATGGTGAATACGGGAGACATGAATACAGTCGAAGAGCAACCAAAGCCTGCATCTGCTGATGCAATGTTTCCCACGGGAGACCACATTGTGTTAGATGTGAAAGAAAATCCGAAGACATGGCCCACAACTAAGAAGTGTAAGAAAGCCGCGCGCGTCCGTATAGTGCTCGTATTGAGCGAACGATAGGGCAGCTAATGAATGATGACGAGTAGGGGTCTGCACCAGCATTGTGGTGATGATGACGGCGACCGTGGCCTGGTGCTCCAGCATCTACACCGCTGCCCTCCCGGACATTATGCAAGACTTGGGATGCTCGCAGATTGTAGCGACCTTGGGAGTGACGACCTTTCTCCTAGGCTTCGGGTTTGGGTCTCTATTGTTTGCGCCGCTCTCTGAGATCTGGTAGGCTTGGTTTCTTTCCCCCTTCCCCCCACACCATAGGGCACCAGTGCCCGACACCTCCCCAACAGTGCTAATCCGTCACCCTCCTAGGGGCCGGACGCAAATCTTTCGCTTGACAATGGGCCTGTTTGTAGCCTTCCAGATCGGCTGTGCATTAGCTCCGAACATCACCTCTCTCATCATCTTCCGCTTTTTCGCAGGCTTCTTCGGTTCTCCCACCGTCAGCAATTCGGGGGGCTCGATCACCGATCTCTGGCCGCAGAGTAATCGCTCTGTGCCCATGGCCTGCTTCTCTGCTGCTAGCTTCCTAGGCCCTGTTTTTGCCCCAGTGGTGGGTGGTTTCATCTCGCAATACGCGCCCTGGCGCTGGAATTTCTGGGTGGTGCTCATCCTCAGCGGCGTAGTCTACGTTGCTGTCTTGTTCTTCCTGCCCGAGACGTATCCAACCAAGCTTCTATACGACAAGGCCCGGCGTCTGGGCCGTGAGAATGAGATTGGACAACCCGAGGTCTGCCAGCAGCTGCGCAGCAGTCTGACACGTCCATGGCTCATGCTCTGTACGGAGCCCATCCTCTTCCTGCTTTCTCTGTACATGGCCTTCATCTACGGCATCCTCTATCTGGATTTTACCGCCTACCCGATCGTCTACAAAGAGACACGAGACTGGAGTGCCGGAATGGCCGGCCTCTCATTTCTCGGGATCGGCGTCGGCATGACCTTAGCAACCATAGGTTCTCCTTACATCAATGTAATCCACCGTCATTTTGTGCTCCGCCTCGGACCCCAGCCAGAGGCCCGCCTACCCCATTTAATCATCCTCGCCTGGCTCATCCCCATCAGTCTGTTTTGGTTCGGCTGGACCGCTAAACCTCCGACCCACTGGATCTGCGGGATCATCGCCGGAGCCCCATTTGGGTTCTCGATCATCCCTCTCTTCTTGGGCATTATGGCTTACCTGACAGACTGTTATGGACCTTACGGTGCCAGTGCCCTGGCTGCCAATGGTGTCTTGCGATCCATTTTTGGTGCTGTGTTCCCGCTCTTCGCTCAAGACATGTACAAGGGTCTGGGGGTTTCCTGGGCTACCAGTGTCCTGGGTTTCGTCTCCCTGGCGATGACGCCGCTACCGTGGATGTTCTATCGGTATGGGCCAGGCATTCGGGCCCGGAGCAAATATCATCAGAAGACAGCCGCAGATCCATGGGAGTAGACGAATGTGTGTTCCCGTAGCCTGGTCCACAGTGACTTGACGTATACTAAAATGTAATTTACAATGGAAAATACAACAGGGGATGGAATCCTGCATACGTAATAGCGCTAGAACGCTGTCGAAGGATGAAAGTGGCTGGACCAAAAGTAGCTGAAGATGCACGCAATGTCGATCCAAGTCTTTTCCAGCTGCCCGAGGATAGAATTAGACGCGGACATATGCAGGTCAACCCTTGGCCGGGTCAGCGATTTAACCAGCGCTGGACTTATGTACTATACATTGTATATTAATAGATTAAGCTAGTATTTCTTCAAGGTGCCACTACGGACGTCTCTTGATAGAAGTCCAATAAAGCGACAGCTCGGATAGGCAGGTACCGATCCTAATAGTATGTCCATAGTATGTGTCAATTATCGGTCCCATTATAGATTTCCGGTCACCTAGGAGACTATTTCCTATTGCTAAGGTCCGAATTGACCCGAGATCATATGGACTCGGAAAATATGTAGCTCTACATACGAATTATCTGTCTGAGCACATCTAGAAGAGTCCAAGTCCTTGAGAGATAGAGAATTAATCCCCCGGGAAGATCGGGAGCGCCCTTCTAAGAGAAATGTGGAACAAGTGGCTAGTCCAAGAGTTGGATATTGCTATCGCTATTCCTACTAGCAGTAGTAGGCTGAGGTATAATAGGGATGATCTGGCATTTCCCACTATGACCTGTTCCTCCAATTAACCACCGACGTAAGGAAGCCAAATACCTAATGTATGGACAGACATGTTTCAGTATACCCTGGCGACAGGGAGGTTATTTGACAGGAGGAGGCAATGAGCGAGTGGGTAAGCTGAACTTACGTGGATTTGCTCGCCTTGCATTTGGGAAGAACGTGCAGCCTCAGGCTCTCTCAATCATATGCCACACAGCCTGGGTCTTTCAATAATGTATTCTCAATGGCCTAGAATATGAGACTATTGACGCGTCCATCACAATACACGAAAGAAAGTCGGTCTGCTGGCTTGCATCGGATCGACCGATGATTCTTCGTAACTCTTTGTTGGTATGATCCCATAATTAAAAGTCCTCCACCTGTAACTACCATATATAATTTGTGGGCGAACTCGGAAATGGGATTTTTTCTGTGCTTGTCCACCATCGAAATCTTCCTGAGTTATCCTCCCATCTAGGTTGGCTACCTCTCTTTCTACTCTCTACTAATCATCATGAATGTGGGTATTGTCGGAGCTGGAATCTCTGGTCTCTACATCGCACTGTCTCTTCAACGGCAGGGACATAATGTCACGGTATTCGAAGCCACTTCTAGGATAGGAGGCCGAATTTACACCCATCGATTTCAACCGCTCAACGAGGGCGAAGACGTTTACTTTGAAGCGGGAGCTATGCGAATTCCTCGTTCCTCCCTACATGATCGTGTCTTTCACTTTGTGCAATTTCTGAACACATACGGCAAGCCCGAGGATAAAGTCGAGCTCATCCCCTACATAATCGAGCACGAGAATAACATCGCATACGTCCACGGCCACAAAGCAGACCTCAGTGATATTGAGCATGGATCTCGCCTAGGAATCCCCCAACCCTACCGAGGAAAGTCCGCGCGGGAGCTTCTGGGTGAGGTTGTCACGCCATGGCTGAAACTCTTAGAGAGAGACTTTGACCAGGGGTTTGCCGAGATCATGAAGTACGACGCGCTTTCTTTCCGAAGTTATCTAGCATTGGTCCAGCAATGGCCACATGAGGTGATTGACTTTGTCGAGCTGATGACGAGTCAAACTAATCAGTATGACCTAAGCTTCGTCGAGATCATCATGCAGAATTTAGACTTTAATGTTCGCGAGTGGTTTACTGTTGGTCATGGCATGTCCCGTCTCACGCAAGGGGCAGCCAAGCTTGTGGGTCTACAGAATATCCACACTAACTCTCCTGTCGACCGTCTTGTTGAGAATCCCGATGGCCGCATCACCCTCCATGCGCATGGACCCATCCCTTTCACTGGTACCTTCGACAAAGTAGTCCTGGCCATTCCCCCAGCCGCCCTTCAGGGCATCCGGGAACGCCCAACCTGGAGCTTCATGAAGGAGCAAGCAATTCGCAGCGCCCACTTCGAACCGTTATATAAGATCGGGCTACACTTCCGGACGCGATTCTGGGAACAACTCAGTGCCCCATCGTTCGGAGGCCAAAGCGCCACCGACCTTCGGTTCCGATGGATTGTCTACCCATCCAACGATCTGGGGACCTCTGGATCGGGAGTCCTTTTGCTCTATTGCTGGATGAACGACGCATATCGCATCCAGTCAGTGCCGCGCGACCAACGCGTCAGACTGGCGCTGCATGATCTGCAGCGGTTCTTCGCGGACACAGGCGTTGATATCTATAGCCAGTATGTGGACTCCTTTGACATCTGCTGGAGCAATGAATATGTGACGGGTGATGCAATGTTTCTTCCTGGCCAGTTCAGTCGCTTCCATCGCGTGGCTGCGAAGCCAGAGGGAAACATTCATTTTGCTGGTGAGCACTTAAGTCGACATCATACGTGGATCTCTGGTGCCATGGAATCGGCGCAAAAGGCCGTCCAGGAGATATCGGGGGAGATGGATGCGAGACCTTTGGGAGAGGAAGAGTACACCCGGCAATTCGTGAAGGCGATTGAGACGCCGCTTCACCGTGTGGATGCGATACCAGAGCATGAGAGACAGATTCTATCCCGACTATAAGAACACATATACCTAGGTACATGATGCTCCTTGGTACCAGTCGGTGGTGTAGCCCAATCTCACCTAGTTCCCTGACTCCCTGCTACCTTGCTCAAGACAGATACGCCATCATGCTCGAACATATAGACTACTCATTTTCTTAAAAGGTTATAGATATCGAAAGTTGTCTGCTTTTCATACACAACCACGTTTGAGTTTAGCACTTCATCTAATGTTTGTCTTATGTCTCTATCAGAGAGGTGATACAGGCTTTTGTTTGTTTCATGATTAGATGGTTTGGTTTATATATATAGTTTTTTTTAATAAACAGATCATTTTTAAGACCATATTTTTCATAATACAACGGTTATATACGTACTATTTAACATATCGTGGAAACATCTATCTTTACTACAGTGGTCAAGCCCTCGTTATATGCTAGAGACTATAACTACCTGTCGTGTCCATTTATGTAAGCGAATAGCTGCTTGGCTTAACGTCGTCTATGGCGTGCCCGCCAGCAGATGGGCAAGAACTACAACCGCCCACCGCCACTATCACTACTACTACCGCTTTAACCCTCTGTCTGTGAGGGCATGTGAGAATACCGAAACCGAAAATGACACCCTTCTAAGGCCAGAAAAGGTCGCGCTTCCACTCTGCCTCCCAGCGACGGGGCATTTGACTCCGCGACTACCTATCTAGCAGCACTATTCTACACCTACCAAGCATTGTCTAGTGCTTAGATGGTGGAGTCGAACGGAGACATACTAAGGTGAATGTGATGCACCTCTAGGCGGTTACATTACCAAACTTGGTAACTAGCACTAACAAACAACGAGGAACCGGATTCTTCTTCCAACTGCTTTGTAGTGCCGTTCTAACAGAAGGTTGTTTAGAGATATAAATATGCGGGTTGCTTCTTGCCGTGGACTACTACGTAAGGGTTTAATGGAGTACTTGAGCACGACCTACTATCATGCAATATTTTGAATGGGCAATGCCTAATTGTTAGCTGGAGTCTCCGATTACACTTCTAACAATGAACTGATTGGACGGGATAGGTAGACACATCTTGTGGACACAAGAACACAGCCAAAAGAGAATAGTAAGGTAGTCAGAATATGATAAATGAATACAGTTATCATGACAGAAATAGTATCTCCGTATGTGGTCCGTTCGCATAATTCGCCCAGGGTCCAAGAAGGCACCCGATGAGAACGTCACTTGCATATAATAACAAGACAAACCTTGAGGCAAATGCACCTACATCTCCATACATATTGAATGCTATCCCATTAACATATATCTTTTGCCTTTTTTGGATACCTAAGGTGACACAACTGGATATTACCGAGGAAAAGGTTACAACCTGGATGGCAGAGATTGACCCTGGCCTATATCTCGGTAACAGCAACAGCACGTGGTGGAAATACATACCTTCTCCCATAATGTAGTTTGATATAAAGGGTCAATCTCTGGAATGTAATGGCAGGATGATCTCGACATGGCGGGAAAAGAACATAGTACTCCATTGGTAGAGCTCTGAGAAGCAACAGGAAAATGTTACTATAACTCCGATATAGGCAATCCCTCAATATCAGCAATTTACAGGGCCAGCTCCTACAATTGACTTGCAATAGAGGCCAACGATATCAAAATTCATCGTTTATCTTCTCTGCAGCTTGCAAAATAAGAAAGGGCATAGAATAGGAACGCCATATATAGGTCATGCATATACCCCCCCGACTCAGGGCCTTTAGCATATGTGATGTATTCGAGGCTTCATAGCTGGGGGATCGCCGTCAACTACATCGTCATGGCTATTGACAACCATTTAGGAAGTTCTAGAGGTAGTTCCCTAATTAGTGTTAATTATGAATCTCATACTCTATAACTATTCTTATTGCGCACAACCATCGTATAAATCTACAGGAGACTTGAACTGGTTCAACAAAAGCGAGCAGTCTATAGCCAGGCCCGAGGGCTTTGGAAAGACTTGAATAGGAGAAATGGTTAGATACCGAGAAGAAGGCCCTGAAGCCACAGTACCCAGTGTGCCCGGGCAGGTGGGCTAAGATGCTGCAATCCTTGACTCAACCTTTTGAAGAACATTGGGTACCCGTGACTTGGGATGACTTAAGACACCAATATCCTTCCCTCAAAAGTGTTTGGTGCTAATGGTTTGGGTTGCCCCTTATAGCTCGGATTGTGTCTCTATAACTCTTCAATGGCTCTTAACGCAAGTTTGTGGCCTCGGTTGCATTGCCCTACTAAGACAGATGATATGATTTATTCTGTCCTTCTAAGCTTGGCCTGCAGTAGAATAACGGGATTACCGTTTTGAGCTTGAACAAGTAGAAACTAGCAACTCTATTGGGGCTTTCCACAAGACATTGTTTAAATAATGTTACTGTAATCTGTTGCAGTATACTGTATCCTTATGAATGTTTTACACTTGTGTATTTTATTTATTTAATCAAGTTTAACGTCCATATAGAGCCGATTGGCTATGACAGATATATGTGTCTAGGCAGTGCTCTAGACCACTGCCTCCAGATTATTCTTAGAGACTCCATTAGCTCTTTCTATTCTCTGTATATTTATTCCGGTCCTTTTCCTTACCCAATCCGCCTATCTGCGCTAGAGTGTTTAGGCTATGCCCTCCTCAATATTTATTATTATTTGGATATTATCTAGATATATCTAGACTACTTTTTCTACTACCCTTCTTCTCTGCTTTTTGCTTTCTCTACTAGTTCTAAATTTCTTAGAATACCTCTAGAGATTCTATCTATCTCCCTGACTATCTCTTGTGGGAAGTATCCAATCTTTATTATTATAAGAAATGCTATTAGGGCTTTTGTAGCTCTCTGATCCTTAAGAAGATAGCTTTCCAGGGCTATTTCTTTTTGTCTAGGTGGTTGTAATCCTGCCTTTATTAAGATCCTATATAGAGTCTGTTGCTGGTAGAACTATTTTCTGTATTCAATTAGTAGATAACCTGCTATTTTCTAAGAAGCTTGGCAGCTCTGATATCTAAGAGAGTCCTGAGCTTCTATCTAAGATAGATGATAGTATCTCAGCCTAGATTCTAGACAGTTTTCGATAGCGTTTCTTAGAAACTGTTTGCTATCCTTAGCCCCCAGGATTGGCTTTTAGCAGGGCTACAATATCTACATATATGGCCTCGGGTCTATTGGACCTATTAAGTGCAGCTCTATTCTGTGATCTGTGTATAGAAAACTTTATTGTTCTGCTCTGGATAGCCTGGAGGCTTAGGGGGGCCAGTAATGGCTTTATTTGGAGCGCTTGCTGTACTGTTTTTTGTTTTGGATCTGCTGATAAAATCTGAGCTTGTTGGGGCTCTTGAATCTTCTTCTCTAGAGTCTTGATTTGGGCTTTATATTGCTGTTTACGGATTTGTTGCTGTGCTGTCTGGGTCTTGGGTATTTGATTAATATAGGCTTGTATTGTTCTAATCTCTACCTACCACTTGTATTCCCGATTTTCAAGCGATTCTGCTAGCTTGTGTAGGGATTGTAGATTCAGACTTAGTTCTATTTCTTCTCACTTTCGGGTGCTATAGGTGCTCCGTATACTCCCGCTGCTTCTAAAACTGTTCCTGCTTAGCACCCTGCTAGACCCACTGTTGCTTATCTGCTCCAGATCTATAGGCATATCCAGGACCCTAGGGCCCCCGCGATATATCGGTGTTGGTGAGGGTAGTGATAGTGGTGGTGGTTAACCGCTCAGGGGCGCCCACCTCGACGCGCTCGGTAGACCACCGCTATGGGGCTTTGGGACCTCCATAGCGGTTCCTGGGGCCTCAGCGGGCCTTTCTCAATCGATTGACGCGTTAAAATAACGTGTTTAGGTTGGGTGTTGATTTTTTGGATGTTCCGAGCGTCCTTTATAGCTTTTTTACACTAGTGTGTATGATATAGTATCTATAATACAATTTCCGGTTATTTGTGACTAGCTCACAAAATGAGGGAGGGGAAAAGGCAAGTCAATGGAACTGTTTATGTTGTATTGGAAACAGTGGGGGGAAATCACATTATAGTCATAGTTCTACTATATACTGCCATGCTCCATGAGTTTCACTACTTCTGTGTACTTTATAATACCTCGGGATCATCTTCTCCACCAAAGGTGCCACATAATTGTAAAGTGGGGACAGCCCAGACCTACGAAAAGAACGCCACATTGTTTACAGTGGACTTATCTTCTCGACTCACAAAGTACAAATACCTGGCGTTTTTGCTGAAGTTGCTACCGTTAGTCACGGCCAGGGATGCAGCTCATCATAGGTAGAAATTAGCTCAGCATGGGAAGCCCTTAGCGTCTTAGGCGGCTACCCACGACGAGATCATTGGAAAGATCAAGATACGTGGAAATAAAAGCTCATTGTGGGTAGAGAGACCCACGCTGAACCTTTTTCTGACCTGGGGTAAGTTGATCACAGATTTAACTAGTTAGAGGTTGTTCTAGGTTTCTTATTCAGCCGTCTCTCCAAGATAACAGGAACGAGGTGCAGCAGGTCCTCACTTAATTCAAGATATTCTCTGCCCCCGCAAAACAGGTATCAAGTATGTATCGACCACGGAGCAGAATGTCGAAAATGGCTTCGGCACCCTCTAAGCTCATATCCAGGAATATATCCCTGTCCTGTCGTGGTTTGTATACCCTTGGGTATCCGAGCGAATGTGTCGTCTAACGTCGTTGTCGACTATTTGTAGGGCAGCCTATCCAATCCGAGCAACTGTTTGAGTACACAAATGGTCGTTTTCTTGCGAACGAGGGCCACGAAAGGTCAAAACGATATGCACGATTTAACCTTGACGCCCTTTGCACTCTAGTTTCTTCTTTACCCACCGTTTCTTCTCCCATCTCCAAAATCGATAATATGGAGGGTTACTTCAATAAAGCCATGTTGATGACAGCAGAGAATGGAAAGGAAATCATTGCCAAGATACCATGTCCCCAGGCTGTTCCTCCAGAGTACAGCACTGCGTCTGAAGCTGCTGTATTAGAGTATGGTGTGGATTATCGCTCTTTATATGGTTGTTGTCGCTGCTAACCCGGCTTTCTTTGATAGTTAGATCTCGTACCTCAATCCCTGCTCTTAAGGCTATTGCCTGGAGCTCTGATTCCTCTAATCCGGTTGGCTCGAAGTACATATTACTAGAGAAAGCCGATGGCAGACAGCTGGTTGATGTATGGGGTGACATGGATCAACTTCAACGCTTCCAACTAATTAAAAACCTGGCCCGGTTGGAAGGCGAACTTACGTCTATGGAGTTTCCAGGCTATGGCAATCTGTATTTCAATCGTCCAGCTTCTCATCACTCTGGTCAAGCGATACCCGTAGACGATGAATATTGCCTTGGCCCAGCCTATAATGCGTCTTGGTTTCCACAATCCAATAAAGGATGCCATTCAGGTCCATGTCCGTCCTTTACTGAGAAACATAATTGAGTAAGTGCTAATAGTATCGATACAGGGAAGAGCATTTCGGATCTCGGCCTTTCGCTGGCCAGCCGTGGTCTTGGACACATACAACGTTCCACACTCGTCACTCGTGGCCCTCATTTTGGCACTAAGGTCGAACATTCTCGGATTTTGGAAGCTGCTATGGATGTAATTCCAAAATTGGCAGGCCATCCTACTATACAGCGCTATTCTAGACCAACACTATGGCATGGTGACCTTCATCTAGGAAATATTTATATTTGCGACCAAGATCCCACTGATATCGTCGGCATTATCGATTGGCAATTTATGTCCATTATGCCTGCATTTATGCAAGTCCAGTGGCCATATTTCCTTTCCCCGCCTGAGAATTATGAAACAGGGCTAGTTAAGCCCGAGCTACCTCCGAATTTCGACGCTATGGACTCGGATGAGAAAGCCTTTGCGATGACAGAGAGGGATCAAGCCCTACTCTCCAAGTGCTATGAAGCGGCACTTACGAAGCAGCACCTTCAGTCGTATTTTGCCTTGACTCGAGTCGACTCAGCTATACGGCACCTGTTCACATCCTGTGGAACCACGTGGAAAGATGGAATAATTCCACTCCGTGACTCCTTGATCCAAATTTCAGAACATTGGAACGAAATGGGATTCTCTGGCCCTTGTCCTTTCCCTGTCACAGGTGATGTCTTATCAAAGCACAGACTCGAGCTTTCACGGTACAAGGATTGGCATAAACTAAAATCGTACACACAAGAGCTATTACAATCAGATGATGACGGCTGGGTGCCACCTCAGCTTGATTATGACAAGGTCCAAGACAGACATGCGGAGTTGTTTCAACTTTATATGCAGAGGGAAACAGAAGAAATTTCGGAAGAAGAGGCAAGGGAACTTTGGTTTTACAAAGAAGGGTCTTGATATAGCCGAAAACTATGAAAACACGCGGGGCTTCATAGGCTTTCTTTGGGTTGGTCGTTGATGTATGAGCTATGCACGTATATGCAAATTGCTGCGTGCGTGAAAGGCAAACCCTGCCCAATTCGTCAATTCTTCTTTCAGCCAGGCAGTTTCAAGTTTCCTTACATATGTACTCAGCTTGTCCTTCGCCTGCTTCTCGAAGTCTTCCCAAAGGTTGTCGAAAACGTCTGGATAATGATCCTTGGTATCGTCGACATTGATATCCTCAGCAGCCAGATTGGCGTGGCTTGAATTCTTATTCCGCCATTTCTGAAGTGATTCATTGGTGGCTTGAGAGCTCACTTGGAGGTATACCCTCTTTTTGCCGTCCTTCACCTCTCCGGCGTCTAGGCGTAGCTACCAACTTTTGTCTTTATTACCACTCTGCGGTGGCGCAGTGCGTGTTCCAGGCGTATATATACACAGCTTACTGACCTGCCCCTCCCGAACCATCAGATTCTTGAACTCTTTGAGCGGACTGGACATATTTGGAAGTCAAAGATAATACAAATGGAGTGAGAGGCAAAGATGTATACGATTGATTAGTAAAGGGTCTAGAAATGAGACATACACGGGCATTTCACCAAGGCTTTTTCGTCCTTACCATGGCTACCTTTATATATCGTATCGTGGACGCTCTCTCACCATTCATCACTACATATTCCTAAAGTGGGTTTAGGTGGCGCCTCCACCTTTATCCACCTCAGCCAATGTAGTCCTCCTTTTAGTATACAGCCTTACTAGTGCTAAAATATGTAGTCCAATGCAAGTGTTCTCTCAGCCAATGTTAGATGCTTCTCATCCGCTTTGATGCAACGCTAGACCCCAGTTACACAACATCTATAATCATAAAAGTGCCGTGCGCGCGTCAAATAGCTTTGTTGATGAAAACTTTGAATGTCTTTGGTTAATAGCTAAGCGCTGAAATCCAGAGGAGGGGACAAAGCTCAAAGGCTGCCTAGTTCCTTTCATAGTTTGTTTTGGATCTGTAGTTGCGAGGCAATATCTATGGTCGAGTATGGGCTAGAAATCCATAGTTCCTTGGCGGAGCTCAGCCTTGCATTAATCTTGAACTTGACGTGAAATACTTGTTCGCTTGCCGCTCGGCCTGACTGCGCCTGTCGATCGGAGATATACCCGATCAAATGATCTATACGGTTTGGGAGAATAGTAAATTGAATAGGTATATACTTTGTCTGACCCATGCAAAGCGCTTATAACTTGTGCTAGGAGAGGGACTGTGGTATAATGACTCCTCGCAACCCTCAGATACTACTTCTATTCAGTCATACCTCAACCCCGCTCACTGCGCAATCAGCCACGACGATCTCCTGACTGTCATGTCTTCCTAGAATGCGTAGTTTATACTCAGTCTATGTAAAAAGCTCTTACATTATCAGTATCCGACCATTTACCAGAGCGGTGACTCCGGTGGGTTACTATCAATACGAAGCATTCACAAGCAGCATCAAAAGTACGTTTCCTATCTTTCCTACGGATAGAGAGTAGTATTGCTCATTGATCAGTGATCTATATGAATCCAGATAATCATCCTCCTTAGCCTTCTCTGATAAACTCTAACATGTCTGCAGCGTCTTCCAGGCTCATAAGCATGCATGGACAAGGCTTAATGGTCGAATGAAATATACAGTACCAACCCATATACACATTTACCAGATCGGTTGACTATCGGCTCCGAAGCGAAAATGATATAAATGAACAAGTTTGTATCCAAAATCATTGAAATAATCCGACTAGCGTCTGCTATAACTGTAGACCTAGTGCTATGCGTAGATATCCTCATTGCCTTTTACTCCTTTCTCATTAAAGACAGCAATAGCGCCATTTATCCTTGGAGGTCTAGATTTCATAAAGGGTAGTGCAACCATGAGCTACAATTTTGTAGAGTAGCTGCTCGCAAAAGTATCTAGCTCAGGTGGAAATCATTAGCAGTTCAACATTCCGGTAGATTTTGTTGAAGTCTAACTAAATTACCGTAGGCTGCAGATAGCCTGGCCCATTGTAAGGATGAGACGTGATCATATTTTATTTGGCTAGGTTAACAGCCTCATGATCATCGTATGTGTTTGGTCACACGTTGATTTGATCTGGATGAGACATCGAATACTATTGAAAAGCTTCAACAAGCAACTGGCTGTATTGTTCTTGACCTCTTTCTTTCTGGCGAATGAATCCCGTCACATTCACTTGGCAATGATCCATCATTACTTGAAAAAGAGGCTGTGTCGTTGAGACAGTCTTCTGGAGACTTAGGCTATATTTAATCATAACAGATTTTGAAAAGATTGGTTTGGCTATCAAGAGCAAGAGATACCTGAATTTTCCTTGGCCACATCCTCCCTATAGTATATGGGGAAGTGATCAAGAAATCTTCAGTGTCTGTCCGATAAGGTTCTCCACTCACTCTTTATGAAGACCCAGAGTCAATTGCAAAACAGGTGGATCTGTTAGCCCATATGGAGAATGTATTTTCTCAGCTAGGTGTGAGCAAAGCCAAGCGAACCGGGTATGTCATATCCCAGTTATTATCGACAAAGGTATTTCTCCGACACGGCCGGTAAAGCTCAAAAAACAGTCTCAGCGAAGCCTAGAGCTGACGAAAAGACTGCCGAACAGTAATCATCACTCTGAGGGCAGCTATCAGGGATAATTAGTTCTGGATAGAATCGATGTATATGATTAAGAGATAGCGTACTCCCAGGGTTTCATTCAAATCGCTTGAGGGACATAGGAGGCATGGGACGAGATACCACAATCACCCTAAAAACTATATTGTTAAAGCTTTGATGAGATACACAACTAACGTTGTCGCAATCAATAGATATTATTACTATGGACCTAACCGTACTGCAAATTCCAATCAGACTAGCAAAAGGGTATATTAATCATTGATTATCAACCTTTAATTAATAGTGATAAGGAAGGTAATATGACGCTATTATAAGTCGCCTCTAAATAGCAACTGTGAGAGTGAGTGGCAGACATAGTCCATCATTGCTCATCAGGTAGGAACTCGAAACCCGTAGTCACCCATCAGACAAACTAGAGCCGTGTTGAGATCTTGCGCTGTAACAGCTTAAGCATGTGCCCTGTAATGTTGCGTTAGTGATAGAGAAATCATCCGGGGACTCCTTCAGTGACAGACTTTTTATACCGGGCATATTCTTTTATTAACTGTTTGGCAGGCGTCCAAGTGTTCGGATTCTTCAAGCAGGGGACGAGCTTTTCACAGTTCCTTTTGTCGACGTATTTCAGCATATCCATGTTCATCATTCCCCATCCAAGGGCCTCCCCAACTACACATGATTTGACCTCTTTAAGATCATCTGCCTTGCAGTAATTGTGGCTGGGTCTTGTACATTTCATCACAATGTGGTCTGCAAGCCTTTCGAATTTCGGTTTGTAATTTGGTAGATCGGGTTTCTGAGAACATTTTCTCACATTGTTGATCATTGCCTGCATGTGAGGCTCGAGCCATTTCCAGTCTGCCTTACTGGGCTTTATGCCCTTACTGCAGACCTGTGCATTGAACACAGGGCCTAGTTGGCTCTGTGCCACCTGGCCGATTGCGCCCATATTATCCATACACATCTTATCGACCATTGCATTGCTGGCTGAGATGCAGAGGACCAGAAAAGAGATAAAGGAGGATATCCACCGCATATTGACGACAATTGATAGGATGTGGGTAGCTTGATTGATTGGGTGAAATGAAGAAAGGTTGAATGAGTGGTATACAGAATTATACTGAGGGTCACTGGTCACTGGGTGGTATATATAGCATTTGCGAATGACCTCTAACGGGCTGGTCAACGAACTCCGTGGTTGAATATTGGGGTTCTGGATTCGGTTGAGGCCCTAGAAACTATCTTCGGACTATTGTTTTTTGAATTTCACTGCCACTGCTTTGGGATACAATATCATATCATGTAGGCGGTCATAAGTAGGGGATTCGATAGTTTTGGTCTTGTTAACATACACCCTACTCGGTCAGTTCTGAAGAACAATTCCTCTTTCGGTATACGAGCTGAAGAAATGGATTGGACCCTGAGCTAATGGGAGTCTATCATGTTAGCCCGATCAGATTCTTGGATGTATCACTTCTTAACCTACAAAAGAAAATCTTTCAGTGATGATCACTGCTATCCTTAGTTAAATCGAATGTTTCAAAATCAAAATGAGATATGTGATATTCAGCAGATCAATCAATAGATAGGAAGTCCTATGTACTAGTCATTATGCCGACCCACCTAGAAATAACGTAGTTCAGTAGGTAAGGCTGTGCGCTGTTAGCTACCTTAATTGAAATTTCCTTTTATTGTGGGTTCAAGGGAATTTTTCTATGGAGAATTGATTGAGACACCTATTTTAATTGCTTATACCGGATAAATTCCCTATATGAGAGTTGCTTATGTCGAGGTTGTACTATAGTAAATAACATCGCGGAGCTTTGGGGGAAGCAAGTAGTAAGTTTAGCGCTTGAATTCGACACGGGCTGAGCCGAAGTGAAATTAACTCTATCTATCGCAGCCGGAACAGGAAACATGACAGAGCCAGGCTGCCTTGCAAGTGGTTAGCTTCTTCCGAAGTGTCTCTATATGGACACGTCAGGCAATGTTTAGATGACTGCAATAGTTTAACTAAACGCTAAGTCTACATGGATTTCCCCTCAGCGTGGAAGCTTCACTGGACATTCAATCAAACATTATGGTAGATGACGTTCAAGGGCATCCGAGTAAACGTGGAGAGACCTGATAATGATTACTAGTACTGTGTCTGTACTTGAAAGCCAGACTCCAGAGATTCTCCCATGATGCGAACCACTTCACTTTTGAGAGTATTGTTAGAAAGGTCTTGTTTATTAGTATATTCTCCTGCAGGAATATATAAAGACCTATGTAATACATTTACCAACGGTTTATGCGTCACCTGCAAGAACACGGTTGCCACCAGTTGTCGGCCTGAGGCACCCTACGTGGACCACCCCGATGCAGTTCTTCCTGCAATGCGCGACTGTGAGCGGCATGCAGCCGTTCACTTGCATATGATATAATGCAAGCTGCACTTTGAAATATACTTTCCAATTCTTGCTTGATGAGGAAAATCTGAAATCTTCTCATGTTTTCGGATCATGACGAGCTGTACTTTGGGCTGTCGCTACGATGAAAGATAAAAAACAATATGGGATCTCACTACGGAGTACTCTGTGCATACATAGCGTCCGTGGCAATAGCACTTATCAGGGCGGTATTCCATGACAGACAAATAAATCTTAAACTATACATAGATATACCTTTTTGAGCTACCGTGCCCGAAAGGTAACAGTGACAAGGCTCAAGTTGACAAGTTCAACGTGATGGAGCAGGACAATATTCACATGTATGATAATGAAGCTTGCCCCCTCCTCCTTGCTGGAAGCGTACGTAGTCTTGGTATTCTACTAATCCGGATTAGTGAATCGTTAGTACCTCAGGCGACTCTCGTCGTCCCCACTTCAGCCTCAGCCACTTTTCCTCCTAAAATAGTACTAGTACAGAGGAAAGCTGCGTGGCTGCCTACATACGTACAATCCCCATTGACTATTGACTCTTCACCGCCACTCCTCGGCCCAAAGGTATTTCTGTTACTCCGATTTACTCACTCGATCCTCTCCTGATGGTCTCAAGTGGGGAAAGTATTACACTTGTCCCAAACAAATACTCTCTCTCCACTTAATGAGCCAAAAAAAGGAAGAAACGCTAACCTGGGCTGAGGAAATGAAACAAGTTATTGTTCCATTCCCAAGGCAGGGGCGTAACCCCGGATGGAACCTCTTCGAGTGCTTTGCGGGTTTGCAAGGCATTATGGAATCCTTTTCCGAGAGGATATTTCCTTCCCACAGTTGTTCGGCACTGTTGACGTGGATGTCCTGGCATATGGTGTCGGTCGCCGACAAGCCTTGGGACAAGAGAAGCTTGGCGGAGAGTGGAAGAGGGCTCGGGTCGACCGGGCTTCACGGCTGCCGGAATTTGTGGCTCCGTGGCTGATGACCGTATTTTTAGTTGATGCGCCCAGGAGTAAGGCTGAGGGGCCACGACCCAGTGTGGACCCATTCGATCGGCGCCGCATCATCTCTGGAGACACGTATGTCCCATTCATTGTCCCTACGGTGTGTTCCGTTCATGAGAAGGGTGAAATGGTTTCGCCCTTAACCCCATCGCCTCTCCTCTATATGAAGCTTGTACTGTGTACGGAGTAGCCGCCCTTGAACCTTCGATGCCTAAGGCAGGATCCGATTGAACGAGCAAAACGCGCTCAGTGCTTGCTACGTACCTACGATTTCTCTGTCGGGAAATGAGGACCTTGATCCACTCCAACCTTTGTTACATTTCAAGCCACGCCCCTCTCCTCTGCCAAGAGCCCCGACAACTGGATCATGTCCATTAAACCCATACCATGGTTGGATTCAACAAAACCATCCTCTGGTACTGGAGGAAGCTAAGCGCCAGCGTCTCCTCATCTCGGTGTCTTGGCGGTGGCTGATGTACATCCTCGCACATCAAAACACTCCTATCAGTGATCTCCTCCTATCCCGCACCCCGCTGTTATGCTTTTGGTAACGTGGCAGTCTCTGCGTCTGATCACTGGATGTGACCTGTTCGATTGGTCCACCACCCACCGCATGGGTTGCCTCCCTTCTCGCCTAGGTCCGAAATCCGATCCTCATGAGATGAGATAGGTGGGGCAGAGAGCAACGTAGGCAGATGGAGGGGTAGCGATAAGCTGAAGAGTACGCCAGCTTGGTGGGGTGTGTCGGGGGTATATTAAGATGTATCGCACCCCCTGCTGCTCAGACTATTCTTCTCATCATTCTCTGCAAAATATCCTGCTCATTTCATCCATCTCCATCTCCATCTCCATCTTCTCCATTTTTACTTCTTTTCCATCTCATTTAAATCATTCACAATGGCTTGGGGCTGGGGTAAGTCATGCTTTTCCCGTCAAACATCACCGAATGCATCCAAGTTCTTCCTCATGCGAGCTATGAAGGGTTCCCCTGCTTGTCGGAACGCAGGCTTCTCATGATGGCGGGGTAGTTGATTTTCATATGGCTGTCGATGGCTGACAAAATTCCCTTTATAGGAGAATCTGAGGAGGCTCACCGCCAGGTGCAGGAGGGGAACCACGAGGGTCACCTCTCTCACCAGCTCATTGCCGGTGCCGCGACTTATGCCGGCATGAAGGCTTGGGAGGATCACCAGCGCAAGAATGGTAGGTGAACACTGGCTGTGGCTTGACTCTTCCTCCCGCTCCGTATGACCGCGCCTGTTAACGCTTCTGGAACCACAATAGGCGAAGAAGTCGAGCACGGCACTGCCAAGGCACTCCTTGCTAGCTTTGCCGTTGCTGGAGTTGAGCGACTCGCCGAGACCAAGGGTTTAGACAAGGTCGACGAGATAAAGGCTAAGAAGCACGCTAAGGAGAACGCCGAAAAAATGTACGAAGAGCATTACGAACAAAATGGTCCTCGCTTTAACCCCCAGGAGCACCCACCCCACCCGTCCTTCGAACGCAATCGCTTCGACGAGCACCCACACCCCCAACCACACCACCACGAGGAGGCCGCACGCTTGGACAAGTGGTAAATATTTCACGAACGGAGTGAACAGGGATATTGCAGGAGACGATCCTCATCAGTTCCAGGTGATGACGTATGTAAATAGAAATAAATGAATAAATAAATATCCGCGAAAGCAACCCTGTCAATTTGTCCGTTCTCTCGGTTATTCTCCAGTGCATATAAAGGTTCCTTCTGCGATTGACATAAAAAACAAATAATCTCCCTTGGCAAATACCGACGCGCCTTGGCAGGTTTAGTTCAAAGTACAAGAGTTATGTAGGATTCCGCAGAGTTCGGAAAGTCATTAGAATATCAATCTTTGTGGGGGATGCAAGTGCCGAGGGATACTGGTGAGGTACTTCAAGAATCTAAGAGGTTAATACGAGAGGATCAGGTACTTCCCATGTACCTGGTGAATGTCCCGCAGAGGATGCTGTAATCAATTCGATCAGGATGACAACATAGTTGGTTAGTTACTCGTAGTAGTAACTAAAGGGACTGGTCTGAGTAATCAATTTTCGACTTCTGGTCACTGACTCAGCTGCCCAACTGGACTTTGGAGCCAGTAAGGGGAATCGAATTGAACCCCACCAGAACCAACCACAAATGAAGTCTCGTCGACTGCCGCACGTGCATATCTCCGGGCCTATCAGGGTGTCATTAGACCAATGATGGTCGGCCCAGATCGACCTGGATGCCCTGGCCCAAAAAGGATCCCCCGATGGTTGTTGGCAAAAGAGTAGGAGGACCTACGAATGAACGAACGAACGAACGTACTTCAATCACCGGGAAGATCTATCAGTCATGATTGTCCTTGGCGAGCACTGAATGGTTGAAAATTCTTTTATCTTTATCTTTTTCTTTCTTTCTTTCTCTTTTTCCCCCTTCTTTTTTTTTCTTAAAAAGAAACCACCCGTTCCTTTCCCTTTGTGGTGGTGGCTTTCTCACTCGTCTCTTTTTTACGTTGACAGCTCCATTGCTATACTCCGATCAATTCTCCTGATTGCCACGTCTTCCCTTCCCTCATGATGATATAAAGAGCGACCAGAGAGCGTCGGACTCCGCAAGACATTCACCATTAACGAACCCACCCTCGTCTAAATTGAGACTTTCGACCACTTTCTCACCACTGCTTGCCTCACTATCATGCACTCTTAAGCTCCCCTCTCCCGCAGGATGAAATTCGCCAAGTTGGTTCCACTGCTGCAGACCAATTCACATGCATAACGGCTAACGTTGGAGTCCACAGAGAGCTGGAACAGGAATTAGTTCCAGAATGGCGCGCCAAATATCTCGACTACAAGGTTTGATCCCACTGTGTGTGTTTGTTTCACTATGCCTTTTTTTTTTTTTTCGCTGGTTGCCCCCGATCTGACCGTCTCGTTCGGGTTGTAGGCGGGCAAAAAGAAACTTAAAGCCATTTCACGGGCACTCCAGAAGACCAATCGAAGTCCCAGCCATTCGTCCCTCCGACAGGTCAACCATGGCGATCCATCGACGGTAACAGCCAGTGGTCCCGATCCTCCCTCCTCTTTCCATCAACCCGACAGAAAGCATCCAGCCACCGACCCGACTTACAACCCGACATCACCAGTCAGAACTGGCTCCCGGACATCACGCTCCACCCCCGGTCGACGAAGCGAGCGCCAGCCTCTGCGAGTGCCCGGCTCCCGGTTCTCCACGACGGTAGGAAGCTATGGAAGCATACTCGCAACACCACCGCTGCAGGCCGGCTCTTCTGATGTGGCTTCGTTCGAATTACCGGACCCAGCGATAGACTTGAAGGTACATGATTTTGACCCGAATAGCGAGATCGCCCGTCAAGATGAGCCCCGAAGCCCTTCGCCAGTTATGGCGCGCAATGGCAGCACGAGGACCGTACCCGAAATGCCCCCGCGAAGCCCGTCCGCCAACACCGATAACGACTTCAAGAGAAACACATTTTCCGGCTCGAACAGCAAGCGAGCCTCCCAGATGCTGAAGCGGGTACTCACATACACTGAGGCGCAGGAAAAGCAGGAGGATCAACCATCGTCGGAATTCCACCGGCGGCAAGACGAGTTCTTTGCATTCTTAGACAATGAACTGGCCAAGATCGAATCGTTCTACCAGATGAAGGAAGAGGAGGCTACTGAACGCTTGAAGGTACTCAAACAACAACTTCATATTATGCGCGACCAACGGATACAGGAAGTTTTGAGCAATAAGAAGGGTAAAGCGCAGAACGGACACGTGAACAAACAAACCGGTTTTGGGGGCCTGAACGGTTCCCGGTTAAAGGAGGCCTTTGTGGGACATCGAATCGGGAAGAATTCCAAGGCATTGGCCGAATTAGCCACGCCAGCAGCAAATCAAGGACAGGATGCAGATGTTGTGAACCGCCGCAGGGACTTCTCGCGTCGACCCGATGATGTAGCAAATCATGAGGTTTCCTATCGTTCTGCCAAGCGGAAGCTTAAACATGCGCTGCAGGAATTCTACCGCGGCGTGGAGCTACTGAAAGCGTACGCCTATCTCAATAGGACAGCCTTTCGCAAGATCAATAAGAAGTATGATAAGGCCGTTAACTCCCGTCCGCCTCTCAGGTACATGTCGGATAAGGTCAACAAGGCGTGGTTTGTACAAAGCGAGGTCACCGAAAACTTGATGGCCGCGACGGAGGATCTTTACGCTCGCTATTTCGAACGCGGAAACCGCAAGATCGCCATCTCCAAATTACGCAAAACACTCAAGAAATCAGGCGACTACTCTCCGAATACGTTCCGTGCCGGCCTTCTCCTGATGGCTGGTATATTGTTCGGCATTCAAGCTCTGATATACGCCAGTCAGCATTTCCATCACCCCGATCCCATGATACCCATCCACACCAGCTATTTACTTCAGGTTAGTTTGAACGACTCTGCGATAGACGCCATGTTTTGGCTACATCAGTCATGGCGGGACTAACTTGAACAGATATACGGCGGCTTCTTTCTCATAGTCTTTCACTTCTTACTATTTTGCTTGGATTGCATTATATGGACGAGGAGCAAAATCAACTATGTCTTTATATTCGAATATGATACCAGAACTGCGTTGGACTGGCGTCAGCTAACTGAGGTATGGACAACTCACATACCTCTCTCGCATTATAGCTAACGCCTAAGCAGCTACCTTGCCTATTCATGTTTCTGTTGGGTCTCTTCATGTGGCTTAACTTTCTATCGGTTAATGCCATGTATATTTATTGGCCAGTCGTGCTTATAGGGATAACGGTAATCATCCTTTTTCTGCCTGCCCGTATACTTTATCATCGCAGTCGAAAATGGTGGGCATATTCCAATGTGAGTGAACCTGCAGCTATATTCTGGAATGGTCAGGCTGACAAGTAGCAGTGGCGTCTATTACTAGCAGGACTGTATCCTGTCGAGTTCCGGGACTTTTTTCTGGGCGACATGTACTGCTCGCAGACTTATGCTATGGGGGTAAGTGTCACATTTTTCTCATGACACTTCGAAGCTAATAGCGATACCAGAATATCGAGCTATTTTTCTGCCTTTATGCCAAGCACTGGACCGAGCACGCGCAGTGCAATTCTTCTCACTCCAGACTATTGGGATTCTTCAGTTGCCTTCCGTCTGTATGGAGAGCTTTGCAGTGCCTACGACGATATGCTGACACACGAAACGTTTTCCCGCACCTGCTGAATTTCGGAAAGTACATCTTTGGGGTTCTCTATTACGCCACCCTGAGTATGTATCGCATCGACAGAGTGACCCGATTCCAGGCCCCGTTCATCACGTTCGCGTTATTGAATGCTGTCTATTGCTGCGTTTGGGACCTTGCTATGGACTGGAGCTTAGGGAACCCATATGCGAAACACCCCCTGTTACGCGAAGTCCTGGCTTTCCACAGAGCCTGGGTCTACTATGTAGCTATGGTTGCCGATGTCGTAGTGCGATTCAACTGGATATTCTACGCCATATTCGCTCACGACATCCAACATTCAGCTGTGCTCAGCTTTGTGGTAGCGTTCTCGGAGATTTCACGAAGGGGTATATGGACGATATTTAGAGTGGAGAACGAACATTGCACGAATGTTCTGCTTTTCCGAGCGTCAAGAGACGTACCCCTACCTTATGAAGTGGCCTCCCCACATACAGAATTGGACCAACCAACCGAAGAAATGGTGGTTCAAGAGCCACAGCAGCCCACTCCTCAACCTCCTGCGGCCGATATAGAACATGGAACTCCGCCCACGCCTGGTACATCCCTCCGGGCACGCGGCTTATCCCGAGTGGGAACCATTCTAGCCTCCGCCCATGCACAAGACTTCCAGCGCAGAAAACGACCGGAGGATCTGGGCGGTGCATCTTCGTCTCAGAGAAACGCAGACACCCCTGACGACAGTAGCGACGACGACGACGACGACCCGACCGACACCAGACCCTATTCAGATAATATCATTGTCGAAGACTACTCCTCGTACGGAGACAACGACAGACTTTCACACTAACGACCATATTATTATTTTTATTATTATTATTATTATTATTATTGATAGCATTTGCGGCAGCACGTTTGATTTACCAGCCAAAAAGTTGCATATACCTTATTCATGGACATAATTATGATGGCATATAGAAATACATAGTCTAATAGGGATAGATTGACGATTGACCTTTTTTTTTTTTTTGCAATGAAAGATACCCTTCATCACCATGGCAATTCAACACCTCGATGATCTACATAAATAATCTTTTTGCCTCAAACTCAACCATGCGCCCTACAACCCCAGACAAGAATCCTTCCCAAACCTTGAATACAGAAATCCCCACACCATCATCGAAATTACACATGACAAGGCCTCTTTCCTAATCCATCAAGCCACCTAGGTCCCAAACATACTCCGAACCACCTCTATTTCTATTGATAGCGATCCATCCATAGAACACCTCCCCAAAAGAACAGTCCACGTAATCCCCCACCCCTGCATCAGAAAAACGCACAGAAAACCCGAAAACTCTGAGAATGCAATTGTCGATCTCAAGCCCATCCCTACGAGGCCAAATATGTGGGTAATGGTCATTGATGTCGATCTCAATGATCGTTACTTGGATGGGCTATTTGCTTCGGTAAGGGCCGAGAGTTTGTTCTTTGGCTGTCGTGGGTTGCTGGGTATGTACGTAAACTTTCTTCTTTCTTGGTTGTTCACAAGAGTTTTCACTTAGTAATGGGTAATGCTCTTGGGGTGTTTGAACTTGGGAGTTTTTTTGGTTTATGTGGCTGGTATTACTTTTATATTTATCTACCGTACTCCATACTACGGAGTTGAAGAGGGTTATGGTTAGGGCTCAAACTGTTCGTTTGTGAAATGTGAGACTTTACAGCTACATAGACTCTGTGGAGTTTTGTGAACAACACAAAAAAAATTACCACTTTTAGAGCTATACACTATCCTTGCTACACCTATGTACATACTATAACCATTGTTGATCCTTCAATGCTGTTGGGCTACCCAGGAAGTGGAGCTAGCACTTAGTACGTTACTCACTATATATTTCTTCCCCGGCACACCCCAGCTTTTACCCGTGGTTATACCCCCGCATGAAATCGCAGTTAACGCGAGGTTCGATCCCCTCGATGCAGACTCAAGGTCAAGTCATCAGCAAAATGGACGACGTATGTATCCTTTTAAGAAGGTAACCCTAACTCTAACGACACGGGCCATATAACCCACTGCTATGTATGAACCAACCCAATACAAAGCTCAGTCTCTTCATGAATACCGAGGGAAACTTACCTGCGAGATTGGAATAAACCTACATACATTCGAATCGAGGGCATTTATAGCTAACAACTAATACACACAAAGTATCTACGTCTGCAACCAAAACAACTGAAAGAGGAGAGAGAGAGAGAGAGAGAGAGAGCTTGGCATAACTTCAAGCTTTTTATTCACGGGTCCGATTTACAATACCGGACCGGATTGAAACCCTACTAATTCTCTATGAGGAGATGTCTACGGTACGGAGTATGTACAAGACCACCTGTTCTATTACAGTTAGTAGTCTGCTCCACATTAACTAACACACGTGTCTAAAGTATCAATGTGAAATCCGTATAACTACCTCGCTGAACCTTATGCGGACTAAGTAAGGTCCATGGGCTGGAGTCATCTCTTAGGATTGGTCACACCATGTAGGACGTCTACGTACATTTGCCGAGGGGCTCAAAAAAAAAAACAACCTAATAGAAGCTTAGGGTCAAATCCATCGCGATCGGCGTGGGGCTTAGATGATATTGCCAAATAGCAGGTCGTTTCCGTTGGCTGACGGGGCCGTGATCAGCGTGGGGGCCAGACCAAGGCTGCAAAACAAGCTCTAAGATGCCTTTTTCATTTATGAGAGGCTAGACCTATCCGGGTAATCCAGATGCACCACGAATCAAATGCGTGACTGGAGAGCCATGACTTGCGTAAGGTTAGGGCTGTTTTACTACGGAGTACTCGGTCTGAGCTGGTCTGATGCGGGGAGATCTAATTATAAAAAGGTTGAATGAAGCCCCCGTTGGGGGCTTCTGAGGAAGGACATTTCCTTCCTCAGGTATTTTCGCAACTCTTGCGCATTGCAAACATGACCATGATGGATTTTTGGAGAAGGAGCGAAGAAGTAGGAGGAGTAGGAGTCGGTGAAGAGTGTGAGCTGGTGGGAGAGGAAATGGCTACCTTGGTGGGCAATGGGGTAAGTAGAGCTACACCTACGCTTACACACTTTCACTACGATGGAAAGAAAACATGCCGTTTAGGGCCATGCTAACTATCAGAACAGGTTCTTGTTGGTTTCGCCGGCCAAGCCCTCTTATCCTTATGCCTGTCGGCGTGGGTGTTCTTCCTAACCAAACACGGGAACATGGATATCACATATCCCGAAGGGTCTATTAAGCGAGAGATCGAGCGCAAACGCCTAGACTTCGTTTCGAATATTCTAATGATCGGATCGGACATCCAATCGACGCTCGGTATATCCTACATGGTCACGGTCTTCTCGCAGTCCCAAATCATGGATCTATACCACTTGCACCTCGTCTTTGATATTGTCAGCTTCGTCGGCGTGTCGAACACAGCCGCCCTCGTCTGTTGGCGATTCGTCCGTGCGAAGATCGAGGCTTCAGACATAAGCCCTGAATCTAAGAGCAAACGCAAACGCATATCTTATTGGCATGGTCGCTACCGCGCCACCTTCATCTTCGTCATGTTATACCTAGCCCTTCTCATTCTCCTCTGCGTCCGCCTCAACGATTGGGCTCCTGACACTGAACCCGGCCGCTGCTACTTCTCGCACTTAGTAACTAGCCCACATGCCTCCCACCCCGGCGACGACCAGATCTACGTATCCATCACCGGCAGCTGGCTTATCGTCGTCATCCTTTCCAGCGTCTTCGTCGGTGTTCGCGGGAGACGTTGGATTCTGCTCCTCGCCTCGCTCCATTTTCCCCTGCACCTTTATATGGCGATTGCACTGCGACAGGCAAACCAAGGCAGGTTCGAGGGCGAGGTCAAACACGAGAATGAGTGGGACTTTGGACAGACGACAGCGGTGGTTCTCCTGGGTATTGCCGTGGTCGAACTCATCACCAAGGGAAAAGAGTATTATGATTTCGAGAGATATGTGACGAAGCATGGTGCTCTGCCCGGTGTAAATGAAAATGGTCAAGGGCCCCAGAAAGATGTGGAAGCTATTGGGAATGGAGCTACATATCCCCTTGAGACGTTGTCGGGTAAAGATGAACAGAGCCCTGAAGCAAGGCACTTGCTGTCGAAGAGACATGCTACATCTCCACCTTGAAAGGGCTAGGTAAGAGAAACTGCGCTGGGAACGCAACCAAAGTTAGAAAGAACGCTCTTTGACAACTATGATGATGATGACGATGAACACATTTGTGAGGGTTTATGTATGTACATATCTGGGTATTATACTTTTGTAACGGGCTACGGCCTGATAATATAGATCGCTATAATTCTGCTTTCATGACGATTCCGCTGCGAACGCTTCCTGTTTTCTTCTAAGCTTTTGGTAGAACAATCTGTGGTCTATTGGGATTGAATCAAGTCTTGCCTTGGCCCTGTACAATATTGACTCTAACACTGGCCTGGTCACTAGCAGGCCGCCCGTCTGGACAGACAGGGAGTCCGGTTGGGCAGGCGAACTTGCAAGGGACATGGCGATGGATGCAAGACAGAGGGAGAAGTGGAGAGGACACAGCGAGGTTGAGTCATTTACATCTTCGATATGTCCTTGGTCTCTCTTTCGTCCTTTCCTGTCTATGTGTCTATGCGTCGATGTTCTTTACATGGGTCATTCTCAATTTTGATACCACTCATACCGGTAGGATGCCAAGCTTCCAGAGGATATTGTCAATTGTCAATAATTCAGAGCTCCAGAGCACAACCTAAAATATTGTATATCACATATAGCAGCAGAAAGAGAAAAAATAGAACGCCAGAAACAGGGCTAAGTCAAGGGCAAAAAGACCTAGCATGGTTATTAGACATATGGAAACAAGCCCAATTTGACGGCAGGATACAATTAAGTCATCTTCATCAGACAATCAGCAACTGCGACACAATTTGTCTTCCCAGCCGGCTTCGCTCATAAGCAACCAACTTTGATACACAGGTTTAGTTGTTTTGCTGGTTGTTAAGGATCCGGAGGATAGCCAGGAACAGGTTCAGAATATCCAAGTAAAGCGAGATGCTCGCGGCAATCTCCTCCTCAACATGGTAGTGTCTCATGATTAACTGCGTGTCAACAAGAATATAACCGGAGAAGATTAACGCCGCCAGTCCGCTGTAGATGAGCTCAACGGTAGAGCTGTTAGGGAGGAACGCGGCGACGAAGCCGAACAGGATCAAGAACCAGAGCGCACCAAACAGGTACGGCATCCAGTTCGTGAAATCGTACTTCGTCTGGCATGCGAAGAGCGTGAGCGCAACGAACATGCCGAGCGTCAGGATAAGGGCTTGCACTACGATACGCGCGTCATAGAAGGACGTCACGACACTGATGGAGTAGGCCTCGAGAACCGTGAAGGCTGTCAGGAAAAGAAGGTTCGCCGGGTAGCTCTTGCGCTTCCAGTATGTTACGAGCATGAAACCCAAGGCACCAAAGACTGAGACGATCATCAGCCAGAAGTTGGACTGGATCCATAGGCGGTAGCTGTCGCTGAAGAAGGAGATCGAGCTCATAATGGTTGTTAGAAGGAGCTGGGCGGTTCTGGGTGTTTGAAGCTCATGTTAGTCTCGCGATCATGCGCTTGTTCATCGAATAAGGGATTGTTGGTATAGGGCTGAGACGTACAGGATGGCATAGACCTTCCGGACGAATTGCATCCGGATAGGTAACGTTCCTTCTGCGACCATTCCACCGAACTGGGTTGTGTTAGCATCATTTCATTTCATTTTTATTTTGCTTTGCTCGTTTTGTAAGGCGTGGTTGATTATCGAAAGACATAGTGGATACATACTTTAAAGTCATCGGGAACATTGTCATCCTCACTGCGAGGCGCTTGGGAGTGTTCGGCCGTTGCCTGATAAGATGGCGGGGGCTGAGTGTATGCGCGGTCTTCAAACGAGTCCCGCTGAGGAGCTGGCTCATATCGAGTATTAGCAGCCATAGTGCTAACCGATGTGTCGATAGGATATCAATCTAGAGGAAAGCGCAGCATGCAAGTCGATGGCGAAAGACGTATTAGAATGGGATTGAGAGATGTGAGATGACAATCGATGGGGGCCTACGGGAGCTTCTAGAACGTGACGTCGGATGCTATCACGTGATGCTATATGGCTTACTGCCTCGGGCGAGACATACATCGGCTTGAATTTCATTCTTTCGTCAATATTAGTATTTCGAGCTGCGACAATATATTGGACAAATCCTCGTTCTTACGTGTATTTGTAGCAATGGCTCTCCACACAGAACAGAGACCGTGTGGCAGATCATAGTGTCGCTCATAACGTCCGATCTACTCCTCTTAAGCGATGTACATATATAGGGTAAGGTAAAATATTAACACTGTGAAATCATACTAAATCTTTATATATATAATATAGACATAGAAGCAAAAAGGACTGGAAGAGAAAGAAAGGTACGCAATGAGAGAATGCCACATATCCTAAATCAGACCGAAATACTGATTGATCAACCAAAACATATCCACAACGCCTGTCAATGGTATAGTAGTATTGATTCAAGAGTGAACCAAAAGTAAACCTGTTTCTCTAAACCAACGGAGACGCAAATGAGAAAAGGAAACGGAAAGGAAAGTGAAAAGGGAGAGAGGAGAGCAATGAGCGTATGGGAAGAATAAAGAATTGGTAGTAACGGAACTGAAGAGTCACGAGTTACCTGTCTAGCAGAAGAAAAAGATGCCCTGCGGCATCGATAGGGCGATATATCAATCTAATCGTTTCTAATGTGAAGCGATGAAAAGTGAGTTGGTGATGAGACAGACAATCATGACGATGACTCCGTATATTGCGAGTGCCAGACTCAGCTTCCGCAAAACGGCCTTTCGCCAATGACGAGTTCCGCGGCGAAGGATGCCACTCTCAGTAAGCGAGTGCGCCTGGTTGTCTAGATCATCGTTGTCATCACCATCATCGGAAAATATACCTTCAGCCGCTTCGTCATCTTCTTTCATCAGTCGTTGGTGGGCAGGTGAGTCAGGCGAGGAGATCTTATAATAGAACAACCCTGGGAGAATGAAACTAATGCTGGTACTGCCTGTGCTGCCAACGTACGCAAGCACCGCTTCGAGAGAAGAGACGGTCATAGCAACAACGTAACTTAGCACTAAGATTGTCGTGGTAATGACTGAGAAGCGAAGATCACTCATGGGCTCGGGTGTTCGGTTCCCTCGTGGACCTAGCAAAGGATGGCGGTGAGGCGAATTGTCGTTATTGTTTGAAGACTTAGGTTTCCACTTCAAAACTGCATCAACCGAGGCGCGGCACGGGTGGCATTGAAGGGGGTATGAGAACATGACCAGCATAACGATGGCAGCGCGTCCGATTGTCGCCCATAGCCCAGGGGGGTACATGCCGACGATATTTCCTCCAACCTTGTCCCCAAACGAAAGATAGCCAGTAATGGCGACAAGAACGTATGTAGCAGCAGAACTTCCAATACTGGCAAAGACAACCCCGGTGGTCCTAAAGTGGCTATTGTTTGCGATCTCGTTCAATATCGAAAACATCTGTCCGGCAATTAGAAACAAATCTCAACCCGATGGAAAAGAGGGCAAAACTATACATTCTGGTGGCATGTGAATGCGAAGACAATCACAGGAAGACTGCTAAGCATCGGAACGGGACCGGCCCAGTGAATCACACGAACTGGGCCACGATCCGCCATTGTATCACCAATCACGAAGTGGTAGAGAACCAAAATCACCAAATAGGCCATCGAAACCAAAGCTGCAATGCTGGTGTACTTGAGGGAATCTAACCGGCGAAGGTAAGAGAGTGGGATAACAACCAACCTGGTGTCTGTGGTCAGTACGAGTTGAGCTTCCAGCACAAAGCAACATACATAAAAGCTGTTACCCAGAAATGCCGGTCCACCAAGAAGTCATAGTCTGGGGTGCCACCAACAAAACCCTGAACGACTCCCGGCATTAGGTCTCCAATGATGATTAGGTAGCTGACTCCAACTCCGAAACACTTGATCGCAATGGCGGCATCGAAGATCACGGCGGCATTAGGGTAGGTAAGCTGGGACAATGCGAAGAATGACGCCGTTCCCCGGTCCAAGTACTGTGCACATCGTGACTGAAGGTAGAGACCGAACCCCGCCGTCATTCCAGACCATAATATCACGATGACACCCAAAACGATTCCCATGTGAGATATAGCCAGAGGCATAGCAAGAACACCGGCGCCGACGACTAACATATCACACCGGTATTAGAGAATAGATTTCAAACTGACCGCTTATTTGTCTACTCACTCGTATTAACCAAATTGATCACACAGCTGATCCAGCTGGCTTGACCATGAAACCCCGGGTCCCGTTTCCCTCTTATTCCACGCCTACAGGATGGGCAAGTACCCCTAGTTAGCAACAAGCGACCATTAAAGGGCAATATCAATGCTTGGAAATTGTATTCAAGATACCTTCGCGACGCGTTTCGAAGTCCCTCTGCGGGACCAACCCCGACAGTAGCCTCATCATCCAACATTTTGTGGGGTCGTGTAGGGCGATCGAGTCAGTAGATAAGAAGGTGGCCACACGACGTCGGAAAAAAAGCTGTTATCAACCAACTCAAGTTGCGACCGGTGTGACCAACATAATAGCCACTCGTACCAGCAACGCAACCAGGCGAAGGTGGATGAGGGAAAGAAAATAGAAAAGAAAGCGAGCGAGAAGGAGAATAAAAGGGTAAAAGGGGAAAAAAATCAAGGGTAATACCAGAAGATAAGGGAAGATGACAGGTTTGAGGATGTTGCCAGCCACGGGCGGAGTTGCGACAAGGCGATAAATCGACGGGCACTAGACCCTTTCCGATCGCTGGGCGGATTTTCTCCGCATTTGATGACCTGGTTTGATTCAAGATCACGGGAAAAGGGATCTTTTTACCCGTTACGTTCTCTGTTCTCGATCTAATAGAATCTACTACTGTACCATGTTCTGCAAGGGAGAGAGCCATGGAAAAGGATGTTCTTAATTACTAAATAAAGGCCATGTCTCAGATGTTTTCCCTTCACAATTTCGGTGTTCCCCATCCTTTCTGCGATAATGACCCAAAGACTTCGTCTTCTAATACGTTCATATCCGACACCGTATTACCGGCTCTTGTCCCAGGGCCCGGATCATTAATCGCACTCACAGAGCGCACGGTCTTGGACACCTCCAGCACAGTTCCTCCACTTACTGGAAACTGTGGTCCTTGACCTGTCCTGTCACCGATAATTTCACTAACCTGGTCCTGTTGAATGAGAGCTAACATGACTTGAGCTACCTCCTCGGGGGTGACCCATTCATCATTCGCTGTATCTACTATCTTTAGCTTCTCCGGATGGTCGGTCCACAATGGGGTCTTTATCACGCCAGGGGCAACGGCTGTCACGCGAATTCCAAACTTTTTGTCAAGTTTGCCCAGCGACCGCACAAGGCCGTTGATACCGTGTTTGGTAGCGACATAAATCGGAGCTGCCAAGGCTGGATTCTGGCCCGCAATGCTGGAGATATGAACAATGTGTTTAGGACGACCGTTCGTCCGACGGCGAATGAAATGGGCCAGAGCAAGTTGCGTAGTGCGAATCGGATGTGTCAAATTGATATCTAGCAGGGCATATCGGTTGCCATGTTGCGCGTCTCGACTTTCAGGAGTACCGGGAGGGCGCCAGAAATTGCTCCAATGCTACACGACCAATGGTGTGAGAACAATGGCTTGAGGCATTGAGTGGCGGTGTGCCATCGTAACCTGCAGATTGATTGACATTTGAATGAAGAAACGTACCGGTTCGTAGACACCAGCTCCAGGGCATACTACATCAATTTCCCCGAACTCCTTCTCGGCGACCTCGAACATCTGCTCAAGCTGTTTCCAGTCGGTCACGTCTGTCCTCTGAAAGACGGCTCGGGGACTACTGGACGATGTCGAGTATTTATTAACAAGCTCCTGTGCCTCCGGACGAAGCGCTAAATCAGCAATGAGTACATTGCATCCATGCTCCAGCAGCAGTTTGGCGAAAGCAAAGTTAATTCCTGCCCTCGTAGTTTAGTAAACTCCCTTTGACTCCGAATGTAGAAGAAGCACTGGTTATCCTGCACATACCAGAGCCTGCCCCAGTCACGATGGCAGATCTTCCTTCGACGGGGAATGACATGTTGAAGGAGAGATGAGCGAATAGTCCTTCAGAGAGGAGTGTAAATGTCCAGGGAATTGAAGTTGGATCCTACGGTGACTTTATACGGCCCGCAGGCATTCCCAGGACCTTCGGGGATCACTGCTGCGTCGACGGTGGCTGTAGTTCCCCTCTTGGGAAACGTGGAGTGAATTCGCGGGGCTGCATTAACCCGAGGGTAGGTGGACCGACTCGGAAAGAAAACCGAAGTTTGTCATACTGAGCTTTTATGCAATAATGGATAGCTGTATAGAGTATTTAGGTTCGTACTACAAGTGTACGTAGTATGTAGCTCCATGCCTGGATTTGGATAGATAGGTGCTCCCCTCGATGTGTATAGATATGAACCTAGTATACTTACTGGGTATTCAAGGGTGTCGTAAGCCTTTCCTTTTTGGATAAATCCCGGGGCTTCAATCCACTAATCAGGGTCCAGACTCAGAGACCTTGCTCCGGGAGTATTTCGTATCACGGACCACTGCTCCAGTAAGCGCTCGACGGCCTGCTCAGGGAGCAGTCATGTGATCCAGCAATTGTTCGATATCGACGTTGGAAGTAACTCTTGGATTTCGGAAACGGTCACATATTCGTTTGACTTGGACAGGTCGGAATGGAATCTCCCAGAATAGCAAAGGCCGCACTACCAGTTTTACCCTCCAATGTCGCCAGGGATGTCGCAAAAGCAGGGATCAGAGATAGCTGCTCTTGTTGATTGTTAGTTATTCCTAAACAAGCTCAACAGTGTTGATGTAGCTTTCCACAAAGCCGGGGCTCCGGTCCTGGCTGCCCAAGGGCCAATCTGATATTAGATGGTTACCAAAGGTCAAAGTGATTAAGCCCGCTGTGTTAACTGGGAATCGAAAATCCATGGTGCCGCTTCAAGCTCGGGTTGGATTACCCTTCAGGTCCACATTGAAGAGCACGCTCACTTCTATGTTTAACAAAAATTGTAAAGCGAGGGCAGACCTTCTCGGATGGATTTGATCTTGATGCTCTGAAACATTCAGTATCTTGCTGCAAAATCGATGTTGAGCGGGCTCTAGCAGCGGCTCTGCTGCTTTTCCCAGTTCATCGGAATCATCAATACAAGCAGCTGAACTGCGTCGCATGTTTTACAGGTCTTCATGCTCGTGTATGATTTCAAAGCTCATCACAGGCACATCTTCATTTTCCAATATATCACGGGTGGGTTCATCGCTGCGATCCTGAATCACTGTTCCAGCCTGGATGCTCCCTGATCCTCTCTCATAAAGTGAACTTCATCCCAGCCATTGCAGCATATAAGCAAAGTCGGTGCATGGGTTGATCTGTTTCCCATTTATTCTGTTTCCCGGAAATGCTCAGATGATACTTCATGCCACGCTTGTGATCCACAAACTTCTCTGACTGTATCCAGGCCTGCAGAGAGTGGCCACTTACGGTAATTAGTAATGCTTGTTGAACGATTAATGAGAATTGCCCTCAGAAAGATAATCAGAAGAAATAAAGACATACAAACATTAAAAGCTATGTAGGTTATTGACTCTGGACGTGCTCAGGAGATCATTGACATCTGGGCTGTTGGTTGAAATGGTAGAATATAATTTTGAAGATGGCTTTCTCCAACCGTCAATGATGATACGGAGGTGTGTACTTTTATTTAGGTGGTTAGAAATTTATTCCCTAATGGATAAGGGCTCCCAGTCTGTATAGTACTAACGTAAATCAAATTACCATTCTGGTATTTTTAGGAAAGGGAGTGTAATTGAGTCTGTTAATACAAGTGCAGGGATGTTGCCCTGGTACCTAATACTCAGTAGTAAGTTTTGAATGGATCATTAGATAGCGTTTGGATGCCTTATCATTCGCCAGCGATAGATAGCCAACTACTACTACATAGTATATATTGGGGTACCTGCCTTTGCACGATAGACACTTTTCCCACTCCATTGCTACTAAGTAGACAAGAATGGCTCGCTGCAACGATGAGATATTTGGCCCCTCAGTGGCAAGAAATTGCCGATCGGGATTTGACTTCACATTACTGTTTGAACAAAGCATCCTTTCCCTTCTTCCATCGGCCATTCTGATCTTGGTGTTTCCGTGGCGGGTTTCTCGCCTTCTACGGCAAGACGTCAAGGCAGTACAGAACAATCGACTCTACACGAGGCTGGTCAGTGGTATAACCACCCTTTGATATCTAGATCATGCCCCATTAACTGTCAGACGCCGTATAGATCGCTTTTGCGGTTTTCACAGCTCTCCAGATAGTCCTGTTAATTGAGTGGGCATCTCGGTCCGTGCCATCTAACCGCATGTCCGTCCCAGCAGCTTCCCTTAGGGTCGTTGATGCCATAGTCATGTTGACCTTATCAGTCGTTGAATATCGACGATCTATTCGTCCCTCCACGATTTTAAATGTGTACCTGTTATTTAGTCTCCTCTTTGATGCCGTCCAGCTGCGGACCCTTTGGCTGATGCATGACCAAATTCCTCTGTCTGCTATCGCAAGCGCCAGCCTGGCTACGAAAACGATATTGTTGCTTCTGGAGGCCCAGAATAAACGCAATGTCCTACGAGATCCATACAGGAATCTCTCTCCAGAATCTGTAGCTGGCATATTTACCCGGAGCTGTTTCTGGTGGCTCAATCCGCTTTTATGGCGAGGCTTTCGCGCATTGCTCTCACCATCGGATATGTTCCAAGTGGACTCTGACTTATCTTCCAGGTCCCTAAAGAGAAGATTTCTCTTTTACTGGAATTTGTCGGTGCCAACCATCAAGTTCAGGTTGCTTCTTTCGGTAGCTCGGGCCCTCAAGCGACCAATATTTGCTGCCGCTGTTCCGCGAATCTTCCAAAGTGGATTTGCATGGTGTCAACCTTTCCTAACATTCAGAGTAATTGACTACATTGGGAATCATGATAAGGAGGACAAAAACTACGGGTATGGCCTAATAGGAGCGACTGCCCTGATTTATATGGGGCTTGCCTTCAGTAGCGCCATGCACAAGCACCAGACGTTCCGAATGATTACTATGATTCGTGGGGGTCTCATCTCACTTCTTTACGACAAGACACTAAAGCTAGATATGGAAAGACTCACAGATTCAGCAGCCATGACGCTCATGACTACGGATATAGACAGCATTGCCACCAATTGGGTAAATATCCACGAAATCTGGGCGTCTCCTATTGATGTTGGTATTGGGGTCTATCTACTGCAGCAAAAGCTAGGAATTGCCTGCATAGCCCCAGTTGCTCTTGCTCTTCTTTCCATGCTGGGAAGCACTCAAATCGCAAAAATGATGAGAGGACGGCAGCAACGTTGGTTAGAAGCCGTGCAAAAGCGTGTCGGCTTGACATCCTCGCTCCTAACAAACATCAAAGAACTAAAAATGATGTCCATGGCCACCAGTCTAGGTGGCAAAATCCAAGATTTGCGGTCAGCTGAAATCAGAAAGGCAAAGTCCTACCTAAGAATCGAATGCCTCATGAACGTTTGCGCAAATGTATCAACGCTCCTGTCCCCAGTTACAACACTTCTTCTCTTTGCCTTTGTGGCAGCGAGTAACCCTTCTGATCAGCTTACAAGCTCTTTGGTTTATTACGCTCTCACAATCGTCGCCTTAATGTCATCACCCCTAGCTCAGGCACTGAATGCGCTTCCAACCTTCGGAGCGTCCCTCGCATGTTTTACAAGGATTCAAAATTACTTGCTACTAGAGGAAAAACAGGACTATCGAGACGTTAAGCCCAGCCAACAATCACTAGTTGCAGATCACCCTTTTGTCAACGATCAGCAGCCTCCTGGTGCACAAGGAACCGAACCGTGCAAGTCTTCCATGGTGGGTAGAGATCACATGGATTCAGATTCAAACGGCTGCGTCTTTGCCATTCGGAACGGGCAGTTTGGTTATGATGATGATCCAGAAAAAGCTGTGTTGAGAGATATATATTGGCAATGCAAACCTTGTTCCTTCACTGTGGTACTGGGACCCGTTGGATCGGGGAAAACAACACTACTAAAGGCACTTCTTAGCGAAGTCAAGTGTTTCAAAGGGACTCTTTCTCTGACAGACCTAACTGTTTCCTACTGTGGTCAGGACGTATGGCTTCAGGACCTGTCTCTACAAGAGAATATCCTTGGAGGACTCCCGCTTGATAAGAGGCATTATGAGGACGTGGTTTTTGCGACTGGTTTGGATTCCGTGATCTCAAAACTCCCACAAGGTGATGGAACCAAAGTAGGATCCAAGGCCGTGAGCCTTTCTGGTGGCCAGAGCCAACGGGTTGCTGTTGCTCGGGCAATCTACGCACGCAAGTCACTGCTTCTCCTGGACGACTCTTTCAGTGGCTTGGATACCACATCTCAGTCGTTGATTGACAGCCGTCTGTTCGGCCCGACTGGCCTTTTGAGAAAAGTTGGCTGCACTGTTGTTCTGGCCACACACAGCCGGAGGTACCTGAACAGCGCAGATACGGTCCTTGTACTTGATAAGAACGGGTTGATCCAGCATCAAGGCCCTCCTATGCAGCTGAGGTTAGTCAGAAGTACGTCAAACAGTGATATTGAAGTCCCGAACAGTGATGCGGAAGATTGGAGCAGCTCATCACGAGAGCCGCAAGACGACACAGCACCGATCTTGGCCTCAGTAGGTCAGAGTTTGTCCGACGACTTGGCTCGGCAGAGAGGTGACTATTCCATATACAAGTATTATTTGGCAAGTATTGGTATCTTTAACCTACTAATCTACGTCCTGTTGAACTGCCTCTTTGTATTTTGTTCTCGTTTTGGGCAAGTTTGGGTCGGCTTCTGGGTCGACGCGGTTGAGACAAGCCCGGGTCGGCACAGTAATGTTGTGTACAGCTGCTCTTATGTCGCAATAATGGTGGGTGCCTTGATTATGTATGGATCCGTTCTTTTCTTCATGTTCCAAGTGATTGTTCCTCGATCCGCTCGGAGGCTACACTCGGCACTCATCGGAACTACGATACGTGCGCCCTACAGCTTTCACGCCGTCACCAACCCTGGTATCACATTAAATCGGTTTAGTCAAGATATAACATTGGTAGACGTTGATCTCCCTTCAGCTGCCGTGCAATTCTTTCTCGACTGCTTCACTTGTCTTGGCCAAGCAATCCTAATTTGTACGGGTGCTAAATACGTTGCCGCATTCTTGCCGGGGGTGATTATCGCAACATACATGATCCAGAAGGTCTATTTGCGGACCTCTCGACAAGTACGCTTTTTGGACTTGGAAGCTAAATCACCTTTATTTAGCCAGATGTTGGAGACTTACAGTGGAATTGTCACAATAAGAGCTCACGGATGGGAGCATCGGTTCCAAGAGGATAATCTAGCACTGCTGGATAGGTCTCAGCGACCATATTACGCACTGTACTGTATTCAGCGGTGGCTCAGCTTTGTGCTCTCTTTGTTGGTTGCCGTCGTTGCGGTTATTCTCGTAACCTTTGGAACCCAGATCAGAAACATCACATCTGGAAACGCAATGGGCGCAGCATTGATCAACGTTCTAAATTTTGCCCAGACACTGAGCCAACTTGTCGCCGCATATACTAGCCTTGAGACGTCACTGGGTGCTGTTGGAAGGATTAAATCCTTTACATCTGATGTGAAACCGGAGGATGATGCAGCAGTGGTCTTACAGAGTCCACAGCTCTGCTCTCACCCAGCCACCGGTAAAATCGAGTTCAACTCCGTCACGGCATCTTACAGGTATAGATTGAGGCTGGCTCATTTTATGTTAAAAACGGATTGAACTGATATTCTCTTGACAGTTCAATGTCCAGACCCGCTCTGAGCAATGTCTCGTTTTCTGTTGAGCCTGGTATGAAAATTGGCATATGTGGTCGATCAGGGAGGTAGGATTTGAGATTTCTTAGTTGAATTCTTTGTGCCTTCAGAACGAGGTGACTGACACATCCTTCCAGCGGAAAGTCTTCTTTGATTCTGGCCCTACTGAAGATGCTACCGCTTCGTGAGGGCGCAATAACTATAGACGGTGTCGATATCTCCACTATGTCATGCGACGCGGTACGATCCATATGCAACACCATTCCTCAAAACCCCGTGATCTTCCCTGGAAGTATTCGACAAAACCTTGACCCTTTGCTAGTCCACTCCGACACAGAGCTACAGGCCGTTCTGGAATCACTGGAACTGTGGCAAATTGTGTCGTCACGAGGTGGCTTGGATTCCGATATGGATATATCGCCTTTTAGCCATGGTCAAAAGCAACTACTTTCCGTCGGGCGCAGCTTCCTGATGAATGGCGAGAAACGGATTTTGATAGTCGACGAGCTAACGAGTAGTCTAGATCAAGCAACAGAAACCTTAGTGCTTAACTTCCTGGAAGAGAGATTTGCCCAGCATACTGTGTTGGCGGTGACGCATCGGCTCAGCACTGTCAGTCGATACGATCATATTGCGGTTTTTGAAAGCGGTAAACTAGTGGAGTGGGGAGAGCCGGGAAAGCTGCGAGATAGTGATACTGGGCTATTCAAGTCATTCTGGGCTAACTCAGAATAGGCGCTGAAAGGGATGGCGGCTTCAAAGGCTCTCTAGCAATTCATTCGCCGTATTTTGTACATACCGTGATTGGTTCTTATAACATAGGTGTTTTGAGAGAAGGACATACACATTATAGATCTTATCTCCTTATACATGCGTCTCTGTAGATACATTTAACCGTGTGACATGATATCTCCGTCCCGATGAATAGATTAATCAACTAAACTTCTACTAACCTGTTAGAGCCTAATTGTTGAATCTCTAGCTATGTAGGCATCTCACTGATGAGGCGGAATCTGTGCCAAATCCACCTATTAAAACGCTTAGAGTTCATATTATACAGATATATATAGAAAGACGGTGCTGAGTTAACCAAGTAGTTGTACACAGCCAAAACGCCTAATACACATATTAAAAAGATATATATCTACGCCATCCTTGCACGTACCTCACTTTCTCTTCTCATCAAGTAAAACTACGGAGTTGAGACACCAGTCTAGGCTGACTTCCGTCCAGGTTATCGTTGGGACCGTTTTAACCAGCATCTCCACCGTCTGCTCCTGTGGTACTTTGTTCGTGGCCCTTTGTCAGCTCTGCCTCGCGGAATGAAACGGAAGCCTATACAATCCCTGCGGGGGTTGAATAGTGGGCTCGGCCTATAGCTATGCGAGATATATCGTGATCCCACAAGGGAATTAGGAAATCGGCGACAACACTCTAAATATCTTGATATAGATTAGGCCCTGCGAGAATCAGCTATCCATAGTATCACACCTTTTCATAAGCCTATCATTCATATGCAACGGCCCAGCAGGCCTGGTTTGTGTATAAACTTGGTCACGCAGCGATTGCCTGCGCATGCGATACGATAACTAGCGACGTGGCTCGACTAACCTGCTTCAATCCTAAATAAGTAGTGACGAAGCCCTATCTGGTGCGCACATTTATCCGCCTTTCTTTCCCGTCATAACCCCTTTTACCACATTGGAATTATAGTAATGAATCACTGGACTACCGATTTGTCGAACTACAGTTTGGTTGTTGGAAAGTTCCAGGAGGATATAGAAGTGTCCATTGCTCCATGAGTTAACTACCCTACTGTCACAAATGACCAATTTGCTATATTTTCTGTATATCTCAACCGGTCTCCGCCCCACTCTCCATGCCCCAACACAAACAAGTAATAGACTAGAGAGGTGAACTATATTGAAGACCACCGATAGAGACAAGAGCCCGCCCTCGTGGGCGCTACAAGCAAAAACATGATTAGGATCATCAGCGGCTATCACTGGTGACTGGGTTCTGGTCGATGAATGTTCGCTTTACTTAGGCTCTAATCCCACCAATAAATCATTTATCTCTGGCCTAGCCCGAACTAAGCCTAAAGCGTCCCCTATATGTTTCAGTGACTTGCGTTTCAAGTGCTACTCAGAAGGCTTTCCAATGGTAACCAAGATATACGCAAGCCATCGTAAAATGGCCACAACCACCTAGCACACTGGGCACAGGACATAAATTGAGGATCTAATAGGCTACTCGCCTGCTTAGTAGACGCATCTCTACATGTTAACTATACCATTCTCTTTTATTCCCATTTGTTGGATAGTGGCCGCCTAGATATGTGTGGTATGGCCGTATATAGTTTAATCCATTCTTTCGAGTTCACTTGATTGTTCCTTGCCAACATACCTTATGAGAACCGAGGCTTCCATTCCCCCTCTTTCTAATGGCTCGAAATGTCTCCTTAAGGGTGAAATGGAGGAAAGCTTAATAATAGACTTAAAAAGGTGTTGGAATTGAATAAAATGGGTGGCTCTTGCTTGTAGTCTCGTAAATCTTTACCCATATCTCAATAGACAGAAATTATGGTCTGTCACTGGGCAGTTAACCATGGATCCGATAGAAGTTCGCGGGCGCTCTGCCTCTCCTCCGGATCCCATCGTAGCATTTTTCGGATGAACTGCATAAACATCACCTTGTTTTCACCCTCAAGGTATTCTTCCGATTCCTCTAATGAATAGTGCGGTACTTCTACGGCAGCTGTCCATTGCCCTATTCACGGAGTTAGCTGATGTACTAATGCTGAAGTTCTAATGCTCAATTGTGTGAAACCTACCCATGGAATCCCAGTACTTTTGACTCTGAGGAGACTTGCGAAGAAAATTACATTGTGGAGGGCCCAGCATAGCTACCATTTCAGCAAGAAGGTGTACATCTGAGTGATTCCCGTTGGGTGCCCTACCATCAAACAAATGGTGGTCCTCAAATAGGTCCCAGACTAGCACTCCAACGTTCCATATATCAACTTTTGACGTCCAATTCATCCCAAGGATGACTTCAGGCGCACGATAAATGTCTGGCTGGATCAATCCATCATGCACGTCCCCTAGACGCGCTTCGCCGAAGTCTGAGAGAAGTGGCATTCCAAAACCGCTCCAACCCTTCTTACGAAGGAACGGCCGAGACTTGTAGACAGTATAGGAGCCATCAATCTTCTGCGGGCTGGGCTCAGTTTCCTCGTCGTTTTCCCATTCGCGATAAATGGAATCATCTTTAGAACCAATAATAATATTCTTGGCTTGTATATCTACGAAGATATCAGCGGCAAGCAAACCTTAGGGTCTCCAGAGAGTCACAAACCAGTATGTATTACATGGGCTTCTGTGTGTAGATAATCCAGAGCAAGTAACAGTTGTTGTAGTACTCCTTTCAATAAGTCCTCGGGAAGGCTCTTTGGATTCAAGGTTGCCTGAAAATGTAAAAGGCTTGTTAAAAGCGGTTCATGAACAATGCATTGATGGCTGCCACTCGGCCCCGCAATTTCAAACTCCTCTATCATCTTACGGACGAGAGCGCTGCCGGGGTGATGCGTTTTCACATCCGAAAGATGCCTAAGTACACGCACTTCTCGATCCTCAGACCCGCAGATGTAAATCTTCAGTGCAATATACCGATGATGACTATCCCAAGTTAGCTCATTCTATTTGAGGCAGTTCGGTCACAACTAAGTACTGGAGGTCACGGCAAAACCAAACTGTTGAATTTGCGCCAAATCCCAACTTGCTGAGAACCTGATATCTAGACACAAAAACATCCCCAATTTTGACTGGATAGAAAAGGCCTCGATCATATGCGGGCATTCGCTCTTCCTCAATTTTTATGGTGGGGTCTAATATAGGAAATCCGGAAGACTTGGGTATTCGTGGAGGAGATGGTGGCTGCCAAAGGAATCGACGAAGTCGAGGGAACCGATTCATAGTCAAGATACAGTGGTGCAATGACAGATTTATAATACTTTCATTAAATTGGAGAATATATACTCAACTCAGATATTTTGTTTTTGGATATTTGTAGGACGGGCAAAAGTGCAACTCAGGTGCTCTGGAATAACTTATAGGAATGTTAGTGGTCACGTGTCAGTGTTTTGAGTTACCTAGTGAACCCATTTATCGAGGTGGCACTTCTTGTCCAATCGGACGTTGAGTGTGCACCGATAGATGGACCGCGATAGCTACACCTAATCAATTTTGAGATATTGGGGCTAGGCACATGAGATCAAAAAAGGCGTAGTATATAGCAGAATTACGTGTTCAGTTATCCTTGCAGGTGATAGGCAAAGCGCGCCGTGGGTTGTGCTCGTTATGAAATAGCTACCCCAAGCTAAGTACACTGACAATAATCCTTCAGTTGTTATCCATAACACACTGTCTATTTTCTATTTGCTCGTTCCATCCTCATGCACATGCTTCGACTTGATACGGCTTTCATTTTCGTCCAAGAATTGCAGAGAAATTACGTCCTGTTGATCACTCGGATCTTTGTGGGATTTATGCGCTTTGGCACCCCTAGACAAAATAATGAGTGAGTGCAGTAGAGCGAATCCGCGTTGGCTAACTCACTTAATCTTAACCTTCTTGATTTTGGAGTCCTTCACATTCGGTTAGTAGTTGTCTTGATGTGTATAGTCATATCTCTTACACCAGCTTCCTCTTCCTTTGCACATTTGTCAATGCTTAAAGCCCACTGTGCTCCATTTTTGTTTTGTTGTTTCACGTGCTCTAGCGTGACATTGCCCACGATCGTGTAGAATCGCTTGATGATAGAGGTCATGTCGTTCCAGATTTAATGAAAGAAAAAATCTAAGACAGAAATCAAATTGTTGTCCCGATGAGTCGATATTGAGTTTTTGGATTAAGTAGTAGAAGTTTCCATTGCATCTACTTGGAACGGATTAACTCGCGGTATTTATGTTATTTTTGCTGTGTCCAACTTAGATAGCATAGCGGAGTGGCCATCCCAAAGAGGGCGACTCCTGTACAGCAACACGGACCCTTGTAAGGTGGCTCGCGGTACGATGTGTCATTCTATTGGGTACAGAAAGGGCTCATTGCTCTCCATGTCCGAGAAATTGACCAGGTACTAGTAAAATAGGTGCTACGAGGTTCACAGAAATAGGTACCTCGTAGGCGCCTTCACTAGATATGGTAGAAGGCCCAAGCATCCCTTTAGCTTCAGAATGTCCAATCGGGGCGAAGATCAGTTTTGGGCGCTTGCGACGTTAGCCAATAAAACTACTTCCTAAGGCTTACGACTATGAAGCTAAATGAGTGATGAGTGGTATTAATGTAGTGGTGCCTGCTGCTCCGTTCAGGATAATGAATGTGCAAGGGTAACAAATCGACATTAGCCACTAAGAATGTAGTATAACATTTACAGGCTTTGAAAAGTCATTATTTTCTGCGATTAACCAAAAGTCATAGTTTCCAAGTATCTCACGTTTCCCTATTTAAAGGAATATCAAAAGCTTTGGCAAGTCATTGGATATGTGCGATTATCAAAAATGATATTTCTCCAAGGTTTTCTCCGATATCCCTATTTAAAACGAAAATTTTATAAGAGACTGATTGAACAAAAGTGATGAAAAGAAAATAAGGATTAAAATGAAATAATGGATGATGGCGGACAGTGATGTTTCCCAGATTACTGTTTCAACAAGCGCATCGTTATGCGCTGGGATATCCCTTTTACTTTGGTTTTTATTGATCTTCAACGGACATCCTTCCCGGCTTGTCTTAGCCAAAAACCTATTATTTCCTTACAAGCTCATCGTTAGCCTTGGTTGTTTATCAACCAGTCCTCCGAGGTGGTGAGTGTCCATGAAGGACTCTTTGTCTAGCTAAATGAGTTCGTGCACAAACCCTTCAAGGCCTATTTTGAATAAGACACCTTAGTCCTCGCAATTTGTCCAATCTGTCTAGACAAAGATACATGGGATATTCGCAGCATTGCGGGGACATTGTAAATATTACGAGGCTTAGATGCGGCAGGATCTTGTCTAGCCAAGAGAGCTCTCAGTGAGACCCAAACACCGCATTATTTCATTCTCGAAGAAATGTATACTTCATACTAGAGACTAGGTGTTCGCATCTAATATTGAAACCCAAATCCCAATGCGAAAATGTCCAGTCCACCGCAGCCAACTGCATACATAGCACTCTAATGATTATGGACAGTACCCGTTGTCTGTCCAATCTCAAGGAGTTCATTTGTGCATCCGGTTCCATACCCAGGATGCTGAAGGTAACCCAGGCTCAAATATTCCGCTAATAGACCTCGATTTGGACCACTCAGTGATAAGATCTCAGTCCACACAGGTATGTGGACTGGAAAGTTTGCCAGGAGCATGGTCTGCTTGTGACCCCAGCGCATCGTGATGGGCGATATATCCGCCCGGCACATGACGTCCTGTCGAAGGGTATCTAGGCAATGCTCACGATGAATTTGGCGGTCTGCCCGCCGTTCCTGGGATAGCTCAGAAAAGTAGACTTCTGCATAGACAAATCGATGGAGGTGTTTCTTCAGAGTTGTTGACAAGACCCCAGTTAGCTGTGTATTATTGCCATTCTGAAAGAAGATGGGTCATCAGACATGCCCGACTTACAACACAGTGTAATTCGTGCCACACCTGGAGTGTAGCAAATTATCCACCATCGGGAAGTTCGATAGCATCATCCTTCCTGCCTGGGTCGATTTGGTTCATATCATCGAGCGTTAGTCGGACGTTGGAATCTTCCCGGTAGAAAGATAATACTAGTGCTCTATCTAGACAGAAGTATGCCATTCTACATTCCACTGGTACTCACACTGCAATAAATGAGACCATGCCTCTTCCAACTCCGGCCGTGATGGTCCAGCATATGGACTACCGCCAGGTGTCGTCCCGGGTTTCCCCTCCACACTGAAAAAGCTAAGTTCTCTCTCTATTGCATTCTGCGCTTGTGCTACAAGCCCCGTTGATCGTGAGTGTTCATACATCAGGGTAATAGGGACGAAGGGAGACCCTGAGGGGGCTAGTCACATATATAATAGGCGTTCGTTGACCGGTAGTCTCCTGCGTAGACAGTCATTCTGACCACGAAAAAGGTTACTGTAATCCATATAGTAAAGATAAGCCCGTGAATGAACATTTGCAAGGGGATCACTTTCAGGAAAGGGCGGTGCTTCTTGTAAGGAGTGGACGTGGACTCCCCAGGCAAAAGAAAGGGTTCGTGTACCTCATCTTGTCTAGATTCATCTGAAAGAGATGCCATATTCGAGGTAGTAAGTCGATAGCCAACAACTCTGGTAGAAGTTAAAGTATTGAACTCAAGTTTATTCATTTGCAGAAGCAAGAGAAGGAGGGGAGTGTGACTATCACTCAGGATAGAGCTTGAAATGAGGGAAGATTGGGAGGGCCGTGAAGGGAAATCACGACTCATTGGCGAGGGCGCAACAGATACTTCCTTCCTCCCAGTGAACCCGGCATGGTTATTATTAACTCGCCCATGAGCTAGCCAATAGCTCTACATTCGTGCAATAGGCCCATCAATCCAACAAGATAGGGCTCCAAGAATGGCGTACATATCGTTCGTATAGCAGCATACAGAACCTTACGAGGTAGCTGTATGTATAATATCGGTCCGGATGATGCAATATATTAACGGTGGTTTTAATATTAAATCATTAACCGAAATAAATTAGACCATATAATTAATGATCGGCGTTCTGGCCATCAATAGGTAGGGTCATATACTATCAGAAATGCGGAAGTCCGTTCCGCCTAGGAATTTAGCGCTGATTCTAGGTGCTCGCAGCCTTATTGAAAATACGTCCGATATCTTGATCTAGTCTAGAATTACGTTTTTGTATAGTTACTGTATGAGCATATAACATCATGTAACCTCGCTTATCTTCCCGGCTAACATGGGTCGAGCTGCAATCCTTGTTGTTCCCTCCCTAGTTCTGCCAATGCGCAAGGTCTGATGGGTGGACCTAAGATAAGAGTCAGATCTAGCGTGTTTTAAGGGACCGTTTAGGGGACCAATTCAAAAGTACGAGCCGAGAAAAAGAGTCCAGTGCTCAAGTCATTCCCATATCGCCGCCCCAAACCGGATATTCCCATCACTCTTGCACTTGCCCACCGAATAACGCCACAATATTCAGATGACTCAGGAATGCGACAATGCGCGATCGAAGCGTGTACTTCTTTTGCTTTACCTGACGGCCTTTCTCTTTTTCCTAGGAGAAAACATCCAACAAGCCCCACGAACCCAAATCTATGAGACCATTATCTGCCAACATACGCTGCCATGGAACTCGACCGACACGCCAGCAAGGGAAAGGTGCAAAAGCAAAGCGGTCCAAGAAGAATTGGCCTTCCTCAAGGGCACGGAGAGGCTATTGGGGGCATTGCCGAGTACATCTTGAATAACCCTCAACGCGCTGTATTCCACGTTTATGCTAACCGGTCAAATGTATCGTTGGATAGCCATTCTTGTTATTCCGTGGAGTATTTTTGCTGAACGCCACGGCCGCTGCCTTTCCTTGAAACTGGCCTTAGTTGGCGTCCTGTGCGAGGAGACATGGAGCTGTTTCATCTGCTGGATCTCAGATTCGGTCCCGATCCGCCTCATCCTACTTGCGCCCTTATTCGAAGTGATTGGCGGTGGACCTGGCATCATCGCCACTGTTATACATTTATTGGCCGCAGAGGTGACCACGCCTGAAACGCGGACATCAACCTTTTTTGTTATCCGCGCCATGGCAATCGCAGCAGCCATCCTGGCCCAGCTCGTGAGCTCGTTCCTTATGACCCGTAATGTATGGGCACCGTGGCTTTTAGGATTACTCTGCATTCTTCTCTCGGTATTTACCGTCCCGCTTGCGCCAAAATCCTCCATTGAGAGTTCTCCGAATGAGAACACCGTGCTGGACCCGGGCCAACAGAATGCGCGTGGTATGGGCACCTTGAACCAAGAGGGGTCGCTTGGCAACAAACATGCTACGATTCGATCTCGTCTCTTCTTGGTGGCGAGGCAACTCCAGGAAGGGGCAAGGGTTGTATACGGGAACATCTCGCTCATCGTATTACTAGCGATATCATTTTTGGGCGAACTCTGTGACGATTCACTTGCTATGGTTCTGTTGCTTTATATCTCGAAAAGGTATAGCTGGGAATTCTCTCAGGTATGTGTTGGGTTTGTTCGCGATTGGAGAATAGGAGTAAACATGTTAACACCATGAGCAGGCCAATTTCCTGTGGGCTCTAGGGGAGGGTGTGCAGTTTGTGTTTCTGATCATCCTGCTTCCACAAATCAGCAGGATGCTCTTAGATCGATTTAAGATGAATGCATATGCAGCGAATTTTACAATATCCATTGCCAGCGCAATTATTCTTAGTTTGGGCAGTTTACTACTTGGACTCGGCGGTTCTATCCCTGTCGCCATCACAGGTATGCCTACCTTCCAATCCATAACTCTGAACCATCACTAAGTAATACACTTCTAGGGATAATTCTGATGTCGATGGCGGGTGGGCTTCAATCGGCACTGAGGTCTCTCGTGACAATGATCATTTCTCCAGATAGTATCAGTGTTGTCTATTCCATTTTTACTATCCTCCACGTCTTGAGCACTTCTTTGGTGGGCCCTATATATTCAGGTGCCTTTACTTTTGGATTGAAACTCGGGACAGCGTACACTGGGCTTCCATTCATAGTGGCTTCCACTTTAGCTAGCCTATCCTTGCCACTATTTTTGCTTGTTCGACCCCACCATAATTATGAACCCATACAGGAGGCTAGCGACTGAGAGTTTCACCTTGTGTATGAAGCTAGAAGTACATACACCCAATGAGAACATTTCACATTTCATGAATTCACAGAGAACCTGACATAGCCCCGCTGCACTAAAGTGATGTAGTACAATATTAGGTTACTAAATGAAGAACATTTACTGAGTTCGGGTATTCTGAAACATTTCGAGCTCCTTTCTGAACAGGTGCCATGCGAATGTTAACTTGAGTTGTGTCTGAAATAAAAAGTATTGTGGCTTATTGCTGTTTTCAGTACACTGACAGAATTGTTATACATATAGCTGCAACTAACTTCCTCGAGTTCAAAATACTTTTGCACTTCGCCCATACCATATAGCTACTCTGTGGCGTGTTGAAATCCTCAATCATTCATTGTCACTTCCATGGCATGAGCATCGGTGGTCCTTGTGCTGTCCATCCGGGGTTCTTGGTGATACGTGTAGAGAACGCCGGAAGGAAGAGATGAATCTTTCCTCCGTGGTGAAATGTAACTGAGTGAACTGTGGATGCCGAGGAACTATTTCGAGGAAGACTCCTACATTGTATATTTCGGTCAATTCCTTAACCAATTGCCTTCCTTCTTTGCAGAATTTCTCCCTTTGCTTCTGGATTGTTAGTAGGGCGCTTTTCCCCGCGTCTTGCCCATTGACCTATTGTTCAACGTTATTCGAATCGAACTGTTTTTGAAAGCTTACAATCGTACTGACTGACTTCACCCTCTTTCGCAATTGGTCATTACTTGGACTTCTGAGAGGAATCCCTATTCCTGCACTTCCTTCCCCGGCCTCGTACTCATCGGCAAAGTGCTCACTATTACTGACAAAAGTCACCACTAGACTGAGAATTAATCAGCCACCGTTGATTTGAAGGAATATGAAAGGACTTACCAAGATGTGTCGTTCCCAAGGAAATTGAAGAAGAGTATGGGTGCCTAACTGCTGCTTTTGGAGCATTGGAGCCACAAAACATACCGAACTCTGCCCTCAAGGAGCCATCTGTATCCTGGTCTTGGAGTGCCAATCTTTGGCCCCAGTTCATTGGTATGGCAGAGCTGTCGGTTATCAAAAGCCCCACGTGGCTATGTCCCGTATGAAACGGGGTTTCGCTTGTAAATACTGGGGCGGGGGTGGGCTTGCTTAATCTTCCGCTACTCAGGCTATACACACATACTGTCAGTCTTAGCTCTCTGACCAGAACATAGTGAAATCAAACTTTAGTCACAAGATAGATGGATGTAGTTCAGGTGGCTTACCAGGTATAACATTCTGGTGTCTCCCCCGAGGGCCCATAGTGCCAGAATTATTTTTTGTGAAGTGTTGTTTGGCCCTTCTTGACCTAGCCAAGTCTGCAGACATTTTTAGGTTATATCAAATCCTTTTATTCTCTATTTCTTTGTGAACAGACTTTGATGCAGTTGAGCACGTTCGCCACTGCTAGATATATTTTTTGGTCAAGCGAAAGTACTAGTAGTCTATATACAAATACAGAATTAACATAGCGGATAGGAGCTTCACGGTGCGGGACATCTGCTAGTTGCGTGTTGTGGCCGGGTGTTTAGTACTGGTAGTAGTCCCACATCCTGTGCGTGCATCGAAATGCGTAGTCTTTGTTCGTATGCGCTTCAGAATTGTGCTCACGACCACTACCATATCTCGCCCACATCGCCCTGCACCGAGGTTTATCCATCCGCAGAAGCGGAAAAGATCAGACATGTACGTATTACCGTCAACACCCTTGTATAAATGTGAAACAATATCGTTATAGGTTACATACGTATTAGTTATAGGTAATTGTTGATATAGGTACTGACATTTCCTATCTAAACAATCGCACAAGGCCTCGGTCTAAATAAATATTATCTTACCGATTAGCTTCCTGTACAAGATTCCGAATAGCACAGTAAAGTAGATCTCTTTAACCAATTTTCTTTCATTTTCACCAAAAAGACCATAAGGACACTAGTGCGTTATATCACGTGCTTGATTGGTATCTATGTGCTCCGTAGTAAGGATGTTTATCTGGATATAGATTATCTGCTTATAGTCAAGATTCCATATGGGAATTTGGTATAAGCATTTGCCAATACTTTGATGTAAGCAACTAAGATAACTAGCTATCTCACTAGATTGCTTATACAGGGGGTTAACAGACAAATAAGTCGGACCCCCGGCCTTGATATTGCGGCGCAGTCATCCTAGAGTCAGACCTAACCAATCGGTGCCATTGACAACCACCACGGTCAACGCTACGCAGGAATCTAATTTAGACGCCGTCTATCTCGTCTGAATGTAACCTCAGCTCACGCTAAAGGCATAGCGTATGGAGTAATTGTGCGAGTTCAATACTGTCCCTGCTAGGTTATTGCGCACCGGTGCATATCTATCCATGTGCAATAGTTGCTTGTGTGATTGATACTGCATGAGCTAAGAAAATGCTACATATGAAGCAAAATGCTCTGGGTAAGGGTTCTCTTTCCTTTTGCTTGAGGTTGACTGGGCGAAGGGTTTGGAAATAAATCTTTTAATTTGAGGCAATTAAATTATTCCCAAGCTAATGTCGCTTTTCTGGACGCCACAAAAAAAAAAAAAAAAAAAAAAAAAAAAAAAAAAAAAAAAAAAAAAAAAAAAAAAAAAAAAAAAAAGAGGGCGAACAAAAAATAAAAATATGGAGAGTTACACTATTTTCATGTTACATTTTCAAGCACATTTGGAGCATACATTGCGAAAGCTACATTAACAGAATAGATATAGGCCAAAGTGTACGGAGATCTGGACTGCGTTCCGAGATACCCGGGCGATTTTACTACCGACACGGCATACCTGACCCAGAAGATTAGTTCTCATGGAACAAGCAGCAACAGGGGGCTTAGTATTAAACCCTAACATCCGAGCCAGGCAACGTATTGTCTTCCATCACAATGTCACTAGCCCTGCACGGTTCTAAATTCATTTAAAGAGGTTGCGGTAGGTGCTACAGTATTGAAGACTAGTTCAATAGACCGTACTCGTATTTACACGATAGTGCCTTATTGGGAAAGTGAAAGGATCCAAACGCATGTGTACGAGTCAGCTGTACAGGCGAGACTCCCGGTCACAGTTGACTCGGTAATAAATCTATTATTCTAGCCTGACTACGCCGCAAATTCCTTACTCTCCGCGAATGGGCTTCCGATGCTATCACATGAACCGTGTGAACATATATGATACGGATGTATGTGAGACTCGTGGCCATGTCCCCAGAGAGTCTAGCATGAGTGTGGATTCGATGCCGTGGTGTTATTCTGAGGTCTGGATGTGGATATGCATGGGGAATGCCCTTCAGCAGTGGGTCAAAAAGAGGGGTCAAATATAAACGCCAAAAGGAAAAATTGAAATAACAGAGAAAGAGCAAAACCGAAATAATGAAATTTTCAATATGTTCCCCATTGGAGAAACTCAAATCGCCTGAGACAGGTTCGGGGTGGAACCTATAGAGGTCACATCGATGAGGTGTAGTTTCGGAAGCATACTAATAATGCAGAGTGCCACAACCCTATATTTCTTGAGTTCTTATACTGGGTATGATTCATATTTGCTTTTGGCATCAGCTATATCTCAATAAAGAGGGGGGTTTCTCAGTATCTTTTAGTATTGACTTCCACAGGTCAACATGGAAGGGGATTCTGTGTTAGGGTTGAAAGATTCAACTACAGATGGGGTGCGAAATTCTGTGAACCAACGTAGAAGGCTCCAAAATCGCATCGCACAGCGCAAATTCTATAAGTGCCTAATCTAGCTTTGTGAGAGCAATCTACTTCTACGATGATCTTGTAGGCGAGAAGGCCAAAGCACGTAAACAGTGCCTGCTGCAGTCAAGTCAGGGGCCAATTAGCATGCTGGCCGGAAATCCTACTATTGAGGACTGGAAAACTAGTACCTGCCTCTCCCTCTAGTCTAGACTATATGTTTATATATTACATTTAGTAAATTCAGAACTTATTCTATCATACGACAGTATCCCCCTTATCTATCTCTACAACCTAGTCTGTATACTCATACTTCTGTATTAAGCAGAATCTCCTACGAAAGATGATAAATCATATCCTAACAGCGCGTTCATAAGAGCCTAGCTAATATTAAAATCAGAAAACAGGGCTCATGGTTATGAATAATATGATAAATATTGAAATCGTTTCAAATTTGGGGTTGGTTTTGTGTCATGCTTTCAAGAATATATTCTGCGCGGAAGTTATCTTTTAGTAGTTAGGTACTTACCCTTTACATTTTTAGTGCTATTTGCCCTGATTATTGCCGTTATCCTTGGCTAAAATTCTCTCCCCCCAACACTGCATAACCCTTACACCCCGCTGTGCCAAAGCCGCTGTCTCCGCATGGTCACAATGGCTGATCTCCTCCAGACGTCGCCTCCAGAAGAGCCATCTTGAAGTGCTAAAGCCGTTATCCGGCACAACTTGCGCTTCTCTAGCAAGCTCACCAACAGCCGAGGACTCAAATCCCTGGCCTGAAAGACAAAGGCTTTCAATTTTGTAGCCACTTAGCTCAAACCAGGCTACCGCTGCTGGCAACAGATCAACTATGGGCAGCAAGCCATCGCCCTGCTGGTCGCCGGTTGCAGTCAATTCCCTACGTGTCTCAAACATATCCCTGAAAATCGAAAGAGCACAAACACACAGTTCGGAGCCACATACACCCCAGGCACTGAGGCGGGCTATGAAGGCGCTGAGGTTATGCCGCTCTGTCGCCGGTAGCTCGTCGGCTGCGTTCCATGCTGCTTGAAACTCCTGCGCAAGGAAGGGTAGATCAACCCAAATCTTTCCGTTAGATGTTGATGCCTCCTCTTGGACTCCTGAGGCTGTATTCCTGCGACACAACACGCCCATTTCTCGGGCGTGCAGGATTTGGCCTGCCAGGCGATCCTGGGCGGGGTGTTTAGCATCTGTGATTTTGGCACCTTGAATGATCATGTACCATAGTTCTCGCATGTCATATTCGTAAAAGACTATTGGAAGGTCGGACTTGGTGTAACGACTGGAAATATTTTTCATAAATAGCCTGGATTGGTGCCAGAATTTGTTATCGTTGTCATAGCCACACGATTCCCGGTCAGTATCAATAGCACCTATATGATGATGGCCGAATCTTTGTCGACTGCGTATCTGGTCTTCGAAGGAGGACATAGCGTGATACAGTTTGAGCGCAATAGGATCTATAACAGCAGCAGAAGAATGTATATGATTGTTCTTGTTTTCATTCAACAGGGGAGGGGAAGGGAGAGTGGAACGCTATCTAAGGGCTTTATGTACTGACAGCAATGTACAGTCGCGTAGGTCTACGTAAGGCGGGGTCCGTCAGCAGTGGCAACTCCTACACCTCCTAGGAATTTCCGCAGGGGCTTGCTTATGCATTGGTGTTATCCATTACCTCCCTAGTGGGGATAATTTGATTTCACTCGACCGTCTAAGTGTTACGAACCCCGGGCTAGTGCAGACCTGACCATAATATACTGTGCACAGTAAAGGCATGGATAACAATAAGCGGTGAACATATTGTGCATGGCAGAACAGTTGCTTCTTATTTTTTATTTTTTATTTTTATTATTTTTCTGCCAATCGTATCGGTTTAATGGCATCATGATTACACATCCCGTCTGGCGGTTGTCTTCCCAAAACGGTAATCGGAACGACTTCCCTTTTAGGAGTTACCGACAATTTCTCCACATATGTACTTAGCCCTGGGGTAATTGAGAGCCATATAAAAGTCGCAAAGACCCCATCGTAGTAAAAAAAAAAGGAGAAAGCCAGGTATTTCTGTAACTTAAGCAGATCTGTACAATATGGCAATGTCACGACTTCTCTCCCGATCGGCAGTTCGGGCTGCCTCTACTTCGACTTCCGCTCAAACAACCAAAGCGGCAGGAGATATTTCAAGCGTTTTCCCGAGTTTGAGACCAGATTACAAACCAGAGCCTCTGCCGCCGCGCTTCAAGGATTTAAAGTTACAATACTTCGAGAAGAATGAAGAAGCGCTGAAGCAAAGCTGGAAGAGATTACTCCCCAGCTTAGAAGAGGAAGTTGATAAGATCAAGTCAAAAGGAAGCGATGTATGTTCTCAATATATAAGTAGAGGAATGGCTTTTATGGGCAAGATCGCTAATTTCATGCCAGATTATTCCTTCCGTGGATTATGCGGACGTTGTTTCTGGAAATGTACCAGAGAAGGTCCTTGCGGAAATCCGTCACCGCGGAAGCGTAGTAATCAGAAATGTGTTACCTCGTGGAATGGCTAGAGAGTACAAGGAGCGCATTGAGGACTATGTTGCTGCCAACAAAGAGCGCGTGAAGGCCTTTCCACCAGACTCACCAGCAGTATATGAGTTATATTGGACTCAATCACAGGCGGAAGCCCGGGCGCATCCGAACATGCTTGATACACAGCGCTTCTTGCAGCGTTTGTGGCATTCATCTGACCCTAAAACGAAAATTTCCACCCGAAACCCTCTCACATACGCTGATCGACTCCGGATCCGAATGCCTGGTGATTCCAAATTCACCCTTGGCCCCCATATCGATGGTGGCTCGCTTGAACGGTGGGAAGACCCTGAGTATTCTCGGGTTTACACCAAGATCCTCGAGGGTAAATGGGAAGAATACGACCCATGGGATGCAAAGCATCGTGTCTCGGCCAAGATGGATTTGTACAACGGTGCTGGCGCCTGCTCCATGCTGAGGTTCTTCCAAGGATGGCTTTCCATGTCCCAAACAGCCCCTGGCGAGGGCTCACTACATGTGTGCCCAATGGTTGTTCACAGCACCGCCTATACCATTCTCAGGCCATTCTTTGATACTCAATCGCTGCAGCCCGCATTGGATGCTACTTTCCCTGGATCTGTCCCTGGAGCTTGCCAAGAATACAACCCCGTCACCCATCCACACTTGGAGCTGGAAAGCACTATGGTGTCGGTGCCTGAGGTCGGACCTGGTGATTACGTTGCTTGGCACTGTGACTCTCTGCACTCTGTTGATAAGGAACATCAGGGCAAAGGAGACTCGAGTGTACTCTATATCCCTGCCACTCCTATGTGTGACATGAATGTGGATTATCTGCTCAAACAACGTCAGGCAGCTCAAACTTACTCCCCACCTTGGGACTTCCCAGGTGCTGGTGGATCTGGCGAGAGCGGCTTTAAGGGTGCACTTGACTGGAACTCGCTCAACCCCGAGGGCTTGCGTGCTATGGGCCTAGGCAATAAGCTATGGGATATTACCCCTGACATGAGTGAGGGCGAAAAACAGGTTGTTGAAGCTGCTAACACGGCATGCTTCGGTCAACCATGAGGTTATGTTATTTTCCGATTTTCAACCCATTTTTTTTAGTGACTATGTCGGTGTCATTCAGGCGTATACCAGCAGCGGGTTGTGTTACATAGATCGAAACAATTACATTATATAGGCAACGAAAATATAGTAGTTTGGAATGGAATATCAACGCCCATGCGTTTTAAATCTTGAATTGGTTAAACCCACTGAGTTTGACATGTTTGCTTTCTATCAATTCATAGCTCCACACTAGTGTCAGTCGAGATCACCGCCCGCAGCCTTGACCAACAGGGAATCCCGATCAACATTACAGCAGGCCATACTCTCATTTCTAATTTATCTTCGCGACCTCCATGACCAGTTTTCTGTTGAGGTAATAACCATGCGGCTACAGGCGACGCTCCTTCTGCTCGCCTCGTGCGTTCCCTCAGCGCTAGCTATCTATCGCGATGAGGTCGACCATATTGATTTCCACCATGCTCTACTCGGTACTCCTTCGTCCGATTCGACCTTCTTCCTCAAGCCTTCGTCCTCCTCTGATGCGTCCCTGCTCTACACGTTATCCGAGAAATTGCTCCTTGGTGCGGTAAATCCTCGGGATGGGTCGGTGGTCTGGAGACAAAATGTCTCCCGATCCGCTGCAGCCGCAGACAACGGCCTCTTACGCGCTTCCGATGGGACCAATGCTATGGTTAGCGCAGTGGGTGACTATCTGTCATCATGGAGCGCTCTGGATGGTAAATTGATTTGGGAGAGGTGGTTTTCCGATGAGCACGTAGCAGACCTTGAGCTGCTGGAGCTAGAGGATGCCGCTTCGCCTTCGGCCGTTAAAGACACGATTGCGCTTTTCGGGGGTAAGGCGGGTGTGGTCAGAAGGCTGGATGGTGATTCGGGCAAGGTCAAGTGGGAATATAAAGATGAAAGGTTCGATCCCAGATAGTCTGATTAGCCGTCGCCCGTGCTGACATTTGGTGGGCACTCCCTCTAGTGGCGATCTCCCTTTCCAAGTCTCGTCTTCCTCCACCGATGTTTTCTATATCTCTCTGCAGTCGGCTCTCCTGAAGGGCTATAAGATCAAGGTCACGTCTATGGACCTCTTGACCGGTCGTCAAAACCAGCAATTGACCCTGAACTCGGAAGGTGACATTTCCGGGCCCGAGTCTGTGCTTTTTGTGGGCGCAAATACGGCCTCCCCTTTGATTGTCTGGACAGATAAGGCTCAGAAGGCACTCAAAGTAAATGTGATTGGTACGAAGCAAGTTAGCTCCATCAACATCGACAACACCAGTGGCGAGGATCTTCGTTCAATCACCGTCCATGCTCCGAAGAGACTCAACTCATTGCCTCATTTTCTGGTTCATTACCAAACGCAATCTGTATCCTGGGCTGAGGTTTACCACGTGAACTTGAAAACCGCAGTTGTATCCAAGGCTTACGATCTGCCTCGTTTGGAAGGCTGGTCTGCCTTCTCCACGAGTACTAAGGATGCAAATGTTTACTTTACCCGGATCACGCAGTCCGAAATGACTGTTGCATCTTCTGCTTCTCATGCCATCTTGGGGAGGTGGCCTCTTCAGTCCCCTCCGATGGAGCGCGCTCTTCATGCAGTGTCAGAAGTTGTCCCGAAGGGCGATAGCGTCGCAGTCCGATCGGCGGCTGTTTTGGAGTCGGGTGACTGGCAATTACTTCGAAATGGTCAACCTGAATGGACTAGATACGAGGCTTTGGCTGGCGCTCTGGCTGCCAACTGGGCTGAGGAAGAATACCAGGAGGAGCTGGTTCACCAGCTTGAGGTTGAAGGTCATGAGAGCCTTTTCGCAGCCTACGCGCACCGTGTCAGGCGCCACATCAAAGATCTCGAGCATCTTCCTGAGTGGCTAAAAGACCTGCCCAAGCGCATCCTTACCAGTTTCTTGACCGACGAGGTTTCCAACCTGGATAGCTTCGGCATCTCCAGGCAAGTTATCGTTGCTACTGAGAATGGACGTGTCTATGCGCTCGATGGTGGAAACCACGGCGCCGTTTCCTGGAGTGTGAAGGCCGCGGAAACAGAAACTTGGGCTCCTATCGCAGTGGTCACCCAACCAGGCCTTGCCACTGTCTACACAGATGACGGCAGCTCGGTTACCCTGAACGTCGCCTCTGGGGAAATTATCAAGCGTACTCCGACCACTACCAAGCTCCGTTCTGTCGCTGTGCTCAACGACTCCCCCGCGCCCCTCATCGTTGGGATTAACGAGAACGGCACTCCGTTGGAGTCTGTGGATCGTCCTGGTTTCTTTGTCACCCTAGGAAATGGTCGCGTGCTGGGCTGGAGCGCCAACAACAACGAGTTCCCCGTCTGGGAATTTTTACCCCCACAGGGCGAGAGAGTCATCCATGCCACCTCCCGACCAGCTCATGACCCTGTAGCATCGATTGGTAAGGTGCTGGGTGACCGATCCGTTCTGTATAAGTATTTGAACCCTAACTTGGTTCTTGCTACCGCCGTGGGTGATAAGTCAGCTACTTTCTACCTGTTGGATGCGATTTCTGGCAAGGTCCTACATGCTAGCACTCAAAACGGTGTTGATACCACCCAGCCAATCGCCTCAGCCATCTCCGAGAACTGGTTCGCATACTCTTTCTGGGGTGATGTCGTCAACCCATCAGACGCCAAGGGCTACCAATTGGTGATTTCCGAGCTGTATGAGTCTTCGATACCCAATGACCGTGGGCCACTGGGTGCCTCATCCAACTACTCTAGCCTTGGTGCACTGCCCCTTCCACATGTAGTGTCTCAGTCCTTCATCATCCCAGAACCAATTTCCCACATGGCCGTTACCCAAACCCGTCAGGGTATCACCACTCGCCAACTCCTTTGCACACTCCCCTCGACCAACTCACTGATTGGCATTCCTCGCCCCGTACTAGATGCCCGCCGGCCCGCCGGCCGCGACCCGACCCCTACGGAGGTCGAAGAGGGC